CCACACCTTGCCTGGGAGGGAAGTTGATTTGCGGGTTGCCTTGTCAAGTATGTAGCTTCAAGGGCCAAACTTGTGAAATCTCTGGCGAACAGAACCCTTGTCGCCAGGATCAATGTGATCGGGATATACGTAAGCTGTTGTTCATACACATTCACGAGTTTCCATGAATCGATATGACTCCTAATAGAAGTTACTTATGCTGATTTTGTTGTCCAAAGTCCCGTGCATGTAGATACTATTAGTACTTTGGTGATCACTTCAAAGTATACATTTCCTTGAGTCATGAATGCGTAAGACTCAGTCTTTGGCCGAGTATCCTGGCTTCCCGTGAACCACCCCAAACCTTTCTCTTCCCCAGATCGGGTAGTGCACTATGCTGTTGATGAATCAATTGAGTCTATGCTAGGCTTGAGATCGTGACTACTGGATTTTGCGACGTGGAGTAAATGCCAGCATATCTGAGCGCCTAAGAGCAGGCAGCTCCAAAATCGGCAAGGAAAATGGCGAATGACGGCGATTATCGTTTTCATCCCTGTCTCTCGCTGGTCCTATATCGGCAACAAGCTGGCGGGAAATCCCTAATTCGGTTGAACTACTTAAAGCTCTCCGTGAAGCCGCGATAACGATGGCTGCGATGGCTGCACTGGTGCACAATAGCAAGGCTAAGAAAAGAATTGTAGGAGAAATGCGAGGAAGTGCAAGTTCGACACCACCGCAGCTAAATATGGCCGCAGCTATTACCAATGGTTGAGACACCTAGATACGGGTAAGATTGATCCACCGGGAGAGGAAAGGAGGAATAGCTTACTAGAGTCACCCAAGAAAGTCTGGTCAAATCCTTATTTTGATTACGTGCGAGATGAAGCGATCGGTTGGTCTGAACCTATAGATATACGAGTTAACCATAGGCAACAACGTTACGACGATTGGGCAGACCGATGCGTACATGGTCTTGTTCTAGAATCAGTATCTCTCGTAAGGCGCCCAGAGAGCGTTGACAATCTCTCAGTCCGTCACACGTTCTCTTCAAGTTCAGTCTGATCTCCTTGTAATATGACGAATCGCTAGCTTCCGATAATCTCAAGCAAAGCTCATGTGCCTGTTCGTATTTTCGCACGTCGTATAATGTGGCAGACAGTGTTGAGAACAATTGAGCGAGAATACTACAAGTGCGACGAGGCCAATCGAAGTCGATTGCCCTATCTTCTGTCCGAAAACCTGCACGCTTTTCTTTATTGAGAGCAAGCTGGGGAGACTGTTAGTGGATAATCCAAGTTTATTCACGCAGGTGTCATGGACTTGCCAGTCTGTTCACTTGACCCTCAAAGTGGAGTGTGAGGCTCTCCCATTCTTCCCAGATAGACTGTAGACGAATGCTGAATACACGAAAGAAGTATAGTCGAGGATTCCATAACGGTAGATCGCAGGTAGCTCTTCCGAGGGTTATGAGGTCCATTGGATAATCTTCTGGATCTTCAGCTGCGTACTCGGCCAGTGCGTCGCAGCTTGATTCGTCATTGAAAAACGTGTCGGCGAAGCAGAACACTTTCCAACTTTTCTCATCGTCTCCAACAACGATGCATGATACGTGGGCTTGATAGAGGAAGCCAATGTCCCCGTCTTGCAGGTAGTCTTGACTCCTACAAGAGGGGCCGGAAACCTTGATACACTGACGAAGGGGCGTCAAAACGCCACTATCTCGACGATCATGCATCATGTCAATGGACCTTCTCCAAGCAAAATAAGGCAGATGAAATTGCAAACAAAACTTTGCAGACGATGTTTGCTGCATCTTAAGAATATCAGACCATGTACTTTAACGAAGAGGGTTATACACTAACTCACATCTGAGGCAAAATCAAAATGAGCTCGAAATGTTAGATGCCTGAATATGCCATCGCTGAGAGCTGATCGCTCTGTCCGGAAACTTGTCGCAGCAAGTACTAATGCCGCCCAACGGTCAAAGTCTGTTATGTAACTGAAATAGTGAGTCCATGAACGCAAATTGTTGGATTGCATACTTGGACCATACATCAGGCGCCTTTCGTTGTCCATGCCACGCACCCCACTATTCGAACGCTGCAAATCGATGAGAATTTGTTCAGCTATTAGTATAAGTCAAAGATATCACTCACCTTGTGTTTCAGCACTCTGAGCAGGTGGTCGGCGCTCATAACTTTTGGCCGAGGCGAAGTGTCTTGCTTCCTGTACCCCCTTTGATCCATCCAGATGTTCAAACTAGGGGAGTTAATCTGACTCAAATTATCGACTGTAGCTCCTCGACAAAAATCCCGAAGGAAGTTGGTTTTGTGTGAGGAGCGTTCTTCATACGGGCCAACAAACGAGGCCCAGATATCAACATCAATGTCATCGTCCACTCGGGCAAGCTCTTCCATCAGCATAACGGCGTCTGAGGTTGAATGGGTTATAGTAGTGGGAACACAGCTCATATCAGATTTCGGAGGTGTCGGAAGTAGCCGCCACTCTGTCTGAGTAGATGCGTTTCTCATCGTGACTCTGGCCTTGAAGCCGTGTGCTAATGCCTGATGTGTGTTATTCTGTCGATTGTGATTCTGAACACTTATGTCCTCGAATTTTAGTTTAGGAAATAACCCCATAGACGATAGATCATGGAAGGTTTCGGCGGCTGGAACAATGTAGCCCGTTCCGCTACCTGGGCATCCTCTAATGACGTGGCCGTAGAAGGCACCCGATTGTTGGTCTATGACAGCTGTACCGGAGTCACCCTGGGTGAATTCTCCCTCATAAAGCTGCACAATCTGGAGCCTTTGGACTGTGTTGAAGTTTGGGTTCTGAAACAGAGTATTACCAGGTACAAGGAAGCCTTTGCGGACTACAGTGGCGTCCCCTATCAGAAAGACTTCCTTCGTGTCAAGATCGGCCGATGCCACGTCACAAATGTTGACACATCTGTATCCGTATCCGTGGGGTACAACAACTCTGTTAGAGAATTCAGACGCCGTGGGTGTAGGAGTCGAAACTAAGACGTAATCAAGTTCATGACGAGAACCTTCACTAGCCCGAAAGGCGATGAAGCCTATTCGAATTGGAGGTTGTTGATAAGTCGGGCCATCTAAGGTGTTGTGAAACTGTGATGCGTGGTTGGTATGAAGAGGCACCCTGAGCTTATCGGGGGTAGACGCGGTATCGGCATTCAATGGACGTGAATTCCTATCGTCGTGACTCAAGACAAGTTCACTGCCCGCAAAGTCTTCATCCCAGTAAGAGTCGGCGGATTGGGCAAGTGAAATCGAGCTTCGTGAGAAACGAGATGTAGGAGTTATGCTTCCTTGGCTCAGAATATCAAAGTTGGATTGCAATGTCTCCTCATTATCGAAGTGGCCATAATCTTCATCGTCGCTTCCGTTGACGGAAAGTGTGTCGGTGTCTAGGTCGAGGTGTGGTGCGATCTTCCCCTCCACAGAGGGACTATCACACTCATGCTCCGAAGTCAACTGATAGTGGTTGCCGTTGACTACTAGGAAAATTCCACCCGTGGCCCAGTATTCAAGTTCTCCAGTATGGCGGCAACGCAGTAGGTTTCGTCCTATTCTCAGGGAAGCTGACTGAGAATAAATATCGTTGTCGTACAGGGACTCTGTATTTGAGCTTCCTGGGAGAATGCTGGGAGAGCTTGTTCTCGCTAGTGCTTGTGCTGGGGTTCGTTGTTCCAGAGGATGTGGAATTCCGTGGATCTGGAATTCCGGAAAAGCTTGAAGAGCTTGGCTACCTCGCAGTTCGTCTTTGACCCGAGATCTAATAGTGTTGTTCATGCAACAGACCATTATCGTCGGCTCAGAGCTTCTGGGTGTTGAACCAATCATGTATAAACGAAAGTAGACCTCTGGGCGATCAAGTCCAATGCTCTTGAACACATCGTGAACGATGGCTTCAATATCATCCTTGTACTTTCTGAGTGCAGGTCCTTCAGCGTACCAAGCTTTCTTGCGTGTAAGCGTAGAGCTAACGATGGCCCTGCCGCAAGAGTGTTCTGGATCTCTCCATCTGGACCGTCGAAATAGTGGCATGATTTCAGGGAATGCTGAGAGGTTTGGTGACGATGCTTGAATTGTTAGCTCAACGTTTGATATGATTAATAAATGCGAGAGCAATGGGATGAAAGGGCCGGAATGGAAGTGTAAAAATACCAGACAAGTATTTGCCTGGCAAATCCTACCTTAGTACTTTAGAAGTGAGGCGGAATGAGCAACAATTTTTATGGCCTCTTGAAGCTTCATTGGTCGACAGAATAACGCTACTCTCAGGCGGCGTCCAAAGAATCATGGGTTTCGGTAAGACTCAATAGTTTGTCTCGCATGGTGGCCGCCAACGCTCTTGCATTCGCCCAATAGTAGAGGCTGCGGGTAATCACTGGCTATGACCATGCATGCCGCACAATTGTGCGGGGAGGAAATTCTCATGATTGAAAGGACTGTGCATTCTAATCGCGGCTACCAGGCATTAGTGGTCGCATCAACGCCCATATTCGCAGACATTTGATGCTTGGAAGGTTTTCCCAAGCCCAAAATTGGCTGCTAACTCCTAAGTATAATATCAGGTAGGGATGACCCAACAGTTGTACAATATTTCTTCATCCATTGTGTAGACCCTGATTGCATTATTCTACGATGATTGAATTTGGAGAACCCGACGCAGAAGAGCTTGTCAGTCTCCTCTGGAGCCCTCCGAAACCCGACGTCCACGGTCAATTGGGCAGATCACCCACAAGAGGTCCTTGTGGTACATCGGCGTAGAAGAACTACTGTCACCGTCAGTGGGGCTTGATTGCGGGATATTTCAATGGCCATTACATAACTCTCGACAGTCTCGCAGAGCTCAGCTCTCTCATTCGATATCTCCTGAAGACAGACACGATCACAAAAGGCCAGATAGATGCTTATTTGAAATCTAATCAGCGTCGAGTATTGGATCAAAAAGCAGTGGATACCACTATCAATCTCACTCTTCGCCTCCTGCTCATGCTTCGATTTGGCCCTGTTGAAGGGGAGGAATTTCTTGACCATTACCTTCGTTGGGGCTCTGGATCCTTGAAGGATTGCGTACGAGCTCATCTAGAGGATTTGCCTCATCTCAATATTGAAGGAATCCGTTTCCCGAAGAGCTTCAACGCGTGGAGTCTATTCACAATTGGGGGCATCAAAATTGAAGTAACAGACAATCTAGCCGACCACCTATTGCTGATTGAGGACGAGAATGATTTGAGAGTTTTGATATTCCACCATGTCTCATTTCTTCGATGCCACCAAAGGCGAGTAATGGAGCTCCTTGCAGAGAACTGATGGAAAGATCCATATTGATGCGAATGCCAAACCAGCTCGTTCTACCCACAGGGATTTCTCAAGGAGACTGAAGATACGTTGCAATTACTATTCCCCGAGGCAGAATTTGGGGGTTTGGGACGTTCCAAACGTCGTCGATCGTCATGGCTTCAAAAGCTGCTGTCCAAACAACCGTGTCTTCCAGCTGATTGGAGACTTGGCGCAAGCGGAACACTTCATGCGGAAGCCCGAAGGATCGAGAGGTTCAACTTCTGGAGGAACCGATTGGTTGTCCTCAAGCAGGCGTATGATGATGCTACTCCTCGTACGCTGACTCAATGGTGGTATGACCGGCGGAACAGGGTCATTTGGTGCACTTTCTGGTTGGCGATCCTGGTTTTGGTGCTCGGAGCGTTGGTAGGCGTCGTTCAGTGTGTTCAAGGCGGCTTACAAGTCTCGAAATCATGAACCACACAAACCTCGAAGAAATGTAAATAGTGGATGAAGAGGAAGGCATGCGGTGAGCGGTAATAATAATGCAATGAACATTGAATCTAATTGATGCACACCCCTCATCCTGGCTCAGGCATGCGTTCCTATCTTTTCGGCAATCTTTCTCAGCTCATGCTCCAGCTTCAGAATGGTATCCAAGTCTATTCCACATCTAAAGCCTTACAATGACGCGATTAGACTATTCTCATATCATAATTAATTCAACTTGACCCATCGGCTAATTTGCGACGGTTGATCAGATGTTCCTGCCTGGCTAGATGGGCGAACAAGGTACGAGAGTGCATCCAAGCATTGCTTGTGGCCCAGTGACGATCCCGCCACCCCACAAGTCTTGAGACTACGTTCTAGAACTTCTGAGTCAACAGACACAGCTCCAGAATGACGTTCGAAGGGAAACCAAGGCATTGGACGACTCGACTCGACTCGAGTGACTTCTCAGCAACCTTTAATCAGCAAACCCCCTAAAAAGGGACCAACTCAACACATAGCAGCTGAAGAAAACCCAAGAACAGACGATAGCCAAGACACCAAGCCGAATCGGCGAACTTGGCACACCAAATGCGGCGCCAAACCATGCCGGCCATCCGGCCCCGAATACCAACGGCGCCCCGATTGGTCACTCTTCGAAGACGCTCGGGTCCGCACCAATGTATCGGAATGTGGCGGCACCTCGGGGTTCTTCAACGGGGCCCTTCGGTGTGGCTCGGCATTGTCCGAGGTCCAGCAGCAACAGCACAAGGCATTGTGGCTCAGCACCCAAAAGCCACAATCACGTTGTCTGGGATGGACCTTGACTCTTTTAAGGCTTCGCCTTCGGCCGCTCGAGCCGTTTAGCGACTTGGGGGCGCTGGTTGCGGCGTTCTCAGTGACGTGGGACTAGGTTTTTCGCTGTCTTCCGTGCGGAGACCGATTGCGCGGCCCCTCATGACATGGTGACATGAGCCAAGTTGCTTCCATTATCCTAGTGTCGACTTGGGGCATTGGCAACTTAGCGTTCTCCGGTCGGGACAAAATGACGCACGAAGGGTCTGGCAGCACTATGCTGGGCAGATGGATGCATCAAGCAGGCGATCTATAAAGTGGAATGATTCTCCCCTTCATCAAAACTCATTATCATATTCATCATCACATCAAACCACAACTACAAGAACACTTAAGCCTCTCATTGAGCACCAAATCCAAACTCACAAACTTCCAACAAACACTCAATCTACCAGTTGGCAAAGCAACAATCAACTACTGTAAAGTCGCACAATCAAATTACCTGCGACAGACCTAAAGTCAACGAAATCTTCACAACCTACAAGGCTACAAGCTCAACTACCTTCAGCCTACCTTTACAAACAACACAAGATGTGCTTCGGCCTGTCGAGACGCAGAGGATACGGAGGTGGCTACGGCGGTCCTGGCTACGGCCCCCGCCCTGTTATCGTGCAGACCCACCACCACGGCCACCACGGCGGCGGCATGATGGGTGGACCTAGACCATGCGGTCCCCGACCCGGCTTCGGCGGTGGCGGCTTTGGCGGACCCGGCAGGCATGGATACGGCGGCGGCGGCAGGGGTGGAGGATGGGGAGGCCGCGGTGGTCGCTGGTAGACTCGAGGGTGATTTATGATGATTTTTACGGAATGATTTGCACGCGTTTAGAATTGTATACCACGGCGGGAACATGATTTCGAGGGCACAGGCGTTTCAAAGATTCAAAGCTTCAAGGTTTCGATATTCAGATTAGTAATCGGCATATATCAAAGACACATTACCTTACGTCATTACACCAAAAACCACTTGCATGTTTGATCAGTTCGCACTCGCATGGGATGACTGTTTGCCTTTCTTGAAAATACCCAAGTTACTCTTTGATTATTCCGACGGGCCGTTGGTAACGTACACACCCAGAACACATAGCCGTAGGTTAACGCGTGCCTCAAGGTCAAGGTGCACTATCGCTATCGAGATCACACACAAAATTGCGACCTTAATTAGAAGATGGTGATGTGTTGTGAAATACATTTAGTGGAAAATTCGAAGATCCAGAGAGAGCCACAGTACTTAGAGCCCAATCACATGCCTCGCCGCGTACACATCGTTTCCGCATGCCCACTCTATCGCGGGTATCGCTTGTCGTGCTGTATCTCATGTAGCACGAGGGCAGGCCTCAAGGCGAAAGAGAGAATTGTCAGTACTCCGGACGACACTGCATGAACAAAAGATCATGAGAGATCCCTTTCATTTCTCAACATCCCACCCCTTGGAAGTGCGAGAGCCTAATCCCTTCTCTCGGAATCTAGATCCCGTTCAGTCGTCGCAATTTCTAGTTCTCTACAGCATCATATGTGGTAGTGATGCGGGGAAGTTATACTACGCAACTCTTCAGTTCGTGCTAGAAACAAGGGATTCAACCAAGTAGCAGCATCTAATTTCTCCAAAAGTGCCTTGGGTCCCTTTAGTTATTGGGATCCGACGGGCCGCCGGTCGAACTTTTGCACATATTACAGGGCTGCCCCATGAGAGCATTCTTCGGCCATTACCCCAAAGTCTCCCCAGACGGAACTGCTACTGGTGTATCAGATGGTCTGGACACTGCACGGTCGAAGTAACCTGGCCTCGGCACCCGAGGGGAAAGCTTAGGCGGACGATATACTTAAGCTCCACCGCCCTGAACACCTCACAGATCGGCATGTTGATAAGTAAGGCGCAAACAATAGCGACTCGTCAAAACACGCCACTATGGAAGACATTTTATCTACACTGAGCATCACACTGGGCACTGGGATTGGCTTATCCTGTGCGCTGGCGGCGGGAGCTGGTCTCCTGGCACACTGGGGCTACTTCATCCGAGGGCACAGGAGCATGGAAGTCTTCAATATCTTGGTCGTCCACGGCGTCACACTGATGCTTCTCTTCATCAAGTCCGTCACAAGTCTGGGATTCGCAAAGGGTACAACGGCCCATCTTGCGATATCCAGCTCTTACTTCGCGGGTCTGTTTACCAGTATCGTGGTATACCGCTTAATCTTCCACCCTCTGCGCCGGTTCCCCGGTCCTGTTCCGGCCAAGATGATGAAGCCGTACATCATGTGGCTCAACAGAGATTGGAAATTGCATGAAAGATATCTCGAGATGCACGAGAAGCACGGAGACTTTGTGCGCGTGGGTAAGGATCCAACAACTTGAGCGAGCGCTGGTGGTTATGGAGACTGAGTACCAGCTAATAAGACCCCAGGCCCCAACGACATCTCCATCGTCAACCTAGACGCTATCACTAAGATCCACGGACCACAGACAAAGTGCACCAAGCGCAATACCGGATTCTACGACGCCTTGAGGACAAAGGGCGAGTTGAACTTGGATTCTCTTTCGCATAACGAGGTACACCGTGACAGACGTAAAGTTTGGGACCAAGCTTTAGGAAGCAAAGGTAACGCCGCACCCCCTCTCATTCCACTAGGCCTGAAATCTTCACAGAGTCTGTCCAAGTACAGGTCGCATATGCTAATACTCCTCTAGCTCTCGAAAGATACGAAGAAGAAACCCGCACCGTCCTCCGGACCTGGCTATCTCGTCTTGAAGAAGTCCAAGGAAAGCCCATCAACGCCTCGCACTACGCTAAACTCATCCCCTTTGACAATATGGGTCGCGTAGGCTACGGCCGAGATTTCGGCACCGTCCGAGACGGCAGAGAGGATAGGATGCTCGACCTCATCGAGACCACGTTCAAGTTGGGCTCTCGACTGGGGCAGACGCCTTGGCCCCTCGTGTTTCTGGCGAAGCTGCCGCGGATGGGTATGCAAAAGGAGTTTGAGGATTTGGGGGTCCGGCTTGTGGATGAGAGAATTGCCGTAAGTTGAGACTTACTTAGAGGTATTATGGTGAAGTATAGCTGATAATTGAACAGGTTGATTCTGATGAGTCTCACGATATGCTGAAGTACTTCCTCGACGACTACAAGTCTGAGAAGCCAAAGTCCTTCTTCAATGTCAACATCATGTATTCAGACTCTCAAGCCATCCTTATCGGAGCGACGTACGTACATGTACCTACAGGAACTTTTGCTTGGAGAAACTCACCTGCTAACCAAGAGTCAGGGATACAATATCTTGCACCCTAGGCTACGCTTTCTACTACATCGCCCGCGACGCCAGACTCCGTCAGCGTCTTTACGACGAGATTGCGCCTATGCACTGCAAGACTCTTGAAGGGGAGTTTGCTGTAACGGACCTCAATAAGCTCGAGCTGCTCGAAGCCGTCATCACCGAGACTCTGCGCATGTATGCGCCGGCGCCGATCAACGGGCCCAGAATGGCTCCGCCGGAGGGTGTGACGATTGATGGGACCTACATCCCTGGAGACGTGACGTTGTGTACTCCAATCCACTGCTATCATCGAAGTAAGTCCAGAAGTTCGCGTGAGGTGGACAAATTTGTAAGACTGATGATCCCCACAGGCCACAAGTACTGGAGGTACCCTAATGAGTTCATTCCTGAGCGCTGGACGACGCGGCCCGAGTTGATCATTGACCGCAGGGCCTTCTTGCCCTTTAGTTACGGTAAACGGATCTCGCGTATATCATCCGAAGAATGACTAGCTGACAATTTGATATCCAGGTCGGTATGACTGTGTGGGGCGGCGTCTGGCTTGGAACGTTCTGCGGCTCACCATCGCCTATACTCTCTGGAACTATGACTTTGAATTCGCCTCTGGAGAAGACGGCAAGACGTTTGAGGAAGAAGCCAAATTCCAGCTGATTATTAAGCCCGCAAAGTTGGATTGTGTTTTTACGAAGAGGCCCGAGACTCGGGTGTGAAGCTAAGGAAGAGAGGAGCCAAGGTTTTGCGTGCTCTTGATGAGTCTTTGTTCATAGTGAGGGAGGTCAAGAAGACAGCAAGGAGGGTCCGAAGGAGACACGAACGACAAGGTTATTCAGTAGCCCGATTTCTTTTTCTCAATGAAGTCCATTGTACTCGTAGTGACCATTATCTTCGTGGCTCATGTGAAGTCGTGTGACAAATGGGACCTCCCTTCTAGGAGCTCCGAATCACTGCCCGCTTCCCATTAGGCAAGGTAGTCCGTGGTACCAAAAAGTCAGTGCCCTCCCCTCATACCACAATCCACCCTCACAACCGCCCAAAACCTTCGAGACTGCTTCTAAATCAGGGCTATGGCAAATGAAAACCTCCTCTAATCTGCCTCCTGGGTGGGCCAAGCTGGTCTTGCACATCTCTGACTCAGGAATCAGCGGGCCGTCATAGTCCGTCGGATGATGACGAGCGTGGCACATGGCATGTGTACGGTAAGAATCAAGGTTCCTTTTAGCCTTCTAAGCCGGTCCCATCATCTGCTCGTTAGGCCTGTCCCGATTATGTGTGACGCCCCATTCCGGACCCCATCGCTTCGCGACCCAATCGAGGTCTCTATCGTGAAAGTCCGCCGGGATATAGACCCACTTCTCTTCGTCTTTGAGCCAGGTTCTTGCGGGCATGTACGCCTCGAGCATGTAATAGTTATCCCGCGAGTAGGGAAGATCGATGGTAGGCGGACCGTTCCCCTCCAAGAAGGCGTCTGTGAGGGACTCCGCGTCGGCCTCGGACATCGCGAAGTGCCGACGGCGGTTACCCTTGTTCGCTCTCTGTCTCTTGATCGCGGCACAGGTGTTGTTGAGATGGACCTCGAGTAGATGAGCGTAGGCGAGCGGAGAGCGGATGGCGTGGAGAACGATGTCTGTGATTCTGTCTTTCCAGACCATGTTCCACGAAGCGTCTTGGCCCCGGCGCATGATGGTAATGGGAACCCCAGAGTCGAGGTTGGGGCGCCACTTGTTGAAGTCGACAATGATACAGCAGGCCTGCCAGCGTAAGACGCAGGTGAGGCAGGTGCATAAGACGTAGGGCTCCGGTTGAGGGATGTGGACGTATCGCCGGTGGATGCCGAGCATGTCGATTCTGGCGTCATTCTTGAGGACTGGGTGAAGTTCTGGGTCGATCTCGTCAAGTGTGACAGGGAGTCGGAAGCACTTGGAAAGAACAGGGTATCGTTGAGAGATGATTTTGCGCGAGAGAAGCTTCTCGTTGTGTTGGATGAGCTTGCGGAGTGTCTTGCAGGTCTGGGCAGTCTTCAAAACCTCGCTGGGAAGCATGTTGCTGATAATGTCGACGAGAGTCTCATTGGGAAGGTCGAGGAGTTGAGTTGTCCGGCGAGCTGAGGACTTTGCAGTCTTCTTCTCAAGTTTTCGCTTCATTCTCTCGGTCTTCTTTGAGCGTAGATTGAGCGCGCCCTTTGCAGTGACACGGTCGCTATCTGTGACTTCCTTTGTGGCTTCGGTGGGTCTTGAAATCTCGCCGTTGATCAGCTTGCCGGTGCTTGTGTAGTAAGAAGTTGTGCCATCACTGTTGATGACTGTGAAAATTGAATCGTTGACGACTGGCCCTTCTGCCGTAGTTGCTGCCATCGTTGGTTGTGGTGAACTTTTTGCGCCCAGAGTTGCTTTAGCAGGGTTGACTTTTGTGGAGGAAATAGCCTTCTGCTTGAGAGACGACTTGGGTCCCTTCGATGAAGCTTCTGCGATCTCATCAGTTTCCTTCATCATCGGTGAGATTCCCGTGAGCCTCAAGCTCTGGTCTCTTTCTCTTTTCAAGTGATGGAGGTAAGTTGAGGGTGAGTATTCGATGCCGCCACCACCGAGTACGAAGGAAGGTGTGGGGGTTGCGTCACACCGAGCCTGTCCAATTGGATGGGTAAAGAACCCTGCGCACAGACCACTTTTGTACCTCCAAGAGGAAAGAGCAGAGGGTCTTATCCCTTCCCCAGACCATTCGCAGAATCTACGCTTATGTCATCATCAAATATCCTTCCTTCTGGAAGGCGCGATCAAGATGCAACATCCGAGGATTCGTGATAACTTAGAAGAGCAATTTTCGAAATGAATATTCTGATGTATAAGTGGAAGACGAACTGAGGGTAATGCGCGAAATCAAAAAAACAGTTCATTGTCGGAGGGCTCCCGCGACTATCCGTGTATCTGTGTCCATCCTGAAAGCCTCATCCTATCACTATCTGAAGAACTACCAAAGCAAATATTATCTGGCAGGCCTTTGTCCCAACACCACTATCGACCAAAGTCGGCGATGGTTCAATATGCCCAGCAGAAAAGCCAAAACGAACGCCTGGGTATCTCGTCACAAAACAAACTCAGACTCCAGAACTTTTCCCTTCCAAGACCAGTGTAAGTGAATCCATTTCCACTTCCAGTCCATCCGATCTGTGCTTTTTGCCTTGAGTGACTACTTATGAGCCACCATAGCGAAAATTTCTGCACTGAGTCGAGATCATGCCTGGTTCACGCTCTCAGACTGAGCAAGGGTCGACGCCGTATCTGAGCTCCCAAATTGGAGACATTCTGCCATCAGGAAGGGTGGCACCGGGAGGATACTCCTTACTCAGCGCTTGACGAGCAGACTCGGACTGGTTTCGATAGCAGGCGAACCGGATTTCAAGCTCTCCCATTCCAGTCTGAGGGTCTTGAACATGGGCGATGACATCCTCGGTGTCGAAATCGAGCTTCATGCGGAAGTAACGCAGCAGAGTGTCCTTATTGACAAAGGACAACTCGCCGGTAACGATGAGAACACGAGAGTGGTAGCCGCCGACATCCTCCTCAGCCTTTCGAACCCGGTTGCGAACAATCTTGACGGCGTAGCTACTGATGATGAGACGACGGGCCGGGTTTCTACAGTGAGCGTAGAAGCGCTGAGCCGCGGACAGCTCGAAGAACACCAACTTGGCGGCCGAGGTGAAATGCTCATGACCATCTGGAGGATTGATCACAGTGGCCCAGACGCGTCCCATGCCGCGAATTTGACCCAGAAGCTGGCTGTAGGTGACGTCCGCTGGGAGGTTGGTCAAGAAGAAGGAGACATTCTTGCACTCTGGAATGTCATCCGAAAGGTTGCGCGGGTTCAAAGCATCGCCCTTGTAGTTAGCCGAGACACCCTGGGCCATCTTGAGATCCTTCTGAGGATCGCACTCAGGGCGGAAGAATGTTCGAGTGACGGCGTTCATTGGCCGAAACTCGCCGACTGGAGCGTAAGATTGGAAGCCCTTCTGAGCAACCGCAGGTCGAGGCTCATGCTGAGCCCAGACAGAGGTGGCTTGAGGAGTGAGCAACTCCCTCAGGGGGTGAGGGTCCCAACGACCTGTGCCGATTGGAGCTTGGCCGTTCATGGGCTTCGTGCCATTGCGGTGGGTTGAAGGCATCCCAACACCTGGCTGAGGGATGAAAATCCGGTTGCGACTTGGCTCGGAGGCAGATTGCCGCGACTGTGGCTGCACCTGACCAGCCAAATTTGCACGAGGGCCGCCTGGGAAGTTGTTTTGAGCACCAGCATTCACGGGCTCTCGAACAGGCAAGGCTTGGCCGCGAAAACGAGGCAAAACCCAGCCAGGGGCTTTCTCGGGAGTTCCATCTGGCGCATTGAGCTTCTGGCCTTGAGACATGGTGTTGGAGCCGCCGTCGTTCGCAGAAGTGGAATCGGGAGAGATAGTAGTGGGTGGAGAGGAGTTGGTCTTTTCGCTGCCCTTGCCCTTATCGATTCCAGTATTCTCGCCAGCTTTATAGCCGGTGGCGTTGTAGCAGACTGGACCTTGGCGAGCGCCGGACGAGATGGAAAGCCGATCGGTGCTTGAAGACCCATGGCTGGACGATGAGCCAACTCGAGGGTGAACGTGGGCGCTTCCAACGATGGTGCGATGGCTATCTGTCCGAATGGCATGGGCATGGGCGAGATCAATCCGGGCCATGCTTTGGAGCAAAGTCGCTTCAATCGCAGGATCCATGACCAATCTGTGGTTGAAGTTGTTGCTCCCATTCTGATGGTTGGTCATGTTCTGATGAGTATCCCGGGCAATACCCGGGCAATAGACAGAGCTGGAAAGAATAGCTTGATCCTCGTTGCCTCCGGCAGCGTTGGCGTGCGTTCGAATATTGTGGGGAGCATTGATCAAAGCCTGGTAAGCAGCAGCAGTGTGCTCGGGAGATCCAGCGAGAAGATCGAAACCAGCCATCGTGAAGTTGATAAGTTGTCGACGGTAGTTGAGGTAAGTTACTGCGCGTGTGGTTAGCTTGAAACTGTACCGGGAAGAAGCCTGCTTTCTAGTTGAAGAGACTTACTAGGGACCGACGTAACGAAGGTATATGTCTTGAACAGCAAAAGTAACCGTTGTAGGTTCTGCGTGCAGTTTGTTGACGGCAGTTTACTCCGCAAGATGACAGGCAGTCTTTTGATCTGATTGGTGACAGAGTTCAAAGACTGGATGAGCAAAGGAAGCAACAAGATAATTGTTTCAGGCAAAATATTGGTTGTCCTTGAGTTGGATGGAGGAAGGAGAAAAAATTGACCTGATTGCGGGATGAAGGGGGGACGTTTTATGATGAAGAATGGGAGGATGGGCGGTTCCAAGGCGGTTGAAGGGCGGTTCGAGGCAGCAGGCAGGTGGAAGGAGGCAGGTATGGAGGTAGGAAGGAAGGTGCAGGTCGTCGGCCACGTGACGGAGTTAAAAGGTGGTTGAGTTAACTGCCTGGACAAGGACGAAAGGTGAAGTTGAGAATGTGAAGGACAGCTGAAAGGCTGGGGGCCTTGATTATTGTAGTCTAAACAGTGGGCTGCCTGGGGAATTGACCACCTTAGTACGTTACAACAGAGTTAAGATCTCAAGAATTCAGAGGTCAGATGGCACGTTTCTGAAATTCTTATCAAAGCTAAGGGAGCAGAGGCTCGGTACTCACAGGAATGGAGTGAAGTCTCACTGATTTAACATTAAATATATAAGGCTCTTATCAAAAAGGTCAAAAATCCAGCTTCTTTGGGGAATTACGAAATAAGGTCGAGACTGGAGGTTCGTAATGAAGATGAAGGCGAAGCTGAAGGTCAAAAGGGGCAGAATGCTCTGAAAGCCTACGTAAGGTCGAGTTTGTCCAGAGACTAAGATACCTTAGGCAAGAGGGCTGGCGGAAACAGATGGAAGGCGCAAAAACACTTCAAAACTTGCTGATCGTGCAGACCATGCCTTAGTTCTTGGATTGCCTTGTTCTACGTACTAGGTAGCTTAGAGAGACAGCTGAGGACTGTATGGAAAGCAGAAATTGTGAGGTTCTGGGAGGCGATAAGTCTCAATCTCCATCAGATCAAAGTACCTACTCACAATCTCGAGGATTCGGGATGTATCGGCTTAATCTTGCGCTTCAGTCAAGCCGACTTATGAGTAAAAGTGGAAGGAGTTATGTCAACAACACACTGAAGCCCCTCCTAGACCGACATCGTTTACACGCATAAGCCCCAGTCTTGTAGAGTGAACTCAATCCGAGTGGGCTTCGAGATGGAACCAGAAGCGACGAAGACTATCACGTGTTACTAAAACATCTTTCCTCAGGGCCCTGCAATAGTGCCACTCGCAGGAGGCTTCAGGCCGTTCAGAGCGATGGCTTATCCGTCTTAGCCTTTGTCTGAACTGAACAGGGCCGAAATGTGTACCCCAATACGAGAAGAGAACACTTGAAGGATCGAGAAACCACTGACACTCAAACAACGTGACCCCCGAATCGTGTGCTTGAACCAATTCCTCGATGGCCCTCAACAAACTCTACCAAATTGTCTTGCAAACTTTGGAAACTGAAATGAAAGATGGCGTCGCCTGCCTTCAGCCTCCGTAGAAAGGGGCAGCCTAAGCTGAAAGAGCATGGAATGGGCGAAATGTTTCTTTAAGTTCCGATTGCTACTTCTGAACTTTGAAAAAGTTTCACTATAGATTCCGTACATAACGACGATCTCTAAGCTCCTTCAATCTTCCAGCTTCGGGCCATAAAAACAATTAAAGGCTTCCGTGTTGTCTCACTGGAAGTAGCAAGGGGGGTTGCCCGCCGGTTCTTTCGACAAAGAATCAGCATAAGATTTGGTAGATACATAAATCCAAAGCCATTCTTCAAGAATGAAAGGAAATAGGCAAAACTAATCGATGACATTCGTAGACACATGAAAGTAAATGCAAGGTCCATCCGAGGTCTTTGGGTTTTCCAAGCCCGGTTTTCCACGACTTACCTTAATATAAACAAGGCACTTTCAGCATCTTCCCCTCTCGAAGGCCTTCTCAGGCTGCAAAAAGAGCCGTTTGAACACAATGATCTACCCATCTACCGTTTTGCATAATGCCATCATTCGTGGTTAGATTTGTATGGACTGCGTAAGCGATCCGGTTGCAGTGATGACTGGAGAAGAAAATCATCTTGACTTACTTGATGATGGATGGGAGTGAGGTTGCTTGTATTGATAGCAATTTGACCAAGTCTGGTTGTGCGTCCTGTAGGGTTTACAACCTCTTGTCTCACATTTTTATGGTATGGGGACGATGGTTACCCTGGGGCAAATGATTAATAGTCAAATCTGCTTCTCTTATTACTAAAACTATCATACCGAGACCTCAATGATACTCTTTCGGCCCACAATCACAATCCACTCGGGTGCTGCCGTCCCGTGGCCGAGTCTCTACCGGACGACGGGAGGGCGGCTGCGGCTCCCCGTCACGCTCCAGTCCCTTGCATCAACCACCGACGATATGCTTTCGGAAAATTCAGATCGAGTAATCTGCAGCCGCCCGTCAGTGGAAAGTAAAATTCACAAACCATGGAATCGGAACCCTGACAGTATGTCATTGGACAAGACAGGCGTCATCCCTTTCCCAAGAATTTGGAAGCTGTGTGTCAAAATACGAGATCAGCAAAAGGCAGGGCAACCGAGATCGGGCATCATTCTTTTCAGGCGATTCTCTCATGCCTGAATCGAGCTATTGAAGACGATTCGGGAAGCAAAGTCTCAGACGGAATGCTGTTCCCCGTCGCCCAGCATTACCGGGACCCTTGACGCGGCCCTCCCTTGGGGCTCACGGGCTCATAGTTATCTCATCAGAGGATGGGAAAAATCCTGTTCAGCGATCACTCATATGTCTCACAAAAGGAACCACTACCACGGAATGGGTAAGCGATTGCGCAAAGTCGAAGCGAGAGATTCCCGATCTCTGTGCCATGGATGACAAGTTAATTATTCAAGAGTCCCACAAGGACATGCGGGGGCATCTGTCAAAAAGAAAGCACCATTGAATCACATCTGATAGAAATTATTCACAGTCGCTCATGACCACTCAGTCACACTCATCTTAAATGCCGATGATGGTCTGAGCGGCAATACCCCAACAACAGTTGGTTCATCATCCTCGCACTCGCAAAAGGACTCGCGGGCACTTACATGATCTCAAACCACGGCAGGGTGCATCGCGAGGCTCCGATTTCTTGCTTTTCATAAGTTCCAGTCACCCGATGTTGTTTTCGTCCAGCATCTATTGTTACACACACCAATCATATATGCATGGCAGGGGGTGAAGGGGCCATCCCTCGGCACCTGAACGCAGATCGAGAAAGGGATCCTGCCGGATCTTGGAGGCTTTGCCCAACGAACAGGGGTATCGGGGAAGTAGATCTGTGAGGAAGAGGAAGACGAAAAAAAGCAATGGGAGAAAAAAGAGAATGATGGATAACGTGAGGCGCGCGCCATACCACGAGCTCAGCTCCCACGAATTTTCCATCGCACGCGTCCGTGAACGCCTCATTGTACACGAAACCTGGCATCATTGTCTGAGCCTCGCAGTTCTCGTTGCTTGTTGGATGCCCTTGAACCTCTGGGAGGACACTCGGATCTCCTGGATAATTGCTTTTTCTTCTGCAATCTGGATATTATGTGCGCATCCTCCTGGCCGGGGGGTCAGCCAGACCTCTGGGAATGCACCGGTTATTGTTATGTAACTCTTCTGGGATTGGACTGCTGCATCGAGCTCTCGCTTAAGTAGGTTCTTTTCTCAACAAGGAGGGGAAACATTGCGAGGCCGCAGCAACGCCAAAATGACGACCAACTGCATGAGGTCGTTCTCCCTTCCTTTCTTCACCAACACGAGGGGTGGGAGACTCACTTCACGCCTCGCTCTTCTTCGAGGCACTTTCAGGAAGCCCCGATGCGCCAATGTCTCGACTGACATAGTGTGCGAAATGTGCAAATGTGAAGCTGATGCCCCCTCCCGAGTCCCAAGAAAAAAAGCTCTGTCAGGTCTGTGTACTCACCTTCTCCCTACGTTCGATCTACCAAGTGGGAACATCTCAGACACTGCAGCGCCTCAGCTGTGATTATTGTTGTTGTTGCTGTTTTGTTTTTTCTCCGACGCAGGAAAAAAAGTTTTCTACGCACAAAGAAATTTGAACAGGACGTTGTATCTGTTGTGCTCCTTTCTCTAACCAAACAGGCGGCGGTAAGACTCGAAAGATCAACAAATGCGCTGTTCGGTGGTCAGACCAGCGTTGCAGCTCTCCTCCTGAGCAGTGAGACGTGGCCAGGAAGACTGCCGACATAAGCTCCGTGCATCATCCGGTGAGTCGTAGACTTTTGATTTGCGAACGCAAGCAATGGCGACCGTCAGGACCCAGGCCTTGGCCGCGGGCCATCACTTGTCGGCGCCAGATTTCATTCTTTTCTTCCTTGCGGACTGGAGAGGAGAAGTGATGCTCATTCCTCACGGGCCCTCGCCGTACAGGGATGCGGTCTCACCCGCCGCGGCGGAACATTACCCGGAAGCCTCTCCCGGGAGACGGACATGGGGTGCCAGCAGAGGGGGACGGCCACAAGGGCGGTGGCTCGCAATCATCAACCAACCTGTGTCTAGTTCGCCTTCCGGATCGAGGTTCCGCATGTCTTGAGATGTGCGCAAATCCCATCCCACTGGCTCGCGGGACTCCATCCGTCTAGGCCAGGGCGAGCCTAGTAGAACGCATCGCAGAAGAAAAGGATCCAACACCCTTCTTGGTGATCTCCACTACCAACTTCATTTGCAACCCTCCGATCCCAGTCCTGGCTGGGGTAAATTCGGTGGTGGAGGAGGTAAGCTCTCTCTTTTGGGAGGGATCTCGAGCAAACATGGCCGGGGCAAGGGTACGCATCCACATCATGATCTTGGATACAAAAGGTGAAGTCCCTCGCGCGATGTTGATCAGATCACGCTCCATCCAGCAGAACAACATTCTTTGAGCCTTCCAAGCATTCATCTGCTTTTCTCTTTCTCTTCTCATATCATTCAAGAGAGACCAGCGGCAAGATGAACGGCTCACAAGATGAGAGGGACGCCCCTCATGCGACAGTCCCGATCTGCGAAGAGAAGGACATTGAAATCATCATCACCCACAACATTGGTGATGTGACAGATCCGGAGAAAGATGTTCAGACATCAGCAGTCATGTCTAGCCAGGGATTCCAGACCGACGATGAGTCCTGCAGTGTCAGTAGCGGGCCAGAGAAGCAGGGCATGTCCAAGGCCCGTAGCATCGCCCTCGTCACAACCGTCAGCGGTGCAAGTTTCATGAACGTAAGTAATTAGCGTGGTACAACATCTACCGAACCTTCTAACGACGACATCTAGACTCTCTCAGTCCAAGCCGTGGTCATCATTCTGCCCACTATCGGTCGCGATATTGGTATCCCAGAGTCGCGTCTCCAATGGATCGTCTCAGCCTACTCTCTCACCTTCGGATGCTTCTTACTCCTCTGGGGTCGTATCGCCGACATCTATGACAAGCGCATCATCTTCATCGCTGGTACTGCCTGGCTCGCTGTCATGACTATCGCCAACCCGTTCATTCCCAACGAGATCGCCTTCAATGTCTTCCGCGGCTTACAAGGTCTAGGCGCCGCCGCCAATGTACCAACAGCTATCGGGATCCTTGGGACGACATTTCCGCCTGGAAAGGCGAAGACATATGCTTTCGTGGCATACGGAGCTGGCGTGCCCCTGGGAAGCACCTTCGGCACCATTCTATCTGGCTTCATCGCCGAGTACGCCAACTGGAAGTGGGTATTCGGCGTCATGGCTATCCTCGCAGGCCTCGTCGCTGTCGCGGGCATCTTCTTCATCCCTCCCGGTACGCCAACATTGCCCAAGAAGGGTGTCAGCGCCAGAAAGTCGGTTGATTGGATTGGCGGAGCTTTGATCACCGTTGGCCTCTTGGCCCTCATGTTGGCTCTCACTGAGGGTAACGTCGTCGGCTGGAAGACCCCTTGGATATCGGTTCTTATCGTCGTCTCGTTCATGATTATGGGAGTATTCTGGTTCTGGCAGCGTCACCTTGAGTTCAAGACAGATCGCCTTCCACTCATGAAGACCTCCATCTTCCACAGCGGAAAGTTCTGTGCCGCGCTCGCCATCATGGCCATGTTCTTCGCCTCGTTCAACAACTTCCTCATCTTTGCGACCTACTTTTACCAGGACTACCAAGCGAAATCCATCCTCACGACCACGCTGTACTTCCTTCCCACCGGCATCGGCGGCATTATGGTGGCCTGGGCAGCTGCGCTTCTAATCTCGCGTGTGCCAACCTACATACTCCTCGTGTGCGGCAATGTCTCCGTCTCCATCGCATGCCTGCTCTTCGCAACACCGATCCCCACGAGCACATCATACTTCGCCTACGGACTACCTGCTATGATCCTGTCAGTCATCGGCGCGGACATGGCATGGCCCACCCTCATCCTGTTTGTTTCCAAGGCTCTGCCCCAGGAAGATCAAGCTCTTGGCGGCGCTCTCGTCAACTCGGTGGGGCAAGTTGGACGTTCCATCGGCCTGGCCATCTCCACAGCCGTCCAGACGGCCATCATGGCCAAGGCCAGGGGTGTATCGGTTGAGGAAGCAGGCCCGGTGTTGGAGTGGGACCAACCGTCGTTGGACGGGCTGCGGGCCGCCAACTGGATGAACTTTGCCCTCGGCATCACCTCTCTGACGATTGTGGTGGTATTTTTCCGTAGCTCAGAGATTGTCGGCAGGGCCGAGCCGGCCAAGGATGCAGAGGCCGAAAGGCCTGTCGTGAATGGGAATGATGCGGACATCGAAAAGAGATAGGTGTTCAAGATGTCGTATGTCTAAGTTTAGATTTCACAGGTCTCACCACCAAAGTAAAAGTTCTGTTTTTGTTAGTAGAAAAAGCTTTTTGACCCTTATTGGTGTCTCATTTTCTGTGTGAGAACGCAAGGCGTGACGAAACGAGACTGTGGCCGCGACTTCAGGTGCGCCCCAACGGCAGTGGACACGCAGCTGAACGCATCGAGAGACGATCAAATTCCTTCGAGAAGCACTTGCTGCATTCCACAGAGAGACAATACCAAGGACGCAGCATCTCTCGCCAGCTACTACGGACATGTCACTCCGCTCCACCTGAAGTCTCGGCCGTACGGTAAATTGAATCCGCTCAAGGTCATGTCATTTTGCGATCGGTTACCACTCTCCGACACCCGTTGGGGGAAGCTCCGACGATTTATCCTGGCCTATTGGCTCTGTGCCGCAAGTTGATTGTTTGCTTCGGTCCTGCAGTCGAAGAAAGCCCCCTGTCCCAACGAGGATTTGCGCAGGCTTTCCAGTCTTCACCGCGGCTTGAATAATGTATGTTTGCGTCACAGAAGCTGCGGCGATGAATCCAACAATGCTCGCGGCGACGGACTTGCGTCCGTTGTGGATTACACAACATCACCTCTGACCGACACAGGAGTCAGGATCATACCCTTTGGCACATGGGCCTGAATAAAGCAGTGTTGCACAGTGAAGCACCCGCACAATCAGCACAGATGCTTTCGATTTGGGTTCAAGACTACGTTTCTGCCAGATTATGCAGAAATCTCGATGTCGAAGACAGGCACCTAGAGATAATGTGATTAATCCTCTCGAGGTCGCAGAAGCTCCGTTGGTTCTGCATCATGGCAAGTAGACATCGCGTAAAGGCCCAGGTTGAATCAAAGGATCACACAATATCGAGAATGGAAGAACACATATCCAGTCACCTATTGGTCAGGGTAACGCCGGCAACGTATCAAATCGTTTATAGGCTAAAGGCGAAACCTTATGATCTCGGCGCTGCCATATCACGAATCACCGACCAGAACTGCAGAATTTTGAGGTGAGCCGTGTCAGGGTGCTCACGTGAGTTCATAATTCAGTAACAATAGAACCTTGATAGTGACATGATGAGTATAATATGCCAACATTCCCATCTGTCAAGGGCCGCATTGTCCACGATGAACCACACATTGAACTAAGGTAGCCTACAGTCCATACCCTCAATCCTGAATACGCATTCTTCAATTTTGAAATATTTTCGAGTTGTCGAGCGCCAGATTCAACTTTAAAATCCTTCGCCACCAAGATGGGCCTCTTGTGCGTACTATTTGTCGGACTCTGTGGCTTGGTCAAAGACAGCGTCGAAAGGTAGATGAATACAAAGCCGGTGGAGGTTTCAGCCGAAACGGCCAACTCCTCCACTGTACCGTCTGAAGCGAAATATTCAAGTCATCTGGAATCAGATAAGGCCCAGGAAGCCTCTCAAGTTACGAACCAGACTAACACTCCATCAATCGAAACGACAAGCTCTCGTATTGTATCACCTAGAGCGAAAAGCCCAAGCCAACTCGCTTTGAGAGAGATTCAGAAAGCTCCAGAAGTCGCTGATCACTCCACCATCTCTCAGATCGAAAGGACTGAAACACAAACCATTACGCCCTCCAGTGGGCCATCGAGCTGGGAGATCGAATTCGATCGAAACCTGCGCCGTAGTCTTCTCATAGGACTACCAGATGAGTTGCTGTTGCGTATCATGCAAAGACTGAATACTGTCGACATGTATATGCTACGCCAAGTGTCATTCACCTTCTGGAGGATCTACCAAGATAAAATGTTCGCGGAATTCCACTGTCCTATCGAAAAGGATGAGTATATTTCAGCAAGATTGTGGAGATCAGAGGTGATGGGGAAAATATACACAGACAAGGAGACAAGTATTCGAGCAAAGGATACTGGGTTTTGCGTCGCCTGCTCAACTAGGAGGAAGATGCCCGACTTCAACAGATTATGCCGATCTTTCCACTGCACCGAGTTTCTGTTCTGCTCCGAGTGCGGACATCGACACCCAAAATTGCATTTTTCTCATCAACAAAGAAACCAGCCCTCCTCAACACGCAAATGTATTGGATCTGAAGGAGTGGCCCGAGTTTGCCCTCATATCGCGATATCGCCATCTTCTATTCGCCGGGCAATCTTAGACCAAGAAGGGGTCGACACCACCCGAATGAAGTTGGGAGATGGATTTTGTCTCGCGCGCTGCAAAGAGTGCAGAGAAAAGGCTTCTTCGACGCTGGCCAAGTCCGACCCCACCCATATGTTTTCTTTTACTCCATGGTACGCCCCTCGAGTAATGCTCAGGACACCACGCCGACCATGGGATAAAGACGCTTCATCGCACCACTCTTTAGGTCTACATTGGTGTCTACCAGTCTTTCGGGTGAGTGAGAAGGAAAATGTCACAAACATTCGTCTCTCTCAAGAGCTGAGAGCGTTTGGTCAAGAGTATGGCGACCTACTTTGCCCGCATGTCACCTATGACGATGGGCAACTCGTAAGGCCTTTTGACCCACAAAGTTGCGCCTGTCTAGGGGTGGATAGTCGGGTAGGCGCGGTTTCTGGCGCCAAGTCTCCGGTGGAAGGGTGCAAATTTGGGTGGAGGTCTTGTAAATCAATGGCCAGAGAAAATGAACGCGATAAAAGCATGTTTATACCATTTGGTGCTGAGGATTGTCACAAGGTTGAATGTAGAGGCTGTGACACAACATATCAGTGGCACCGTTTTGACGCCGACGTGTTTCTATCCCGAAGATCGCTTGGCGACTTCGTTACAGGGAAGAATGAAGATAGCGATGTGCATAATGTTGATGCGCTTCTCGATCCGAATACCTATTATTCGAATTCGGATCATGAAACGAAACACCTTCTGTGGAGTGACAACAAGGACTGCCGGAATGGAAGGCGATGGATTGAATATGGAAGGCATCTAAGTTGAGGTCTGTTCGTCATGCTTGGTAATATTGATTTGAGGGAGAGGTAACGAGTGTGTAAGGACTCGAGACCATAGGCCTTCAGTAGAAGACACTTCTGTAAACAGATACATGGACATCTCGCGAGAGAAGTAAAATGCCTAGCGATAATCTGACGTCCCAAAACCTCCACGCATATCACAATGTCATGCTCTACCCCGAAAACCACTTATTCCCTCGTATTCTTCTCGTCTTCAATTTCCATCTCGCATGGAACTTGGCATTTTGAATTCCCAAGGGTGAGGACTTGGAAGCGGAGAAGACGTAGTAGCACCCCTACATGAAGTGGGTGAGCTGGGCCTGATGAGCGTCAAGGTCGTTAGCAATGTGCTGGAAGTCGTCCTGGAGCTTCTCAATCCGACTTGAGCTTTTCTGATCTTCCGTCTTCAAGTTGAGGATGCTGTCTCTCAGTGTTGTAGCCTCGGCACTACTTCTGATCGCTTGCTCACTGAAGCTGGCCGCGAGGTTATTCGCCATGGTAGTCAGCTCGGATACGCGGCGCTCCAGATCAGTGACTCTCGCGGCTTCAGCCATCACGTCAACGCGGCATTCCAGACCAGTAAATGCCTCAAAATTCTTTTGACAATTGCAAACGAGGGATGAATGACAGGTAGTATGCTATGCATAGCTTGGGGATAACCACATGGATAGAAAGGCCTATCGTAATAAGGTGAATTGCGCCCCTTCAGGTAAGTTCTTTAATCCAACATCTGCACGATCATTAACTATGCAGCAACCTCCCACCTGACATCTTCCCAGCCCGCTCTCCTACGCATCCGTCCCTTGAGGTCGCTGCCCAGTACCGGCTTTCCAAAAGATCCAGTCAAAGGCACAGCCGTAACCTTTGGAACCACAAGTGGATTCCCCTCCGAACTAGTAACATCGAATCCAGCAACTAGCAGCGCAAGAGATCCCAACAGCTCGCCGCTCGCGAAGTAACGGCCGGGGCTAAATGCCCATCGTCAGCTTGAAAACGATCATCGACAGACGGATCGTGGGGGCAAGTAACTTACCAAATATGTTTTCCACCTCCAAAGCCAAGGAACCCTCGGACAGCAACATTGACAACCGCCTCCCCCTTCTCTTCCGCAACTTTCAAGAACCTATCCCCAACAAACTCCAACGCATCATCTCCCCAGATCCCAGAGTCAGTCTGCAGGATCCTTTGCGGTGCAGAAATCTGCCAATCCTTCTTCACCACGAAGCTCGTCTTCCCATCCGAAATAGTCGTATCAGCCATGACCTTCCTCGCGAGAACACCCGAAGCATACAACCGATGCGTCTCGCGGAAACACGACATTAGCAGCGGACACCTCTCCTCCAACTTTTCAATATGCAGCACAAACACTCTCTTCTTTTCCCCATCGACTACGTCCCGCCCCTTCTCCTCAATGACGCCCTGCACCTCCTCCCGAAGTCTCGAAAGAAGCTCAGGCTGACTGAACACTCGGGTGAAGAACCAGTAGAACGCAGGGAAAGTATTCGAGATGGCGCCGTGGAGGAAGATCAACTCAATCTTGGCTGCTTCTGCTGACGTCATATCGAAGCTTATGCTCAGTCTCCGACGATCTTTGACGAGGGATGGGACGTCGTCGCCTTCGTGGAGTTGGGAGTCGAAGAAGGATTTGAAGGCTTCTTGGAAGAGGGCTTGGCCGCGGTAGCCTTTTGGCGCGACGAGAGAGGGGAAGATGCCCAGCATGAGCTTGTTGACGTCTGCTTCGTAGTCCCTACTCAATGTCAGACCGCTTCATCTCAAGTCAGATTGTCATCTAATGGAACTTACCAGTACGCTTCGATGAGTTTCTTATCCGCTCTGAGCGGATTCCTGCTTCCATACAGCGAATCCGTGCTGGCTAGGGTAAACAGCTCCCGATTCCACATGTACAAATCCGCAACCTCGACATCGTCACCAATTTCGTTCAACGCAGTCGCAATCCCTCCCACAGCAGAGATGTTGAGCCCAAGAAGAGATTGCCCCGCCATACCCCCGTAGATACTCTTCACCCAAGGCCCGTAAAACGCGGGATCGTCCCACGCCTTCATGGTCTGCGCGCTGGCGCCAGCCATCCCCTTAATGAGGTCCCTTAAAAACGGATCGAAGCTGAGGGAGCGGTTGCGGAGTGCCGCTTGTGCGAGTTCGGGTTCCGTTATGACGTACATCTTGCCGCCTAGCATGGGCAGAGTGAACATGGGAGCCCTCGACTTTGCACTGCGGGTATGCATTCAGTATTGGCTGTGCAACGCATCAGAGGGGCTGACGAAGAATCTTACTAGGCGAGGTCAAGATATTCCCACGAGTGTTGGAAGATACCGATGATGTGGCCGATGAAGGGAACTGTCGGGCGCAACAGAGGCGGCTCTTTGGCGTCCATTGTGACGGGAGATCTGATGAGGTAGGCGAGGTATAGCATCGCAGGGATGGCGGTGAGCAGCGCCACTGAGGGCACGAAGCCATCGTCAAGCCCTAGAATGCTAAGCATGATGTCTTGAAGCCGGATTTACGTGTGCATCAAAACTCTACCGCAATTGAAACGGAAATGCCGGCAGAGGATGCTCTTTATGTACCTCGTGTCGCCTGCAATTGAACGTTCTTACCTCCAAGCTGATTGAATACAGGGGGAGAAGATGGCAACTTTTAGTGCTTATGGCGCCGTGCGACCAACCAAAATTCCTGGGAACTTCACCCGTCAGAAGGGAATGGGACTAGTTCAGTCCCGGCTTGTCGTAATTTGGCGTGAATGATTGGTTGTGGCCATTGTGCCCTGTCCTCCGCGACGGCACTGTAAGCTCCCACCCGGGCCGGTGCTCCGTCGTGTGGGGCACTCGGGTCCGGTGTGGTAGCCGTGTTCCGGCATGGCCGGGATTGGTGATAGTGACTGCACAATTGAGAAGCCATAGCTGTATTTTTGAAGCGATCTTCGCACCAGGATAGAGGCTGGCAGTACATGCACCGTTACTCCCAATGCCCCTGGATGGTCTTCCTTCAACTCAAATTGTCTTCTTCTCACCGACCCCATACCCATGAGCCTCTCCACCCCATGCGCCGCCTGTGTTCAAAGCAGGTTGCAAGCCATATTGGGTGCATTTGCAGAGACTCGTCATGGAGAAAAGCGTGTGACAACGGGAAGGATACAATACAGGGTGTCCTTCATCTACCGAAAGCTGTATGCCCTCAGTACGTACCTCTCACGTGAGTCAGGAATCTGGTGCTGCAGACGTGATCCAGTTGGATAAACCAGCTTGCATATATTCAGGTCTTTAAGCCAGTGTATAGAACAGAAGGGGTATCTCTCGCAAAGGAATGACTCAAGCTGCCCTCCCAGATTCACCAACCACAACATCCTCCTCGCAATCCTCCACCACCTCCTCATCCTCATCACTGGCCAACCTCTTCAGCCTCTCCCTCACAACAGGGTCCTTTTCGAGCTCTTGCCAAAGCTCCAAACGCCACTCATCAGCACAAACGTCGTCCTCCTTGCGAACCCATGGCCACCTCCACATCCCCGCAAGGATGAGAGAACGCTGGAGAGTGCGGAAAATGGTCTCCATGAGGATGAAGAGAGTGATCATTACAATCAGCGTCAGCCACCATGTCCAGTCCCGACCAAAGGTCTTTGAGAAACCGTCGCGTACGGCGTAGATTGACGGGGCGCGGGTGTAAATCGACGAGAGGAAACCTTGCCAAGCCCACCATCCGGAGAAGGTGAGAAGGAAGCATCCCATCACGACACCTGATTTGTGGTGCGTCTCGAGAATACTGCGGTAGAGTTAGTCTTCATTTCCAGACAGCAAGAAGTATGCTTCTCCCACTTACAAGCACTTGTAGTTGATCCAGACAACGCCAAGAGTGAACGCCAAGTTGCCAACGGCGTAAAGACCCTGGTCACTCGAGTGCGCAAACCAGACATAGCCCGCCCAGACGCCCCAGTATGCCAATACGCCCTGGAGTGCCGCTGACAGCATCCAGCCAGCATACTTCGCTAGGTTCAGGCCCATGTTCCGCTGACCGTACACATAAAGCTCGGGAACGGCAAGCAAGGTGTTTGCGCTGAGGTCCTGTTCCCAGATACCAAGACAGATGACGCACAAACTGGTGAAGAGCGTGTTGAAGACAGTCAAACTCGCCATTTCGTACAATGAAGTACCCGTATAACCGTTGTAACGCTGATACAGGGCCGTGGGGAGGTAGAAGAACATCTCCTTCCAGAAGGTACACAAGATGAACTTGGCTGTACGCACGTAGTTCCATCGCCCGTGAACGAGAAGCAGTCGCTGAAGATATCGGAATTGAGCGATGGCATAGTCGGCTACTCGAGCAGCTTGTAAACCCTCCTTTCCAGAGATGCCGACGCCGACGTGGCTAGCAGAAATCATTGCCAAGTCGTTGGCGCCGTCACCAATAGCAAGTGTAAGACCGTGGCCCATCCGACCTCTCAGCTTTCGTAGCTGGGAGCGAACAGTTTTGACCATCAGCGCCTTCTGCGCCGGAGAGGCTCGACAGCAGATGACGGAGTCGACAAAGGGAACCACCGAGTAGAACTGGGCTGTCAAGTCGTCCGACTTCTCGATCGTCGCCAGAGTCTGCCCATCGATGACGACAACACTGTGAATACAGCCAGAGTGCAAATCTTCGGACAGTGCCACGAGCTGACCTTGGAGGTCTCCCTTAGTTACGTTCAGAGTGTACAGATCGGACACCGGTTGGCAGATGCGTGTTGAATGGGCAATGTTGATTGCCGTTTCACGTTTGTCGCCTGTCAACATCCAGATCTTGATGTTGGCCCTCCGCAACTTGTCGATAGTTTCGGGGACGCCTTGTTGGAGCTTATCTTCAATCGCTGAAGCACCAACAAGGCTGAAAGACTGCTCGATCGTTTCCGCCGCAGCCTCGATCTTGTCTTGGCGATCCGTCAAGCTGGTAGATGCGGCGTCGAATACTTTCTTCCAGGTGAGGTAGTCCTGCTCCGAGATGAACTTTTGAGCGAAAAGCAGCGTTCGTAGGCCTTCAGTGGCAAAATCGTCAAGATGCTTGAAACATCTGGTAAAGATAGTCGAGTCGTCTGCGATAGCGGGGTCGTCAAGGAAGGCGAATTTCTCGGGAGTTTGGTATGGCAAAGTGGGAGGAGAACCCGGCGAAGCTTCAAACGACGTCGTGCGAATATTGATGGACGGCCGCAAGAGGTCGCCCGACTTGCGCAACTTACTCGTCTCGAAAGATTGACTGCGGTCCATAGGGGGCCGAACACTCGGACCTGGGGTACCGCGTGCGATTCCGATGCTTCTTCGCAAAGACATGCTAGCGCGACCACCAATGCTAAGTCTCGGCTCATGCTGTTCACTTTTGCGCAAAAGCTCGCGTTCAAGGTCTGCACTCTGCCTCACATCCTGGGCTTTTTGCAACGCCATGCTAGCCATCTTGAGTCTCGGCAGGATAACCGAGTCTGCACCTTTACAAATAATGCAGATACGACCATCGGGATACCGCACGACGATGGACATCCTCTTCCGGTGGCTACTGAACTCAATGACGTCCAAGATCTGGAACGTCATGTCTTTTCCAGTGTCGCCAGCGTCGGAGCTCTGTCGTAAAGTGATGTTTGACGAAGTCCGCGAAACAACAGTATAGCCGAGTTCTTGTGCCGCCTTGACCATGGCCAGCTCGTCTGGAGAAGAGGATTGATATTCGACCTCGCCGTTGCGAATTTCTGGGAGGCAAGTGTGGCAGAGTGCCATTGCAAGGATGTAGTCTTTAGCTCTTCTCGCAAACAGAGAATGAGGCCTCAGGGCAATGAACTCTAGAAGATCGCTAGTAGTGACGTCGGGCTGCACATGGTCCGGACGGCCTGTGGATCTCCACTGGGAAGACGATCTTCGCGTGGATGGTGCTCGTGAGCGAGCCATCGATGGTCTGCCGAGCGTCGTTGGAGATTGAACGTAGTCGTCTACGATAGCATCGGTTCGAATGTGCTGAGTCGAAATGCGCGGGATCCCCTTAGCCTCAGACAGGGTGTCTACAGAGCTGTTGTTTTCGCTATCGCCATCTGCAGCTTCAACATCCGGTTGATGCAGCCAAGCTGTGCCAGCGATGCTTAGTTTGCGGAATTTCATCACGTTTTCCGTCAGTGTACCCGTTTTGTCAGTGAAGATGTAGCCGACTTGGCCCAAGTTCTCGAGAATGGTGTTCGTGTTGCATCGAGCTGGAGTGTCCGTTTCGGCGTGGTACATTTCGACATCGGAATTGAGCATGAGTAGCTGTCCGACCTTGACGATCTCGAGACTGACGTACAATGCCAGCGGAATGACATTGTTGAACTGGATGATAAAACCAATGATGATTTCGTAAAACTTGACTTCAGCACCCTTCAGGTACCATGTCCTTCTCTCCTGCGACCGCTGCCACAGTACATATCCCATGGAGCAGCCGACAGAAAGAATAATGACATAGAGCGCCAGGGAAACTACGATCTTGTTGGCCACGGTCTCCAACGCGGGTTTCTTGGCCTTGGGGTGTTGATTGGCATTCATGCGAATCTTGCACTCCTCCCCAGTATTGACAACGATGCCAATCGCGGATGCCGTATTTCTCAGAATGCTGCCTCTGTATATGACCTCGGCGGAAGTCAGCGGCAGCGACTTCCCATTGACAGTCACTCGACCATCGAACTTGTAAAGATCAGGGTTCGGGTCTTCGACCACAAATTCGGCATCGCAGGCCATGATCTTCTCGACAGAATCGCATCCTTCCAGTGCAGCCGAGACTTGCTTGCTCTTGAGGTTGGTCTCGCCGTCAAGGGCCATCGTCTCGATGTAAGCAAGGCCATTCTCGCCGTCGGCATGGAGCAGTACGATATCAGCAGGCACGGGATCGTCTCTGCGTAAGTTGATGAGGTCGCCAACCTCGATATCACACCATCTCGTTGTTATCCAGGGCCCATCGTCTACTGCTTGGCCGGCGCCCGTTACTTGGCGACTTCCCGGCAGGACGCTTCGAAGCTTGGACTGCCAGGTCTGCGAGCTAGTGTTGCGATGTTTCGAGTGTTTGAGCACACGCGCTGTCTCCGCGTTCTCCACCGTGTCGAGCCGGTGGCGCTTGAAATCGTCATATCCTTCCTTTGCGACAGTGACCAGAATGAAGAAAAGCAGCGGCAAAATCGTAGTGAAGTTTCCCGTGGTCGAGAGGCCAGGAACGGTCTGCGGTACGCCCACGCAGAGGAAATAAAAATTGCCAATTCGGGAAAACTGGAAGAAGAGTTGTTTCGGGATGAAGTCATAAACAGTGTATCGGGAAGTTCGGATGGTGTTCGAAAGGAAGGGATGCCCGCCTCGTCGTTCGTCCGTTAGGGGCGCATCTTGGTCTAGCTGTAGTGGAATGATGCGGCCATTCTTCGAAGGCGGCAATGTCTTTCGGCCTAGGACAACCTCGTAAAATACACTCTTGCACCACATTACAGCATCGCGCCTCGAATTAGCGCCCAGCCACCGCGTTCTGTCGGGGGCTTCGTCGGGACCGGGCCGCGGTGCATCGCCCACGGTCGGTGGCTCGGTCGTTGGTTTCTCGTTCATCGTAGCGACGGCATCAATTGAGCGAGTGACAATTGCAAGAGTCGCGTCTTGCGTGATGGATCACTTCCGTGCGAAAAACGAGCGGTCGCATCGGTTCGGATCCTACGGAAATCGTAAGGGTGTAGCAAATTCGAACGCAACACTCGAGATCATCCGATTTTCTCAACCAGTCCGAACGTCCAGAGGAGAGAGTTCGACGATGCGCACTGCCATCCTGGTGTTTCCCCGGCCAAGTTCGATGACAGGAGAGGAAAACCCATGGGGAGCGGCAATGGAGAAGAAACAGCGGGAACCGAGTTCGTCATTAACGTCCTGCATCCCGCGCAAAGGTGGGCTGCCAAGGAAAACTGGCGAAATTAGAGGCAGCAGGCGTAATCTGTGGCTAAAGATATCAATCAGCCACGATTCTCCAGGGCAGAAATCAGCGGGCGGATTCCCCGTTGGTACCATTATCCCGTGTTGATCTCCCCACGTGGTGGGCACACTGGCCGGGGTTCTCGCTGGTCAGTGGTCATTGATGGATATTTGTGGTGGGCATTGCTGCTAGTGCAAGTGTGCATTCTCGGACTCGCTGGTCAGTGGTCATTGATGGATATTTGTGGTGGGCATTGCTGCTAGTGCAAGTGTGCATTCTCGGACTCGATTGATTAGATCGAGCGGCCAGGCCATTCTGAATTTCCGATTGAAGTCGACCGAAGGTTCTTCTAGAGTTCGACAAGAAGCTCGACGCCGTCATCTGCCAGCTGCCAGTAGAGTCTTTTCCCACGTGCGGTGCATGTGGTGATGGGCGAAAGCTTAACGTTGCGCTCGCTCACTCACCCTCCAATGCAGCGGTGCCAAGAAAGCAACGAGCTGACGCCAGGGATGAACTCCGTCCAACGCATGGCTTGGCTTCGGACACACTGCTCGAAGCGTCGCTAGCCGCGAACCGGTCAATCGGACCCGAACTGTCTGGTCTTGTCCCATCTCGAAGTCTTGTTTAGGTAGATCGGCGCAACGGCTGGCTGATGGAATAAATTCTGCCAGGCGGCTCCGCGTACTGGCGACAATCATGTTTTCCCCCGGTCCCGTCCACGTTGATCCGCGGATCCCACAGCAAGCGACATCGAGGCCCCGTGCGTCCGGAGAAAACAAGGCGTCCGAGGTGCGAATGGCAAAGGTCGAGCACGGATGCCATCTGGAGTCTTCAGACTTTCAGCCGCCCAGCCCTGGGAGTGTAAGGCCACGCTTCAGCCTTTCTCTCCTCGACGAGCGTCATACGAGGGCAGAAAGTTCGGCCGAAAGCTGAACAGGCAACACCCTTTGTCGCGACGTCGCACATTGGTGGAGTATCACGCACACACAATTCTCATGGCCGCCTTGAAGAGGAATGGTGGCCTTTGATGGAGGTTAATCGCTGGCGCCGCCGTCGGCATGTGTTTATCATTTCCAGCTGAGCGCCTCTATGCATTGCCGACGGGAGAATCGATGATACCTTCATCCCATCTGATGTGCTTCGAAGTGCGAACCGGGGATGAAAAATGGAACAAGACATTGGGGAGACGGAGGAACTGAAGGTTTGACGGTTGATAGAGGAAGAAGCAGCGGGATGTCAGAAGATGCCGCACCACAGTGCGACAAGGTGTGCTTCTGCCTCAGTCATCAGGCGCGGCAAGGCTGAATTTCACACAGGTACGTACAGTGTCATCAAGACCTTGACTTATGTAAGCACTGTACGTCAACGTCCTCCTCCACCTCCCCGTCGCCTCCTCGTCGCCAGCATAACCCCGTCCTTCTGAATCCCGAAATGCCGGGCCCTTCATTCACCAACTGTCACAGAGCACAGCATACATTCCTCAAGATGGAGCACAAGGTTCGGAGAATTTTCTTCTTTATTACACATCGATCAACGAGTGTCTGGGGCGTGTCTTGGCTGCCCATCTCCCATGAATCTGTACCCAGCCTCAGATAAAGTACCAAGGCGAACTCAAGCTCTCAACGGATAATCCGTCGTCAGAATGCTAAACCCAGGAGGCGTAGTAACTAATTATTGCACTGTTTCAAAACACACACAAAATGCCTTTCCCAAATATGTGAACTGTAGAAATGGATATCTCTTTATGCCTGTAGAGAGAAGTAGAAACAAGAAGAAAAAATAAGGCCGCCGCTCAATGCATGCAAAGCCACAGTGTGTACATGGATACTCATGAAATGTTCCCCTTCGTTCCGCCTCATAAACATGACGATCGTGATATGCGTCTACTTGCGCCTCTGCGCGCCAGCTGCAGTGAGCTTCTGGTTGATGAAGTCGGCCATGTTGCCAGCCTGGTTGCCGTAGGACAGATGAGCCGGCAGGATGGTGAGGGTTCCCTTGCAGACGGCGTCGCCCTGGGCGCAGATGATCTTGGTCTTGGACTTGGGGAAGTTGGGAATCTGGGCCTTGTCCTGGGTGTTCTGGGTGTCGCCGAACATGAAGGCCGCGACGATCTGGTCCTTCTGGGCCTGGGGCAAGTCCTCGACAGCGCGGTGAGTGACGGCGGCACCTTGACTGTAGCCGCCGACGACCAACATGGAGTTGGGGCACTGGGAGTTGACTTCGCCAATGATCTTCTTCATCTCCGCGACACCGGCGGGGTCAGCGCCGCCAGGCAAGAAGTTGGTGGAGAGACCGGCGGCATAGTCGACTCCCTCAACGGCCACGCTCGAGAATTGGCCTTTGACGTTGTTGGCGGTTTGAGGACCGCAAATGGTACCCATGTTGCCGATCTCGGTGGAACCACGAGCAAAGACCATGACAACATCTTTGCAGCCGCCAGTCGAGAACTCTTTGGCGGTGGAACCGACACGGCCGCGCTGGCGTGCTTCGATATCGCGAGCCTCGATTTCAAGAATATCACGCTCATCAAGCTCGGGCTCGGAAAGCGTGGGGAACGCAGCCGCGATAGACGCGAGGGCGAGGATGGCGGAGAACTTCATCGTGATGAATTTGAGAAAAGGTCGAAGAGAATGGCTCACAGAGCAGACTGAGATACAGCGTCGCGGAAGAGAATGACTGCCACCGGGGCTTGGAATGTTGGCGAGCTGAGTGCTGCGTGTTGTAGATGAGATGTGGTGATGATGATGATGAGATGAATAAAGTCAAAGGGTCTGGCCGCAACCTTTATACAGAGAGTTTCTGCACGTCAACCCACGCCGTTGGGCTGGTGTTGAGATGACGATTAGTGCAAACCTCCGCCTCGGCCGTTGTTGGCGTTTCCACATCAAGTCACCTTCGTCCCATAGCTCCCAACGTCCGGGCCAGTCGCATCTCTCGAATCAGCTCGAGTAAGCAAGAGACGTCCCCAAAAGGTGTCCCTTGGCGTGTAAGATGCATCTGGGGTCGATGGGATCTCCTGAGGCGCAGGTCGAGGTGGACTGTCCAAATCGCAAGTCTGTCCGTTTTGGGAAACACGACTCCCTTCCCGGAGGAGCACGGTCGCAGGTCTCCAGGATGCGGCAGCCAAGCCATCGGGAAGACCACTCCACAACGCCATCCCGTTGGATTTCCCCTGGCTAGTGGCGCATCCAGCATGTAGCCTGATCGATGTCGTTTATCGGAGATCCAAAGAGCGGGAGGCAGGATCGAGTGGACCGAGGCATGGCTTGCTTGATTTCTCTTCGGTAGCCTAAATCCGATAAGGTCGAGAGCCCCTCTTGCTTGATTCATTCGGGGAGGAGGACCGCCGTTTCGCAGATATTGTTTTAGAGAACGACCCAGGGTCGACAAGGCTCGGGGACTAGGGGAATTGAATGTAGAACTCTATCATTCGGGCCTCATGCAGCCGAAGGCCTCGGATGGGCCTCGTATTATACAACATAATGAATGACAACTAGGTCAGTTTTCATCAGATCAGGAATAAGAAAAGCATTAATGAGATGTGACGTGCCGTTGTGGTTGCTGTCAGCACAACGTTCACGCAGCTAAGCGCAAAGCTTCTCGACTCCAGATGCCCAGAGGAAGCTCAAAAAGTAAAAGAAAGTGCCTGCCCTCGTGACAGTGAACGCTAGATCGAGACTGACTAACATCAGGCTTCACGGGCTTCAGACCAGCCAGCTGTCAGTGACCCTCCCACACGATGTCTCTGCCACTGAGGGGAAATCGGAGAGAGGGAGGAAAGGGAAAGGGTGATCCATCAACCACGAGGTCCCCTGCCACGAGAACGGCGCTTGTCGATAAAAGTGTAGCTTGCGAAGTTGACGGCGTCCGTTGTGGACCGCTTGAGTTGGGAGGAACAGGATACGTTCTAGAAGTTCCAACCTGAAACTTGAGATGACCGGATCGAAACGAGAAACTGATCACAAAGCAGACTCCTGAACAAGGATGAGCCCGAAGGCTTTTTTTGGCGACTCAGAGCCCGCGCTGCCTACTACCAGCGCTTCGTTCTGACAGGTAAGACTTTACGCTCTCATCCCGGGTCTGACGTCTGGTGTGGTGGGCTTCGGCCGGCTCGGGGAGGTCAAGTCAAATGCTCTTTTGGGCTGGAGAAGAAAGAAGGTCTCGCCGCTTGACACTTGTCAGAGGACCGAGCGTAATGTCAGACAACGGGATTCGGACGCGGGAAACGCAGAGTTCTGGACCCCGAGAGGGCAGACGAAATAAAGAAAATGGAGATGGGCTGTTCTGGCTCATTGAAGGGATTCCGACCGGACGGTGGGCAAAAGCAAGAAGATGTCAAAAACGTCTGCTTGCTCCGCCGTGGGTCAGTCAACGGCGCAGTCGCAGAGGAATGGAGATTAAACAAAATGAAAAAGATGTGAAATTCATCCGTCAAAGCACCCCGAATAAGAAAGACCTGCGAGAGGTTTTGAGACATGCTCCCTTGCGCCGATCCGACAGTTTGGTTGATTGATTCTTGTGATAAATGGGAGGAGAGAGCAGAAATTCTCCCGGATTCATGGGCGCTTCAGCTCTCTGGTGCGCCAATGAGTCGACAGCGGCGAGGCAGTGTTTATGGGCCGAGGTTGAGGTCTAACAGGTAAGGTTGATTCCCTGTCAACGTCAGGGGAAGATGAGACATAACACTCCTCAAAGTGGCTCTGTGCGCCGGAACGGAAGAACAAGCCAGGAACGACAGCGGGGACTCGGCGGCGGGCAATGGGGCCATCCGGATCCGGGCGGGAGAAAGCGGGGCTCCTCTCGGCTCCGACGCGGCATGGTCCTGAAGTCAAGTGTAGAGAGCGGAGCGGTAGAATACTGTCTCCGATGACCCCACTTGATGATTTGAGGGAAGAAGGGAAGGAAGGAAGGGACCTGAGTGACGTCGGTCGGACCTTCTGCACCTGGGGACCCTGGATCTCCGGCAAAACTCTGGCCAAAACTCGCCCGCCCTCTTTCCTGCTGTCAGTCACTCGCTGCAGCGTGTGAGCGTTCGAGCGTGCAGTTCCAGGCCCGCCACACCCCACGAATTGTGGGGATCTCTACCGTTGCACACCAACATTCTCAGCCTTCTCTCCGCCGTTACACGGCCAACCCACTGCTACCTTGGACTGCTGATCCCATTCCCGTGATAGCTCAGCAACACACCTCCCACCGATAACCTCCAAACACCTCCCATCTGCAGCCAGGGTCTTTGATCTGCTGATTCTCGATCTTTGCTTCCATTCTACACCGAGCCACGGCCCTCACAGCTCGACTAATCCCACCGCCACACCTGCATGTCAGCGACTGTTCCTCCCTCCGCCTTTTGCTGAGCTCGAGCCTCGCCTCTCCCAAACCGACGCCGAACCCCGCTGCTCGGCTTGACTAGAGCTCACCAGAAAACGAACAACGATATCCTACGAGATCTGTGGTGTATGTCTTCTACAGATCCCACAGATCACTCCTCCGGCCTCTCTGGCGCCCCCCAAAATGATACTGCCGCCGCCCAGGTGACGAGCGCCGAGACCGCGGGGTCCAAGGCTGAAACGGAGCTGCTCAAGCTTAACAACCATGTTGAAGACAAACAGCCCGTGCTGTCAGCAAAAGCAGCAGGCAAACAACAAGCGACCGACGATCTGATCGATTTCGGCGAAGACGCCCCGGTCACAACGACCACCACGAAAGATGACACAAACGTGGGCGATAAACCTTCGAAGGACTCGCCCAAGACCGTCTCCAAACCCGCTCCCGTGACCATTCCGGAACCGATGACTTCGTCGATAGCGACTTTGAAACCTACGAGTCCTCTCCCTGCCGAGACTGCGACACAGTTTCTTACTATCGAGTCCACGACATATGTCGACCCAACACCTCCAACTCCGAGAACATCCCAGCCTCCCTCTCGAACTCCCTCAAATGCCAAACGCCGACCTACCTCTGCATCCCCTACACGATCTGATGCCGGCTACGATGAGCGCAGATATGCAAGCGAAGACGAGCAAGAGAATGGGTCGCGATCCGAAATTCAGAGTATCATGGAGCAGTTCACTGGCGACGGTGGGGGTCCTGGAGCTGAAGAAGTCATGAGCCCAAGGCTGGAGATTGCTTCGCCTATGCTAGGTAGCCCAGGCATACAGCATCCACCTCGGAAGTCTAGCCTCGAGCCACTGGTACCCTCACTGTCACACCAGGTACAGGAGCTCCAGGGCCTCAGAATACAATCGGCCTCCCCAGCTAGCATGTTCTCTAAAGAAAGAGCACCTGATGACCAAGGGCCGCCAGTGCCCCCTAAAGATGGGCCACCGGCGACACCAGCGCGGTCCCACGATGATCGACAGATGAGTATCGACTCCCAGATGTCTCCTGGCATGCCCGTACATCGGCCGCCACCCCCTGAACCCGAACCAGAGCCGGCGCTTCCATTCGACTTCCATCGATTCCTAGAGCAACTACGAAACAAGAAGGCGGACCCAGTCGCCAGATACCTCAAATCCTTTTTGTCAGAATTTGGTAAGCGGCAGTGGATGGTACACGAGCAGGTCAAGATCATTAGCGACTTCCTCGCCTTCATTGCCAACAAGATGGCGCAATGTGAAGTGTGGCGAGACGTTTCCGACGCAGAGTTCGACAATGCTCGTGAAGGAATGGAGAAACTGGTCATGAATAGGCTCTACACACAGACATTCTCACCAGCGATCCCTCCTCCACAGCCTATACCTGGAGCGAAGCCGAAAAGACGAGGCGGGGAGCGACCGATGGGGCCCGGACGGCGTGGTCAACACCAAGAGGACGTGGAACGAGATGATATCTTGACACAAAAGATCAACATTTATGCGTGGCTTCGGGAGGAGCACCTTGACATACCACCAGCTGGTGATAGTGGCAAGCGATTCCTGAAGCTCGCCCAACAAGGTACCCACTCTCCCAGACTCAACAAGGCACCGGTGACTGACTGTGCAAAGAAATCCTCAAGATCAAGTCATACCGAGCGCCGCGAGACAAGATCATTTGCGTATTGAATTGTTGCAAAGTTATCTTCGGTATGTCGCTATTCTTCATCATGTCGCTACTTTGGGGACTGATCTTTCACAGGCCTACTCAAGCACTCAAAGTCGGACTCTTCAGCCGACTCGTTCATGCCCCTCCTCATCTATGTTGTTCTCCAAGCCAACCCTGAACATCTGGTGTCAAACGTTCAGTACATATTGCGGTTCCGGAACCAGGAGAAGCTGGGTGGTGAAGCCGGGTACTACCTTTCATCACTGGTAGGTCTCAATGTGACTGTAGCTACGCTATACAATGCTTACGTGACGTAGATGGGTGCCATTCAGTTTATCGAGAATATGGATCGGACAACCTTGACCATCACTGACGAAGAGTTCGAGAAGAACGTCGAAGCAGCGGTATCTGCGATCGCTGAAAAACACCGTCTTGACTCGCCCGCTGTTGCTCAAGAACCTGTCTTCTCGGAGAAGTCATCAACTGGGTACCAGACCGGGGAATCTTCGACAAGGCCTTCCCTAGACATCATGGGAGAGTCGTCCACACCCCGTCGGTCAACGTCATCGAACGAAGGTGGAAAAGATTCAGACGACCAAGCTCCCATAACGGGGCTTCTTCGTTCCATACAGAAGCCTCTTAGCACAATCGGCCGCATGTTTTCGGATGAGCCGTCTCCTGCGCCGCCTGTACCTAGTAACGCATCAAGACCGACGTCGAGGCCGCGGGAATCCTCCGAGCGACTGTCCCCTAGACCGAGCGCCGAAATATCGCCCGATGGACGGCCACCATCTTCCCGTCACCACTTGTCAGCGGAAGAAGCTGCAGCGAGGCAGGCAAGCGCCGAAGTTGCCGAAGCTCAGCGTTTGAGCAGGGTAGAGCACAATAACGTTGTCGAGACTCTCCAAGGGATGTTCCCCGATCTGGACAGGGAGATCATTTCGGACGTGGTACACCAGAAACAGGGAAGAGTCGGGCAAGCTGTCGATGCCTGCTTGGCCCTGTCTACTTGAGGATAAGGAATAGTTGCATCAATAAAGTCATCGCATCCTCTTGACGATCTAAGAAGCGTTGCTCAGCCGGGTACATCAGTGACGTTGATTTTGCGCAGCTCTTGCTTCTCACGTCGATCAAGCTTTCGCCATTGCACGAGTGGCTAGCTGATTGCGAGCCTCCATTATTCAATTCACCTCTCAAAGAGCCCTGAAGGCGTCCCTGGGGGTCCCTGTCGTGTCAGGTCCGGTCCGCGCCGCGCCAAGGGAGGGAAGCAAGGGGAATGGTGGCGTGGGGGATTGCTATGCTTGGGCTCACGTGGATTCAACCGCTGGAATGTGAGCAGGTTACACGGTCTGGACGGTTCATGTTACACCCGACCCTGCTACCCGGTTCGCTGGCACACAGCTTTTGCCAAGTATCAACGTGCGGGTAGAGGTTACCTTGACCTGGAATACGAGCTGGGGGGTTTGTCAACATTTAGCTTCAAGCATCATGCAAAGGGAGCAAAGAGTCCGAGGAGACCCACCGTATTAACTCACTTGGGATGATGTTCGAGGGCAGGCATCGTGAAAATGGAGCGAGCTATTCAGGGCTGAAGTGGTTTGGAACGCAAGTTTACTCTCCTCCTTGCCAAATTGGTACAAGAAAGAGCTTGTCCTCGACCAGATTGCCCAAGATCCAGGGTTCAAGGTTTGATCGAGACACGAACTGGAACTTGGATTGGAATTAACGTCTCGACCGTTCACGATCAGGGCCCTTCCCGCAATCTTAATCCGCCGTGATCATCATTTCTCTTTTTGCATCCTTTCCGTGCCTCGTTTTCTGCTCACCTCGATCGGCGGCCCTTTAGTCGGGCCTGAAGGACGAGAGGCGTCGATATCGGATGATGTGCTAGACGCGTCTTGTTGGTATGCAGTCTCATGCCAAGAACTAGGGACTCAATTCAATTTCATAATTGCAGATGATACGAAGGAGTTGAGCCGACTGATGATTCTACGTGATACTTCGCGAGATGCCACGGCCCGATCAAATACAGATTCTGCGGCCTCGCCGCCGTTCACGCCCAGGACTTTCTTAACCCCTCAGATCTCTCTCATCTTCCCTACTATTTATGGGCCTCCAACACAGGCTACTCTAGTCATCAGGCCAAGCTAACTGAGCATCAGCGGTGAGACGCTGCCGTGATCCGTTCACCTACCTCCACGGCCTTTCTCCAGAATGCACATGGCCCAGTTCAAGATCCTGGCCACGGGCCTGGGACTGCTAACCCCCTTGGTTCACGCAGTAGCACAAGCGCCAGCGGCGTACAGCTATGCTTACAGCGCCTGTGGCAAGATCAACAACTTCAACGCAGTCTTTTCCAATTTCTATTCTTACTCGTATGGAGACGTCCAAGACTGCCAATTGGATTGTAACTCCTACGGCTCTGCGTTCGCCGCTGTGGGAAACGATGCGAATCAGCAGTGCTGGTGTTCGGATCCCAACAACGCCAACAGTTCACCGAGTCCTATTCTCGCATCGGTGCCAAACCCCAACGCCGCTCTTTGCAACGTTGCTTGCTTCAACAATAATGCCTACGCTTGTGGAGGAAATTCTGGTAGCGATATCATCTATAACGTCTACGGAGTGCGCCAATTCGCTTACCAGTCTACTACTACATCATCAACCTCCACCAGCACGTCTAGAACCTCGACATCGACGTCCTCTACTAGAACCACAACGACCACTAGCAGCTCTACAAGGTCTACGACTACCTCATCCTCGACGTCTTCTACGCGAACTTCGACGTCAACCACCACAAGTGCGGCACCAACCACTACCCTCCAACATAGAGCTCCTCGCTTCCGATACAGCTACAGGGGGTGCGGTGCCATTAGCAACTTCGGTACTGTCGGAACAAACTACATTTACGCGATTGGCAACACTACGCAGTGCCAACAGAGCTGCAGCTCTTTTGGCTCAAACTTTGCCTTTGTAGGCAACTACCAACAGTGTTATTGTTCCCCACCGAGCCCGAGTTCTTCTCAGGATATCAACCCCATCTTCTCCACTGGACCCGATGATAATCTGTGCACGACATCCTGTTATTTTGAAACTGGATACTCTTGCGGTGGTTCGAGTACTGGAACTGTCGTCTATGAGGTGTTTGCAGTGAGGGCTCTCGGGGTCTCATCTTCGACTTCGTCTTCGACCTCTACTACTTCAAGTTCATCGTCAACCTCAAGTACAACGACTACCACCACCTCCTTCAGCTCCTCTTCCAGTTCGTCGTCGTTGTCGTCAAGTAGGAATTCTACAAGTAGCACGACATCCAGTACCTCAACGTCCTCCAGCAGGTCATCAACGACTACCAGTACGACTTCGTTATCGAGTAGCTCGTCCACGAGCTCGTCTAGTAGATCCTCTACAACGAGCTCGTCCTCCTCCTCCTCATCATCATCGTCATCCACACGTTCCTCAACGACTTCAACTAGCACAAGCTCGTCTTCTACTTCGTCGATTACCTCATCCCCTTCTTCAACCCTCAGCAGCTCCAGAACGAGTACATATTCCAACTCGACAATCTCTTCAACTACATCTAGTTCAAGCTCTAGCAGTTCCATGACATCTTCTAGTTCTTCGAGGTCTTCGAGCACGATAAGCCCGTCAAGTTCATCCATCACTCCCTCTCCTACGTCGTCTGCAACGAGTAGCAGTAGTTCAAGCAGCTCCAGCCCTTCTAGCACGTCAACCTCGACGAGTTCGTCATCGTCATCATCCTCGTCTAGCAGTACGACAAGCTCAAGCACTACAAGCAGCTTCAGCAGCTCCAGCTCCAGCTCAAGCTCTGCGGTTCCATCAACCTCGCCTTCTTCAACCACAAGCTCCTCAAGCTCTACAAGCTCATCAAGTAGTTCGACAAGGTCTTCAACGTCTTCAACGTCAACCTCGCTTACGGCCCCGTTCCCCTTCACAAACACATCCGGGATTGCTTCGACCACCTTCACCCCGGAACCTAGCTCAAGCACGAGCACAACGAACACACCCGTGACTTTGCCTCCAGTACTACCATCTAGCTCCACCACGGTCATCACCTTGCCTTCAACCACTTTGACAAGCATTTTGTCTATATCGTTGCCCCCGTCGGTGACTCCCGTCGTCTCTAGTTCGAGTGCATCAAGCTCTCCGCTAGTTTCCCTGCCGGTCTCATCATCAAGCTCGTCCACGACTGCCCCTTCAAGCTCCCGGTCCACAACTGCATCGAGCTTCTCCTCGTCCGCCCTGCCTTCCTTATCATCCACTCCACTGTCGACCTCCTTGTCTACAGTTTTGCCTAACTCACTTACCCCGGTCTCTTCCCCAACTTCCTCAACATCCCTATCCACACCCAGCTCGTCATCAAGCTCGCCGGCGACTGCTTCAACCACACCTCCGGCACCCTCATCTCCTGCATCATCCTCCCCATCTATTACGCCTTCCAGCTCTACGTCAATCTCACCAGCCTCACCAGCGAGCTCTTCAGACCCTCAGACACCCAGCATCACAACGACTCCTAGTACGATAACAACGACACCTACCATAACGAGCTCAAATCTCGTGTCCATTGCAACGACCGAGATCCTGCCAAACACGCCAGTGGTCTTCTCTATTGTGCTTGGAGGAGGTGCTGGGGCTGCGCCCCCTGGGTCTGACCCCACCACCACAGCTTAAGAGTTGCTGGGATACGTGCAAGTTTTAGTAATGATAATGTATATGAAGCATTGAACTATCAGTTCTGGATAATGGTAGTTAAAGAAGGAGCGATTCGAGGTTTTAATAAATAGATCCCACAGCTGAATCAATTCTCCTAGCAGGACTTCGTATCGGTGACCAGACCTGATACACGCCATCAATCCCACAAATCACAATCTAGAAAGTTTCTGAACTTTGAACAAAGCTTCCTCATCCGTAACCCGATTTTCCTCAGCCCACTTCTTCTCCATCTCCGATCCCGTCTCAGGCGGCACAAGCCCATTAATCCTCCACAACTCCCTCCTCGCCTCATGAATCCCAGACTCCCACTCGACCCCCTTTGGCTTCAAGATGGGCCTCAATATATCATCCAGAGCCTTGAAGAAGAAAGCCTCGACCTGCGGGGTATCGAAGCCGCGCGCAATGTGGTAGATGGAGACGGTCGTCAGGGCTTTGGGCGTCTCGCCGCCGGCGTACATGTTTTCGGGGGCGAGCTCGATGAAGTGCGTGTGGCAGTAGAATGCGGGTAGACCGACGCTGGTGTAGAGCTTTGTCATGCCCTCGGCGATTTGTTTCTTTTCGGCGGCGGTGAAGACGCCGGCGTTGCAGTTGAAGACCCATTTAGGCATTTTGAGTTATTTTTATCGGGTTAATCTCGATGGTGCCGAATATGACCTTGATGACTGATGTTTGGCTAGCATTGAATTATCACTACGAAACAATATATTCCCTAGTACTTAAGCCATAGTTATAGTCTTCTTCATTTTCAGACTGGAGAGGCGCCGGCCGGCTTTCGCTATCACCGGCCGACGCGGGATGCCGCTCCGGGACGGGATCCGTGCATGCCGCGCCTGCTGGGCCTATGTATATCAGTAATCAGAGCTTCCGAACCAGCGTCGATCAAGAGATGGTGTTTTGAAACGTCACACCGATGTGCTCTTGCAACGCAAACCCCGCATTCAGATGTCAATGTTCTACTCGTCGTCGATCATTACGCCAAACAGGATCTATGAGCACCGAGGTTCGCGGCGGTGATTGTTGCGGGATCACAAATACGTGGCAAGGAGCAGATGTTAGAGACGCGCTGATGATGCTTTTGAAGTTCTCCTGAGTTGCAAACACACATCAACGGTGTATTTCTGCTCTTACGTCGGTATATTGACCCGAAATCCTTGCGTAAACGGCATACGAATTATCGCACTACCCAGCTCAACATGGTGCCATTCTGCTTTCGCATTTCGTTCTTCCGGTGGCATAAGGTAGCGACGGACATTCACCCTCAAAACGTATGATTGGCACATTACGACATACCAATCGAAAATGATTAACGCAGGTATAATGGAATGATAACCGTCACTGAATTAACATCATTCCTCACGCTTCTCATCCTAAATACGTGACTCCCTCGGAACCTGGAAGGCACCCATGGCACTCAAACGCGCGGCTCCCGGGTTGAATCTCTCGGGATACATCTTCAATATCTCCACAAACAGCTCCTTCTCAGTCTTAGGGTTCTTTTCGAGAATGTTCCCAAAGTCCTGTATGTACTTCTTGGTCGCAGCAAGGTGCCAGATTCCGTCAGTCTCACCCGCCATCTTATGACCAGCCACCACATAAGCAGGATCAAGTGCCTCAACGATTTCGACTGCCTTGATCCATTCTTCGCGCTTGGCTTTCGTGTTGGCTTCCATCAACATCTGGTGGCACTGCCCATAGACTACATCACCGCAGACGGCGAGTCTAAGGTCTGGGACCCAGAGAACGGTTGAGTCATAAGTGTTGGTATGACCGCACTCAATAGCTTTGAATTCCCACCGGTTTTCGAGCTTGAAGCTTCCGCCGCTCTTTGGGGACAGAGGCTGGGCGAGAGTGAAGGGGCGGTAGATCTGGCCTGGGAAGCGGGCCTCCCACATTTGACTGAAAACTCCATCTTCAATCTGCTGCTTCATGTGTTTGATGGTTCCTGCCGTAGCGACGGGGACGGCTTCTGGGAAACGCTTTAGTAGGAGAGGTATGCCGAACCAGTGATCTCCATGGCCGTGGGTGATGTAGATGTATGAGAGCTTCCGCTTTGATGCAATGTTCTCAATCCAGGAAATGAGTTCCTCTGTCTGCTTGATAGTGATGGGCGTGTCCACTAAGACAGCTTCGTTGGCCGAGTAGATGAGGGTGCATGAGATCGGGGACCATGTTGCGGTTGCGTTCGAGCCAGGAACTTTGCTGGGAATCGGCGGTGCGACGTAGACGGCGGATCTCAAGTCGGCCATTTTTATATGACTCGGGTTGTTGTAGCAGAGTGATGGATGAGTTTATAGCAATGCGAGTGGCTTCTGCGCAGTGGTTCCAAATATCACAGCGGTTTGTCTGATGCTTTTATTCGCAGGGAGGAAGCCAGCTCCAAAGCTCATAGGCCTGTTGAAGACAACCATCACGCCGACCGAGGATCGAGGCATACTGCATGTTGATTAATCGTTTTTCCTTTCATCTGAGTATAAGAGTGTAGATCAGATGGGTGGTCCAGTTAAGTTACTTCGGATAAGTCACCAGCTTTTCTTAGCGACCAAGAGTCAAAGCGGGGTTGATTATGTGAGGAATTAGAGCATTGGAAGCAAGCTACCATCTTGACAAGCCGCACTGGCACAATTTCTCAAAGGCAGGATCAAAGGCAGCTCGGCACATGTGTGCAAAGGAACATAATTCGTATACAAGTTCTGGTTCATAGTCGTCAATACCGAAACCCGTCCTACCAAATTGGGTTGGGGATCGGATTCCGGGACCAACGACCCCGCCATGCGTCACGTCCCCTGGTTGTAACATTTGGAGAGGGGTACACGGGAGCTGGAAGCGGAGCTAGGTATGACAAGGTAGCCTCAGACAACACGAGGTTACCTCTAGCACTGCTGAGCTTGATGTAAATTATATTCGAGGTGTTACTATCTTCACAGCGATATTCTGGAGAACCATGTAAATGGTCAAGCACTTTTCTTCGGGACAAGGCATCACATCATGGAGCTAAAGTACTAGTTATGCTGCCATGGGATTGTGCGATGACTGGAAGTTAGAAAAGACGCATGGTTGATCACTGTGTTGACACCTGTCCAGGTGCTGAAAGGCTCTATATGCAAGACCCGAGTTTTCGAATTGAGAAATCTCATGTTTATGGAATGCATTAAACTTTCATAAGGCGGACCGCATATACACTTACCCAACTACCAATTGAGGCATGTAACAAGAATTGCACGTATAAGCTGTTGTGATAGAAACATGCACTTAAATACTCGAGAGAGTGCACATGCATGCACAAGAGCTGCCACTGAGCGAGCATAAGCCAATCATCCGACTTCCTGGCAGTACCTTAGCTTTGAAACCGTGTCCGGGAATGGCTTCGCTGAATTGGACAGTCCATCGTCGCAATCAATTCGACTGTTATGACAGCTTTCTCCATTCTTGCTGGCGTCTGACTCGTACATCTGAAGCGTAGGAGTAGCCGAGTTTCGTAAGACAACGAGGGACTCACCAGGTTTTAATGATAAACAATTGCATTGAGCAAACGTGAGCAACGTCGTATTCACTGATTTCCATCTGTCAACCATAGCGTAAGACCGCGCGAAGAGACTCGTATCCCATAGATTCGATCCCTGCGTGGCCTTCGCAAGGGGTCCGGGTCACCTCGAAGCCGACCAGCGGCCAGGATACCGTTCAAGGGGGCGGACGGGCCCCATATGAGGTCACTAACAAAATAACCTTAATGCTTAACTCAAACTATGCCTCTGTCACCTCCAATTTCTCCAACCTAACCTCTTTGGACTGCTAACCACCACGACAACTTCCCCTTGCCAGTCTTTCGAAACTTCGGAACCATCCCAAGGCATCATCCTGCTGCCCTGGCTTGGTCCAACAGCTAGGCTTCCAAGTGGAATCTGACCTGATTTTGTTTCGCACAGCCCAACTTTTACGTCTGCTCGCGATCTCCAACTGTGGTTCTTACAGGGGCTTAATCTTGGCGGGGGTTTCGCATCGCCCAACCTGGAGAATTCAACTAGCCCTTCACACGCACTAGGAGCTTGGGACTCGCAAGCTTTGTGAGCTTTCCACCAACGTTGCAATGCAGTGGACCATGCTTCCCGATCATCCCTGAACGCCACCACCCACGTTCGTCTCGTCCTCGGAAAGCCTGAGGGTAGCAGCAGACTGCAGTGGCTGTTGACGTGTGTCAGGTTCCGTTCGTGGGGGTGGATGTCTGTGGAGAAGAAAACATTCCCGTATGGCTTCATGCGATACCAGACTTCACTCTTCAGAAGCGCAAAGGAAGAAGAAAGCTGTGTGGCGGACCACGGATTTTAACAACTTTTGCTACCTGTTTGTCCATGTGTCCATCATGGCATGAACACCAAGAGCCTTGGCCAACCACCATTCTCTCACGGTGATCTCTTGGGGAGAATGATTATCGCCATCGACTTGCCATTGCAGAACCTCCTGCCTTGGAAGCCATTTGCAGAGCCACAGTCATCCGACGATGCTAAGTTTCATCTTTTCAGCTCAGTCATGAGGAGAACCAGGAGATATCGTGCCCGCGAACGGCAGCACATGATTCCGGACAAGAACTTCTGATCTTAAGGGGTCAACAAAGGCGAGGAAACCTACCCCCTGCGCTCCCAAGCATACCAAGCCTCCCGTGCATCCGGGCCAAGCCTCGCGGCCGCCTGTGCCCTGATGTTCTTCAACCTTACTTGCTCGTCAGGTTCAGCCCTGGCTATACTCCCCTGCGTGAGCCGCAAACCTAAAACAAAGCGTCCCTAGTTTTTCATCCCTTCTTGCGGATCCGTACCATCACTCTTCAGATGGCAGCGCGACATTTGATCCCATCTTGGGTGGTAAGACATACGCAGCTGACTTGTTAGTCCGACTTGTACCCAATCTCGACTTACACGCTCACCGCCGCCAGGTTGAGTCCAACATCACCATAGACACCATCGAGCACCGCGTCGTCTCTTACACATCCGCCTAGGGCCCTCGTCAAAGCACTCCACGAATGACGATACCTCGCGCGCCTCCTTCACACCAAGCTCCAACAGCCCCATGCCCAGAGCTGACCTAGATCGAGAAAGACGTGCCATCACAACAACCCGTGCATCCGAGATTCCGTGCACCGGATGCTGCGGACAGCGGGCCATGTTCATCAGCCAAGGCGACGATGAACCAGACCCCTCCTGATATAATGACTTTTCCCCCTTCTTTTCTTGGTCTGCAGTGATCAGCAGGACTGTCACCACCTCTTCCATTCACCCGCGCGCCCTTCTTCATTCGTTTCGTGGTAGCCATCTCGTGATTTCATCACTTGGTTACAATTTGTTTACTTCGATTCATTCCATCCAGAGACCGGTATCTCGACTCCGTTCAGACCTCATACGTTCCTTTATTCCTTCTTGTGTCTTTCTTTCTTTGCTCAATAACGACAATCATCTCAAGTCCTATTCAAACAGTCCTTACTACTCGACGAAGATACGATGCTCACACGATACGGAGTCATCTCATGGCTCGCCCTGTCGACTCTGGCAGCCGCCAACCCTCCAGCAGCGCCTCCAGCCCAGCAGCAATGCGAGCCGCCCAAGACCGAGACGATTGTACACACCGTCCACGAGACCGTTCATGTTCCTACAACAATCCACAAGACGGTACACGTCACGCTGCCGGGAGAAGTGAAAACAGTCCACGTTCCCGTCCCGACGACGATACACCAAATCGAGACGGTCCACGAAAAGATACCCGTACACGTCACGGTTCATGTTCCGACAACAATTAAAGAGACCGTACACGTCACTCAGCCCCCACAGGTGGTGAAGGAGACAATACATATCACAGAAACGAAGAAGGAGGTCCAGACTCTTCCTCCTCAAGTGGTCAAGGAGACCATCCACATCACTCAGCCTCCTCAGACTGTGAAGGAGACGATCCACGTGACCCTTCCCCCTCAGACAATTCATGTCACTCAGCCTCCTCAGGTGATTAAAGAGACTATCCACGTCACTCAACCTCCTCAAGTCATCAAGGAGACGATCCACGTCACCCAGCCTCCCCAGGTTATCAAAGAGACGATACACGTTACTCTACCTCCTCTGCCTCCTCAGACGATCCACGTCACTCAGCCTCCGCAGGTGGTGAAAGAGACAGTCCACGTCACCCTTCCTCCGCAAACAATTCATGTCACTCAGCCGCCGCAAGTCATAAAGGAGACGGTTCACATCACTCAACCTCCTCAAATCATCAAGGAGACTTTGCCACCTCAGATTGTCAAGGAAACCGTTCACGTCACCCTGCCTCCTGTTCGGGAGACGGTCCATGTCACCTTGCCTCCTCAAGTAGTCAAGGAGACTATCCATATCACGCAACCACCTCAGGTCATCAAGGAGACGGTTCACGTGACGCAGCCTCCCCAGATAATCAAGGAGACTCTGCCACCTCTGCCGCCTCAAATCGTCAAAGAAACCGTACATGTCACTTTGCCTCCAGTCAAAGAGACAGTACACGTTACCTTGCCTCCTCAGATAATCCACCAAACCTTGCCGCCTCAGGTCGTCAAGGAGACGGTACATGTCACCCTTCCTCCGCAGGTGGTCAAGGAAACAGTTCATGTCACTTTGCCTCCCCACGTTATCAAGGAAACAATCCACGTTACGCAGCCTCCTCACATCATCAAGGAGACGATCCATGTTCCTCAGCCTGCGCAGACGGTACACATAACGCAACCTCCCCAAGTCATCCATCAAACGGTCCATGTCACCCAGACGGTCAGCCACTGCGCAACAACAGTTGCAGCCCCCGTCTTGGGCCACCAACCCTCCCCACCTCCAGCAGTGCATCCCTCGGCGGCACCAGTAGCACCACCGGCTCATGAAGCTCCCCCGCCGGCCCACAACATGGCTCCCCCGGTCCACACACCTTCACCGGTCGCGCACCCTGCCCCGGTAGCCCCGCCGGTTCACCAAGCGCCGCCAGCCGAGGCAATGCCCGTTCATACACCTCCTGCTGAGGCTATGCCGGTACACACACCTGCCGCTGTCCCTCCCGTCCACGAAGCCCCGGCAGTTGCTCCTCCAGCCCACGCGGCGCCTCCCACTGAGGCTACGCCCCCTGCTCATCAGATCCCTCCTATTGGGTTCACACCAATCAACCCTCCAGCAGAGGTGCCAGCGGCACACCCTATGAAGATGAGGTTTATGGCTCGGAGATAATCAAGGTCATTGGGTCATCAGATGGAGGGAGACTGACTTTGGAAGCGGGGGCAAAGACCCTGGACAACAAAGATTCTAGAATAATGTGCGCGTATAACTTTCTTACAGGTAATCTAAATACTAGATGGTAGCTGTGATGCTGGCGAAGTTTGATACCCGGTCAGCCGGCCTTGAATAGATCACTTAATCACTGTCAAGTCCAAAAACCCTGCACTTGAATTTGGAAATCGTGAGCCAGTCTCTATTCTCTGTCTAAAAAGTTGCATGGGTATCTTTGTCCTTTCCCTTCCTTCCAAAATCAAAAAAGTTTCCACCTTCACGTTCCTTGCCCTTCTTCTCCTTCTCGCTGGCGCGGCAAATCTCGTCGAACCTCTGTAGCGTCTGATGGATATCAACCTCCATGTTACGTGCAAGATATTCGCCCTCGACTCGTCTGGCAGCAGCAATACTCTGTCGGGTCTTGGACTTGACTGCTGTCCGGATACTCTGGTAAATTCCCTGGCCGGGGTAGGCGACAATCCCGAGAGTGGCTGTTTTCACCAGAGGTTAGCACTTTGAGTCGATAAGCAAGAAGGAATACCTTCTGATACATACCTGATGCTGTCTTTGTCGCCATGTTCATGACACCCTTCCCGACACCCAATGCTGCGCCTGCGGCACCTCCATCTCGACCGCCTTTGTACGGCTGGTAAAACAAGTCGGCAAAGCCTCCTCCGATTCCGGTCACGAAATTCTTCCCACCGACCAAGGCGCCAGACTTCCAATCGGTAATGGGAGCGCGGGCCTCGACCTTCTCGCCGTAGAGCTTAGGTGCCTCGCGGAGACCTTCCGTGACAGCCAGCGGCACATCGAGGTAGAACTTGCCGTAAGACTTGAAGAATGTGCCAACACCGGAAGCCGACGCCTTGAAGACCGCACCTGTTGTGCTCCCACAGCCGCGACCTGCGCTTCGGGGCCGATCGAGAGCGTCGGATTGCGGGGGCGCAAGACTCGGCGACCGGGGCGGTGTCTGCACGTCTAGACTAGACATACTTCTGGCGCTTCTCCTCTCAATGTCCTCCATCTCTGCGGCCTTGAGCTTGGATCGTTGGTTGTAGACTTGGACGGGCTTGACAACGATGTCGGTAGCGCCCTTGACCATTCCGTATCCGACCCCCATCAAGGAGGAAACGGTGCCCGTGACGGGATCCCATCGACGGTTCTCGATGATGTATGTTTTCGTCTCGTGTCTAGAAGTTGGGGTGCCATTAGTATGTAATAAGCGAGGAGGAATAATAGTTAATGACGTTGATACTCACAGTGACATGTTATTCTGGCCAATCTTGAGGTGATCAAGAAGAATCCCCGCAGCTTGTTTCGATAGTCTGACTTGCTTCTTTCCTCTCTTAAAATCCCAAACTGCCGGTTGGTTGGGGAAAACATCGCACCGAAGCAGTTCAAGGGGCAGGTTTGCGTGGAATGACTTTGCTGCCGTGGCCACACCATTCTCAGTCTTCATCTTGGCCGAAAGTTCGCCAGCTGCGGTCGCGGCTTCTGGTGTTAGGCAAAATCGAATCGCGTCGGCCAAGTTCTGGGCGTTTAGCTGCTTGTGTGGAATAGGCTTTGGCCCGGCGCCTGCAATGGCAACCATGTCTCCCCAGAAGGGTTGACTGAAAGTTGTTAGTTTCGACCTGGACCGAGCCTCTTTACCAATCTCAAGTACTCACTCGCCGAAGAAGGGGACGATTGTGGTTGGTCTTCCGTTCAAGAGACCACAAGCGGTGGTTCCAGCGCCGCCGTGGTGGAACACTGCCGCAACATTGGCAAACAGCCACTCGTGTGGGCAGTCTCCCAGAAACAGGATGTCATCCGCATCGATGCCTCCCAGATTACTCCAGCCCTTCGATATGATTGCCCGAGCTCCCGTTGCGCGGACAGCTTCGACGAGGATCTTTGTCATTTCGTCGGGGTTGTCAATGACGATACTGCCGAAGCCAATGTAGATGGGAGTCGGCCCATTCTTCAGGAAGTTTGCGAGCTCGGTGGGAGGCTCGTACTGGGGGGGTTCACGGAAAAAGAAGCCGCAAACATCTATGTGGGAGATCAGTACCATTTCCACAAATAATCTTGCCCAATGCACGAATCTTACCGATATAGGCAGGCCAGTCGATGGGTTTGGGTACAAGTGATGGGGACCAGCAATATGTAAATGGAATTTTCTGCGACTCTGCGAGAACCGGGCCTTCGGAAAATGGCACTTCTTCGAGATCGATCGTCCTTCTCCAATCGTTGATGACATCTCCGAGGCTGTAATAACCATCAGCACGAGAGACAAAAGACAGCTGGACAATTGCTTACCCTTGCCATGTCAGCCACTCAACGATACTGTAGGACACAAAGTTTGCCGTCATCTGGTCAACAACTCCCTTTTCTCCAAACTTGAGATTGGCCAAGGGATGCGGAAATGCTCTCGTGCTACTCCAAGGCATAGTAAACATGAGATGTAGCGGAACCCCAAGGGCTTGGGCGCAGTGGACGTGTGCGAAACTCGGCGGATTGGCAATGATTGCATCCGCCACGAAAGGTGCCCCAGTCTGTGTATCAGGCTCGATACAAGACCTCCAGCACCCTTCCAGCATTTCCTTTACCATCTTCCGCTTCTTCTGAATATCGCCACCCTTCAAACTCTTCAAGCTCGGGATCAAGCCTGGGTTCTTGACCATGTAGGCCATCAGTTCGGAAGGGTCACCGCCGATGGGGTAAAATTCGAGGCCGGATTTGCGAACAAAATCATCAAAGACGTCGTGTGTTGCAAGGCGTACTCTGTGGCCGTACGTCTGGAGCTCGTTTCCGAGCGCGATGAAGGGCTGGACATCGCCGCGACTTCCTACGACTTGTATGACGATGTTGAGTTTAACGGGAAACGTTTTCTTCTCGGCGAAGCGCTCTGCTGCTTCAAAGTACTCTGGCGGGGGGCCCTCGGCTGCGGCTGCTTGTGCGAGTTGGGCTGGGTCTTTAAAGTCGGGAACAAAGCGGGCGAGGGTCGTCGCCAGCCGCGAGTCGAGGTTCACGTTGATTCTACCGTCCGCTGTAGTGGTTCTTTTGGTTAGGATGTACTCAAAGACTTTATCAGATGGGTCGGCTAGGGTTCCTACTTCCGACGCTTTCGCTATGTTGCTGGAGTCCCTCGTTGATCGCCGTCTCGTAGGATGGGAGGTAGTCTTGAGGAACGGGATCATCCTCTATCATCCTGATGGTGTTTCGCTTCGACATCTTGTACTCTCGAAGTAGGCTGAGGGGTGGGTATCTGGTTGATGAGGAGGGAGTAACCGCCGTTTAGTAGACGTTGTCGGCGGGGAAGAATTGGAAATGGGTATCGAAAAGGAAGATGTTGAAGGACCGCCGAATCAATCAAGAGCAGAAAATGGCAAGAGCACGGTATGTTTTCAAGACGATCAAAGGAAAACTCAATTCCTAAACGTGAAATCACTAACCAGGGAGGGGTCTTGAGGAATTCAGCCAGGCAGTCATACCAATTTATCAAATATTCAGCTACCGCCTACTACTTACATCATACGCCGCCAGATCACCCCTCCGTAGTCTGTAGCCTTAGTCGCATATCTCGTACCTGACTCGGGTTGCCTGTAAGGCAAAGCCGAACGGGAGTGCTAAAAGGGACCAGGATTCGTAGGGCCGGTAGTTTGAGCCGCGCCACAACGCGCCGAACTGCGAATCCACGTAAAGAGACCGTGTCTGTAAAGACTTTAAAGCTCTTTGAGCCTATGCAGTTGCGAGGACCCGCGGACTCGGCAAGTTCCCGTCGGATCAGGGCCATAAAAATCTCATGGGTGTGGGCTTGTTGTCGCGATACGCGATGGGGGCGCCGGTCGATGCTTAATGATCAGTCAACGTAAGTGGGCACAACCTTAAACGTGTCATTGGTTCACTCTCGACCCGCGGCTTGTCGCATTGTCTCGCATTCATGCTGACGAATACGCGTATACGACCAACATAAAATCCGCGGATAGATCGTTGCTTGTGAGCCGCTAGAACCGTCGCTAGTCTGGAATTCTAAACTTGGACCGCTCCCCACTGCCGCAAAGACTCTGCACATTTCGCCGGATTAGGCACCGTCTTCCGGGCTTTATGGCTTCATCCTCTAGCCAATGGCTAGATTTGGATCATACGCGTACGGAGAATGCCGCATAGTGCTTGATCAACGTGGCTCAGCCCTACTAATACTCCGCGTACAATCTGAAAATCTGCAAATGTCATCCCTCAGAGGCTCAGTCTGCCTAGCGCCAGGGGGGGCTTCTTCGTGTTGAGGCTGTTTTGCATCACAGCAACACTCGTATGCAAACACAAAGGGGTAAAGGGGAAGAATTCAAAGATGAACGTAAACACTTACTTATATCGAGGTCTTTGGACCGATTATGGATGATGATAGAACACAATCAACAAGCTTCTACATCGCCCGCCCACAGCCTTTACATGAACGGAACACAGTCTCTATCGCCTTGGGATTGAAGCTTATACATTCCAGCTAAACTTTTCGGCCCGCCCAAACTCAATTTGAAGCCAAAATAGTACCTAATTGCGCCAAGGAGGGACTCAGGACTTCACAATGGCGGACAACAGCACCACGACAGAAGGTGCCTCCACTGGCTTCGTTTTCTACCACTATGAGCCGTCTATGGTAGCGGCAACCGTCTTCATTATCGTGTTTGGGGTTTCTTGTATGCTACACATCTGGCAGTTATGTCGACGCAAGACTTGGTACTTTATTCCCTTTGTGATTGGGTGCATATGTAAGTTATCACAGTCCAAACATAACCCCATCCTCAAGTATGACTCGGCTAACATTTTCCTAGTTGAAGCAGTTGGATACGCTGGCCGAGCCATGTCTGCGGGCGAAGCACCCGATTACACCAAGAACCCCTACATCATCCAGTCGATCCTTCTCCTCCTCGGTCCCGCTTTATTCGCCGCGTCGATCTACATGGTTCTCGGTCGCTTGATCAACCTTCTCGATGCCGGGGGATACTCTTTGATCAGACCCAACTGGTTGACCAAGGTCTTCGTGCTGGGAGATGTGCTTTCATTCTTCGCACAGTCTGGAGGTGGTGGCATGTTGGCGACTGCCAAAAACAGCGATAACGTGAAGCTCGGTGAAAACATCATCGTCGGCGGTCTCTGCATTCAGATCCTGTTCTTTGGATTCTTCATCATCGTCACTCTTGTCTTCCACCTCCGCCTCTCGCGCAACCCCACACCAAAGTCCCTTACAGTTCAAACCCCATGGAAGGGTCTCCTCTACGTTCTTTACGGCACCAGTCTACTCATCATGGTTCGATCGCTTTTTCGAGTTGCCGAATACGTGGGAGGCAAGGACAGCGAGCTACAGGCCAAGGAGATGTACATCTACATCTTTGATGCGACACTGATGGGCATCACAGCCATGGCCTTCAACTGGTTTCACCCAAGTCGTGTCATCAACAACCAGGCTACCGGCTTAAAGCAAGTCTCTAGCTCAGAGGTCCTCAATGAGGGATACCTGATGGAAAGCGGACAATACCCGAAGCCGCAACAACAACAATACCAAGACCCGCGGTACGAGCCTTACCAAGGAGCCGCCGGTAACCAGGGGTTTCGTAGGTGAAGGAAATCAACAAGATGGCGTCGAAGAAACTCGAGAGGCGATGGTAGAGCTTCCAGTAGCACCAGCGGGAATAAGAAAGCCGAGCGAAGAGAATTGGAGAGATTGGGCTTATGATCCGGTCACTTGACTGGGGTCTTTTTTCTTTGTTTTTAGTCTGCCCTTCTGGGTTTTTTTTCCCTTTGTTATTTGGCGACGAAGCCTGGGTAGACTCATGAAACATGTAGGATTACATCGTATTTGGTTTGCGGTTTGGAATTTTGTACAAAAGGTATACGTTACTGCCTTGGAGTAAATGGATAGGGATAGAAACCAAAATTGATCTCAAACTATGTACCAGTAACTCATTGAGACAGTTCCAGACGTATAGAAAGTCCTTTTTTTTTTTTGCGATATGCAGTCAGTCGAGGAGAATCCAGGCCACATGTATTGCTTCAAGTTCCAAAGTCTTCAATTACCATGTTGCGCATTGCGCATATGCTACCTTACACTGCTAAACAAATTATTGACTATCATGAAGTCCCGTCATCACTAAAGCTTCCTCAGCAAGACCTTCCTGTTGGGGTCCGGTTGAGTCTAGAAACATGTTAGCAGGCTGACCCTCCCACGATGGGTCCTAATCCACTTACTATCGCGCCGAATTCCAAGTTCTTGTATCGCTCCTTGCTATCCCCTACGTTTTTAATGTCGTAGTTAGCCAGCGTCGTCGCCATGATCATCTTGATCTCGTTTACAGCGAAGAAGCGGCCTGGGCATGCATGACGACCGTATCCAAAGGTCAAACTGGTCTGCCCCACGCTAACGAACTGGGCGTTTGCCACAACCTCGGCCTGTTTTGAGCCGGTCTCCTGTTCCGTCTTGGCTTGTCGAAGCTTGTAAAATCTTAAGGCGTCGAACTTCTCGGAGTCCGGGAAGATCTCGTCATCGTTGTTGATTCCAATCACGGGCAACTCGATTACGGATCCGCCGGGAATGACCTGGCCGTTCGATAGAGTAAACGTCTTCAGGACCTTGCGCTGGAATGATGCTGTACAGATGGTTAGTTTTTGAACTAGTTAACCAGTTAAGACTGAAAACTTACTGGGACCAAGTGCGTAGTATCTCATCGTCTCCTTGAGGAAGCTGTCCAGCTTCTTCATGTTCTGCATAGCGCCGCTGGTGAAGACACCGTTGCTCTCGGCCAGGGCTTGCTGGATATCGTCCCGGAGCATGGGGATCAGCTCAGGCATAGCCGCCAGGGTGTAGAGACTTGATTCACCTAGTCAGCGTCATCCATATTACCTTGGCTATCGTCAGTGTCAGGATACTTACGCATTGGTCGAGGTGACAGTTGTAGTGTGAATAGCAGCGAAGCTGATACCCAGCTGGTACCTAGCAAGCTCTCTATCATTCTTCTCACCAAACTTCTTCTGCGACTCCATGATCCATTGCAGCATATCGTCCGGCTTTTGGTAGTCGGGGCTTTTCTCGGCCTCCTTCCTTGCGGTCACCACAGGTCTCAGGAACTTGTCCGCCTCCTCGATTCGGTGGTGAACCTGCTTGACTTCCGGTGTTCTTGCTGCCAAGAAGGGGCGTAGCCAAGGAGCGATATCGGCAACCTTTCTAACGGCCTTCATCAGATCGAGGGTGTAGTTTATCGCGGCGTCTAAGTATTCTTCGTTTCGGCAGAGCTCGGGTCCAATGAAGACGCGTCCGGAGGCCATGGCGATGACTCGCATCATCTTATCCATGATCTTGACCTCGCTCCAGTCGCATGATTGGGGCAGCTCTGTTCGCAGAGCTTCGACGACCTCGTCGGCGATGATCGGGTTGAGTCGAACTGTATAGGTATTAAAATTGTTAGAGGAACTTAGAAGACCGTGTCACAGAGATATGACGCACCCAGAGCTGGTGTCAAAGCAGTCTTGACGGTATGGGGCAACAACGCGATATCGGTGTCTATACCTGTGTACTTCGCGTGCATTGACTAGAGATCCATCAGCGCTGCCTCTTTGTTGTAGGTTCTTATTAGCCTGACCTCTTCGATGGCCCGGTTGAAGCTGAGGACGTCGTCGGGAAGCCTCTTCAGCTCGTTCATAAACTTCGGGGCGACGACAATATTTGGCGATTCTGCGGGTTACTTAGTACAGGTGATCTTTGCTATCGAGGGGCTGAAGCTTACTCCTTGCGGTGGTGATCCGGAAAGCTCTCTCTTTGAACTATACGCATTTCCGGTTAACTCATAATGAACACCATTGGGACTTGCTGTTGTCTGCCGTACCTTCCTGTATCCTTTTAGGTAGAGGTTCCTGGCCTCACCATTCATAAATTGCTTTCGCCGGGCTTCGGATCCTCCAAACTCTGTTCCTACCATCGGAATATCTGCCCATGGATCACTCTTCCAGACTGTTTGAAGCAAGTATGCCACAGCGCATGCAAAGAGGGCGGTGGCGGCGACAGGCCATCGCTGGGCTACTTCGATAAAGAGGGCGCCGTCTACCGCAGCACCGGCCGTGGCGTTCATGTTGGGAAGCATCGACATCGACATCTTGGGTGGTTGACGGGTTGCGATGATGGTGTGCTCGGACAAGAGAATTAGACTCAAAAAAGAGATGGGACATAAGGATGTAATATAATCTCGCAGTACCCTCCATCAAGTCCCCTTGGCTGCAAGCTTGACAGCAACCACCGAGTACGTCCTGGGGACCCCGCCACGAGCCGTGACGAATGCCACCACCACAGCCGACGGGAGACGAACTACGAGCATAAACTAGTAAGTAGCCGGCGTGAAACTTGCCCGCGGATTGCGAAACCGGGTGGAACCGCTCAACTACCGGCCGGGGGAAAGAGAGAAAGATGGTGGGCTGTGAGCATGGCTCACATCTTGTCTTCTCCCCAACCAACACCCCCCTGCGCCGATCAACGGGACGAAGAACAATTAGATGTGATGGGTATGAATTAGCGCTGCCGCGGGACAAAGGGGCCAGAGGCAACAAAAACGCGGGGTGAGGGGCGAAGATAGTGTGAGGGCATTGGCCAAGCGGGCTGACGAAAAAGACCGAACCAAGGTTCATCGAGTGAGGTTCCCGTGTAAACGAGAGCAAACGACGTTTCCGGTTTCGTATTCGCGAGTCTGATCGTCATGAGAATACCAAGCGATCTGTGCGACGTGGTACGACGCGACGTCGCTTGTTAGCCTGGTCGCATCGATGCGTTTCTAGAGGTTTAGGGAGGGCTCCTCGAGTTACACTTCGTCAACTCGTTCTATCGGGCAGAAGAGGACCATCTCGTCTCGGGTGCATATGTCAAAAAGCAAGTCTTTCCTTGCTGCCATTATACTCATTGCACAGGAAGCGCCTGAAATATTCTCGGTTTCTCCTTCACTGGCGAATAGAGGCCGCCCTTAACTGTCATGCGGTCCAAGTGCGGACAATCTGTAATGTTTCGAAACCTTCTATTTGTGGCATCTTGACTCTCACCCGCGGCCCAAGCGGCACATCATTGGATGAAAGAATGAACATGAAAACGTGATGGAAGAAAAAGAAGAAACAATAGCACGTAGTAGGTACGGCCAAGACCGGATAGTTGGTGTGTTCGGCCCTTTCAGTCGGAACATCAACATGTCGGATGACTTGCCTCGCCGAACTCCCTAATTTACGCGTAAGAATGTGGTGGCATCTCCCACCGGAAGTGCTAAGCCGAGAGTTCAAGAGCCATAAACTTTAAGAAAGCCAGTAATCTCCCCATCAAACAGCGGTTTGCCGGTTGAAGGATCTTCACTGTTGGCGCCCAATAATCTGGCCTCCCAAAAAGTTCCTTGATCAGAAGTTGTCTCCTTCTTGAAACCCCACGTCGTATAGCCCTCAGATCCCAGGAAGACTCCGTCGATCTGCGTGCCGTTGAGCGTGTAATGCGAATACGGCTTGACCTCGGTGCCGTTGACAAAGTACATGAGTAGAGCGTCGTACGGAATCTCTGCGACCGCGAGGTTCTCCCAGGTATAGCCCGAGACGCCAGTGGGCACACGGCCCTGAATGCCTTGGCCGTCGACACACTGCAGCGGGATCTGCGCAACAGCGGCTTTGTCAAGTGCGGCCATCTGAGATGGATATAGTTAGTGATGTGACTTGACTTTGGACATGGCCAATCGGGTGATGGTGCCCGGATGTGAACTCACGTATCCCCATCGGATGCCAGTCGAGCCGCGAGAGTAAATGGCGGTCAACCCGTGATTGTCGAGGACACCGCCGTCGGTATCCTTTACTTGCATGGACCACGGCCCCGCTTGGCCGGCAGAAGCGTCGTAGCCCGGGTACGCGGAGCAGCCACCGGTAAGCTCCTTGACCGTGACGTTCCCGGCGGCTGAGACGAATGGTGACATGGCGATGCCAACGGCAGCAGCCGCGATAAACTTAGCGAGGGACGACATCTTGAAGCGACTGAATCTTGAAAGCGATTGAACGTGATAGATCGACACAAGGAGTTTGATACGCGACAAGTGAGGCTCTATTTGCTCAACCACTGTATCGACAGATTGCCAAGATTTTATAACAACTGCCCCTGAAAGGATTCTAGGCATCAAACGGCCTCATTCCGAACGCCATTCTCGTGAGATGGTCCATTCCCGCAAGCGAAGGAACTTGGGTGGTCCAAAGCCGGAGCTAAACATGCAACGGCGCGTTCCTGCCTAAATCAACAGCCTATAAAACCACGGGAGCATCGGGAGGGAACAGGATTCTAGGCTGAGAGAGAGGGGGGGTTGAGGCCGCTAAGGCGAAATTGAAGCTTTGCCCCCGCAAGCGGATGACGCTAATTGCCGTTACCCGCCTGTGCGATCTTGATCTTGAATCATCGCAGGCAAGACATTATGGCATCGAAAAGAGACAATGACGACAGGGTCCGCAATGCTGAGCGATGTGACCATGCTGCCTGACTGTGCCTGGAACAAGATGTAAAACAAGCAGGATAGCAACTCGAGCCAGTTGTCCTGGGACAATTGGTCTCTACGATTAGGTATCGGTATTCGGACCTTTGGGGTTCAAACAAATGGAAAAGGAAAATGTCAGCCCCTTAATTAGCACTGTTGATCTGATCAGCCACCTTTCCCTTCTCGCATAAGCCACACTAAAGACCGACAGCCACTTCGCCCCTGTCGTCATTCTGCATGCTGTCGATCAGGAACCTCATGATCCCGCAGGTGCTTGACTCAGGTGGGTATGCTAGGAGGAAAGACCCCTAAAATGGGGATGGAAACAGAGATCCCAGGTACACCATCACCGAAGACTCATAAACGAGCTTACCGAGCATCAGGAGGTATGTATGATTGCATGCGAGAAATACGAGCGTCAGCTTGAGACTTTCAGACGGCGAATGGACTGCCATATTTGGGGGTCTCTTAGTAAACTTAGGTGACGCTCAGAGTGTCTGGCCCTATCGGATGATCCCCATGCGCATTTACGTCGCAGTTTACGAGGCAAACCATACAACATGGGCGTGATCAGGTGTAAATCGATATAATTCGAGCAAAGCCATCACGTGGCCATCTATCCTCCTTGGGCCACCTCTGACGTCGATCATGATGTTGAGGGCAAGTACATGTAAGTTTCGCTAGGGAGCCTGACTTTAGCGGCGCGCAAACGCGTCTGTCCACGTAACACCGCCAGGCAATTGATCAGGTTAGTCAGCGAAACAAATTGTCATCATCACTGCATGAGGGCACGAACGCTAACGAATTCGAAAGCGAGTTGAGTTCTTCATTCCACCTTCTTGATCGCAAGACCTGATGGTCTAAAGTTGCAAGGTGAAGCAAGACGTTGCAATACGTGTGGGCTTTGGCCGAGAACCCGTCGGCAGCTATAATATCGATGGAGAGTACTTATTTATTTATTTCATGTTACTACCTTTTCTATGTCCATATCACAAAAACAATGATATTAATGCGGTCAATATTAAACCCAAGGTCGCATTCCGTCCTCCAACAATGCTCAATAGGTTCATCGCTCAATGAGTTATGAACCGGAAAATCATCCTGTTGTAGATAAACAAGCTTGACGAGCGACCAGCGCACTTCAGGTTCGCGCAACAGCGCCGATTTAGTACACCAAACTTGGAGGAAAGAATGGACTAAATTCGGTTTGACCGCAACGCAGATCGATGTTCTCACCGACCACTGTTGTCCGTTCTTCTGCGATAATTCTGAATCTAGAGCACCGCGAATCCATGTCCGAAAGTAACAATGTTGGCTCGAAGATTGATCAGAATGTCAAATTTATGAACTCAGGTTTGTCAGTTCTGCACATCGTCGGCGTTTTCCTAAACTTCACCTTGCGGCCAATACTATGCCGACGAAACTTGAATCTCCTTATCTGTTACTCGCGTCTCTCTTTTGAACGAAGGGGAAGCGACCGACTGTGACAATCACCTTTAAGTACCTTGTCACCCAAGACATTGAATCGTGACTATCACCTCGACAGCAATTCCTCCCGATGTTGGTGTCCTAGAGGGATTAGCAACAGAGTTGAGCGCCAAACCCGTGTCATTGGGAATTTCTTTTGGGAAAATTGACATACTAGGAGGAAACTTTAGCAGTGACCTGTGGAAAACTAACAAGTCTGAATTCAGCTCATTGGGTAAATGTATCAGTTGTATTCTCGGCTCCATGTACTCAACTGACATGCCTTAGCCTGTTAGACTTGTTGCTATCATAGCCTACTATATCAAGGTTCCTATCAGGCTATCATCTGGATGATAGCTGGAGCTTGAGATCATACTCTTCCTGGTTTATGAGTCACCTTTCAAGCACGCATTGAATGAGGATCCATTTACTCTATGGGGAAATCGTCACATGTTGCTGTATTGGAAGTCTGTTGTTCACAATTTCGAAGCTCTTGGTTCCATCAAATACAAGCTTAGTCGCTTCTCTGCCCAAATTATGCACCTCGACATCTCATTCAGGCGACGATTTTGCTTTTGACTGAAGATAGAAGTTTCCTTCAACCGGAGTTATGTGGTAATAGCCTTATCTAATTCGGTGGCGGCGGGGATTGCCTGATTAAGAAGTTGGGGTGCAGAAGTTGTTGCATGGCGCTTATCATCACGATGCAACCCCGCACCTCCATCTTCCCCGGTCCTTCTTCTACAGTCCATCACTCCGAGACAAATACAATTCATGCAATCCTTGTTTTTCGATACAAAGTGACACATTCTGACACTTTCAAGTTCCTCCTGATAAGCCATCAGTGAATTTGGCCCATCACCCCTGTAACGACATACTCTGACGTCTGATCCTCTCGATGTCCTTTAAGTCGGAAGCCATCGTCGCCAGAGGCCCCTTCTCTGAAGGAAAATGGGCCATCGAACCAGTCACTCTTCGGGATCTTCGCTCAGACGAGGTTCTTGTTGAAGTTGTCGCCTCTGGTATCTGTCACACAGACTTACACTGCGGTAACACGCCCGATGATCAGGGAGTTCCTGGAGTCTACTACCCTCGAGTCTTAGGACATGAAGGCAAGTGATCTTATTCTTTGAGCCAACCAGAAAGCCGTAGTGCTTCAGTTCGCTAACTTGTATCAAAGGTTCTGGATACGTGGTTAAGGTCGGAGATGGCGTGACAAAGGTGAAGCCCGGTGACGCCGTTTTCCTCTCCTTTTCATACTGCGGAGAGTGTCACGTCTGCAAGACGGGACCGCCATCTCACTGCACAAAATTCTTCGAGATCAACTTCATGGGAGAACCAGTCTTCTCGGACGGAATAGGCGGGCGCTTTTTCGGCCAGTCCAGCTTAGCCCACCACACCGTCGTCAGCGACAAGTCCGTTGTTAATGCTGCCGGCCTCGGACTGTCTCGGGATGACCTGAGAATACTGGCACCGCTTGGATGTGGTCTCCAGACCGGCAGCGGGACCGTCATCAACGTCGCCAAGGCCGGTCCGAAGGACTGCATCGCCATCGCGGGTATGGGAGGTGTGGGCTTGGCGGCGGTCATTGCAGCAAAGAATCAAGGGTGCAAGGCCATCATCGGAATAGACCGAGTCGAGTCTCGCCTCGAGCTAGCTAAGACACTGGGAGCTACGCACGTCATCAACACGACTGGACTCGAGATGGAGCAGGTGACGGAGAAGATCAAGGAAGCGGCTGAGGGGCTTGGAGCAACCATATGCATCGACACCAGCGCATTTCCGCCACTGCTCGAAGCTCAAGTTCAAGGAACGCGGTACATGGGGAAGATTATTCAGGTTGGCACTGGCATGCCAGAGGCACATCTGTCGCTTCACATGCAGAGTTTCATGGTCAGCGGAAAGCAGTATTTTGGAGCGGTTCAGGGGCACGTCAACACTGCCGAGTACGTCCCTCAGATGGTTCAGTGGTGGAGAGACGGGAAGTTTCCTATTGAGAAACTGATCAAAGTCTTTGAACATGGCGATTTTGCTTCAGCTGTAGAAGCGATGAAGCGCGGCGACGTTGTCAAGCCAATTATTGCCTGGTCATGAACCATGGCTCGTGGGCTTTATGGGGCTCATCTTATGAACATCGCCATAGTAACTCAAAACAGAGACAATCTAACGCCGGGATCCTCAACTCTACTTTATTACACAACTGCGCACAAAGCTTGATCATCTCAGCTCATGTCGAGCAGATCTTAGAGCCTCATCGCAATGCCGACATTTGATCTGAGCCTCCATTCTTCCCGTTCCCTTCAGCAATAAACATGTGCGCACCCAACAAAGCCAAGCCAAGCCGGGGTTCTTTCGGCTCATTTCCCGACTTATCAGTTCGCGTTTAAGCTAGAGGACCCCGAACAAACCGGGACTTTGTGATTGGTCAACAAGTTACGAGCAGTCAACTGACCATTCACGCGAGACTCTGATAAGAAAACGCGCGAATAATGTTGCATTCATTGTAATGCGAGAACCCCGCAATCCGGGGGGCATGGTGGAGACGGTGATTTTCCCAACTCACCGTTGCATTTATCCCCCAGGCCAGGGCCAATCTTCCCGAGCGGCTCAAGGCTTGAGCAGCCCATCTCTAAACTCCTTGAACTCCTTTTCTTTTACTCATATGGGCGCCAAAGAATCGCACCACTTTCTCGCCCGGTCAGCCAATCCTAAACCAAAAAGCCGCACCCAAGAGAGACAGAGAGGGGAGAAAAACAATGGAGAATCTCCTCGGCCCAGACCTGGCCTCCAAAATCGGTCCCTGGATCCTCCCTAAGCCGCTCGAGGCACCGCCGTCGCCCGAGTCCGTCTGCAATAGCGACCGGGCCTCGCCGACGGAGGAGACCAAACGGCGCAGGGCGGGTGGACCGAAGGCGCGTACCGGCTGTGCCACCTGCAAGACTCGCCATGTAAAATGCGACGAGCGCAAGCCCACATGTTTCCGTTGTGAGAAGGTCGGAGTCGTCTGCGAGGGCTACGTGGACCGCATCGACCGCCGGAGGAAACGGACAAACCAGAATGTGGTCCGCCGGAACACGCCGCAGCTCATCGCCCCTCGGTCCGCTTCAGCCGAGGCCGCCGACGTTTGCAGCGGCAACGGCAGCAGCAAATCCGAGATGATCTTGTCGCCTCAGATTCCTAGATCTCTCTCGAGCCTACCCAAGATCTACCACAAGGACGGCGTTTACTACGATTATTTTCGACATCAGGTTTCCACCAACCTGGCAGGTTACTACACTAGTCCCAACTGGTCATATCTAGTCGTCGGTGAAGGTCTGCAAGATGACTGTATTCACCACTCGATCCTAGCTGTCGGTGCGCTTATTCGCTCCACTCCACAGGATGCGAGACCAAGCACGCCTAGAAGGAAAGCGTTACCACCTGCCTCGGATGGCTACGCTGTAACCGAACATCGTGAGGTCGCGTTGCGACATCATCTCAAAGCAGTCAAGTCTCTAAGAGAACGAATGGAGTTAATCACGGCTTCATCACCAACCACAGTAGTTGTCACGACTCTACTACTGGTCGTGTACGAGCTGCTCCAGGGTGAACCAAGGACGGCAGAAATGCTCCTCAACTCATGCCTAGGAGCACTGAGGGACTCGATCACAATGTTCGAAAGCGATCCCGATAGTGAGGAGAAGTATCGTGACTCCGAATTCAACGACATGGAACATGTGCTCCCGTGCATAGCAGCCATGAGCCAGCTCTCACAATCCCTTCAGCCTCGCCGCCATCATGCGCACCCTTTCAAGATTGATCCTGGCTCTGACGTCCATAATCCTCATCACGAACCAATCTCAAAATTCTTCATTTCGTGGGGCAGGTTCTTCACCTTCGCCGTCAGCTTCATCAGCAACTCTACCGATGTCACTGCAGAGGGGATTTCCATGGACATGCTCCGTCACCTCACCATCCACCAGCAAAATTTTCTTTCACAACTACAACAATGGAGATCAGTCATTCAATACTATGCCGAGAGTCCGAGAGTAGATATCGCGACCAAGAAGGGCCTGAGAATCGCTCAAATTCACTGGCTCCTTCTCCACATCACACTCACTTGCTGCTTAGACCCAACCGAAGTGGCCTACGATGCATTCGAAAACGAATTCAGAGATCTGACGATGCTTTGCGTTGTGTTATATCGTGACTGCGTGTCACAGCCCCGCCCAACGTCTGTCTTGCTGGGGCAGGGCCTCATTTTACCGCTGTGCACTGTTGTGCGCGCCTGCAGGAATCACGACATCCGCATGACGGCATTGCAGGCACTGCATGAGATACCCCCGTCAATGGTTGCTTGGGATGTGGTGTCAAACATGGACGGGATCCTGGGAGCCTTGCTGCTTGAGGAGACTGGCCGTGACGCGAAAGGATTCGTTCCCCCGGAATCGAGATGGTTTTGGTTAAAGGATGTGACTGTGCCAGAAACGCAGAGGATCCATAAGGTCTACCAGAGGCTAATACCGGGGCAAGATGGCAAGCCTGTTCTGACGAAGTTGCGACCGACATCTAATGTACGATCAAAGATCTGTAAGGCGAGCGGATGTGAGAAAGACCATTTGCTGGGACCAGTAGTCGTAGAAGACTCATGAAATAGGACAGCGTCCGGGTTTTTAGGATCACCTTGCGAGAAAAGAAAGACGTGTCCAACAGTCAACCGTAAATTTCACGCTGAACAAAAGAAAAGTGATATCCGTGACAATAGCACCTCGGCCTGTATAAGTAGAAAGTATTTGAGAATCGTAAATACCAGCCAGTCACAACCAATAGGCTCGGTTCCTCCAGAGTTGAAGTCGGACGCTCTCATTTGATAGGCTAGCCTCGTATATATTAGCCAATCGGGCGAGACCCAGGAAGGTTGACAAGCCAAATGTGGCAAGTGGTTCTACAGACGTCCCAGCACCTCCACTCCACTTAGTCTGGTCCAACCCTCTGAGATTCGTAAGAATTACCCAATGAGACGATCAAGACCTTAGATACACCATGAAGGTTGTTCCAACTTATTCTATTGTGTTACACAATAGGGGTCAGAAAGCCATACATTTAAGACAGGATACCGTCCGCGGAGGCACCCCTCGACAGCCTCGCCCTTCTCCAACCCTCCTGGATTCATAGGCTGCAAAATATTGCCCCCTTTGATCAATTTTCGCAATCGCATAACTTTCGTCATGAGTGCCCCAGTAATCGCTCAACCAGTTGTGGTATCGCTGGCTGACTTGCAAAATGGTATGTCAAGATGTCTCTCCCTTTGGTCCGTTCTTCATGGCTGACATTAGATACAGGAAACGTGCCTTTTGAGAAACTTGTCGAGGCCTTCGGGCCGGATTCTCTAGGGATTCTGGTGGTCAAGAATGTTCCGCCAGAGTTTCCCGAGCTGAGACGTCAAGCACTTTCATATGCCTCGTATCTTGGAAACTTGCCGAAAGCTGAGCTTGGTGATTAGTTAACCCTTCCGTTGAGTTGAAAGATACGGTTATTAACACTGGCATCCAGACAAGGTCGAGAACCCCGCCGCCAAGTATTTGACAGGCTGGTCGCTGGGAAAGGAACAACTCAAAGACGGTCAAGTAGACACATTCAAAGGCTCTTTTTACGCCAACTGCGCCTTCTACACCGATCCAACATTAGACGCCGCGAAGCCAACGCCTGACTTCTCAGCTGAGAATTTCCCAGAGTATCTGTCACCAAATATCTGGCCCGAAGAAAAGGTTCTCCCAGGCTTCAAACGTAGCTTGGAAGACCTGTGCAGGCTATTGATTGACACAGCTGTCCTTGTTGCACGTGCGTGCGATCAATATGCGGAGCGGGAAATCGATGGGTACACGAAGGGCTACGTCGAGCACGTTGTCAGCACGAGCAACACCACTAAGGCCAGATTGCTGCACTATTACCCGCAATCACAGGAGGGCTCGAGTGAAAATGAGGACGACTGGTGCGGCGTGCACCTTGATCACTCGGTTCTGACAGCCTTGACATCCGCAATGTTCGTCGATGAGCACAAGACGCCATCGGATTCGGTTTCACACGCGAAGGATGCCACAGGGCTCTCTGCACTCGAGGAAATGGCAGGAAGCCCTGATCCCCTGGCTGGACTTTACATCAAGTCTCGGACAGGAGATACTGTGCAGGTGAAGATTCCCAGGGATTGCATTGCTTTCCAGACGGGCGAGGCACTCGAACGGATCACAAAGGGCAAGTTCAAGGCTGTGCCGCACTTTGTGAGAGGCGTTAGGCCTTCTATGAGCAATGGCCGGGTTGCGAGGAACACTCTGGCGGTGTTTACTCAGCCGAATCTTGGCGAGGAGGTTGACTCAGAGCAGCATATCACTTTTGGAGAATTTGCCAGGGGCGTTGTGAGCAAGAATACCGTTGAGGCTTGAGATTGGAAGAAGTTCCGATAAAGAGTATACTTTGAGAGTAATAAATAGTAATGCGATACCTCGGCTACCTACTGTTGGCATCTCTTGGGTCAAAACTCGCGCTTCAGGCAATGATATCTTTGCCATGTCAAGACGTCACAACTCATAATGCGCATCATATTGGAAGCCAGTACATCTGCTCAGTGTGAAGGCGGCTTAATATCGGAAACCTGGTTAACCAACTTAGTAGAGTCAAGCTTCGTACGCTCTTCTGACTCCAGACTTTGCTCTTCCACAACAGCCTCGATGACTTGAAGCTCCGTCTTGGCTCGCCGCTTTTCGACCAGGATAAGAACGGTAACCCAAATTGCCATGGTCGTTCCTACAGCAATCATGGCAATCATTCCTTTCTATCGTACTGTCAGCAGGATCCTGAGGGCCAAGTCCCGGGTCTTGACAAAAGAAGGCTCTTTCTACACACCTTGAACTTTGGAGCGTCATCGGCTCTGTAGAAAATGAGTGGCCACCAAGCTTGGAAGCAGTTGCCAGCTGCGTTCATGCATGCAATAACGCACGATCGTAGTCTCGGTGACTCATTCCGCATCGAGTCATTGGCCCACGCAAAGAAAGTGGCTTGAATGCAGTAGATCGAGCCAGCCCAGTAGTAGGCCCCAAACTTGGCTGCCGTCGACGTTGGCGCGAGAATGATTGCGGCATTTGCAATAGCCGTGAAGGAGACGTAGTATCCCGACAGCCACCGCCTACCCCAAATATCTGTTGAGGTGGCCCACAACAGCGTGCTCGTCACGCCCATGGCCTGTACGCCGGTGGGATAGTTGTTGCGTTGGTAAAGATTGTACTTCTCTGTTGGATGAGCTTGCATATAGAGGTTGAGAAGTGACTGGTTGGACTGCGATTCGGAGCAGTTGCCTAGAATCCACAGGAAACAGAAGGCATAGAAGTACCATGAGTGAACTACCCTAGAGAGGAAAGACTTGGAGAGGATACTCTCCGTTTTGTCAACCTCGTGGATCGGCACCCGTTCTCTTGCAAGAGCGATTTCTTCTTGGCTAAGGTAGAATGCCGTGGTCGTATGAGGTGTATCGGGGAAGAAGAAGTATCCGTATACAGCGACGGGCAGCGTGATGATGCCAGAAATCTGGGCGCAGTCAGCAAGTTTCGGTAGACAGACATAGGCATTATTCTTAAACTCACAATGAATAGCCATTTCCAACCTGGCAGACCATGCAGGCCGTTCATAGACGAATGGATGCCACTTTGGAGGAAGCCACCAAACATGCCACCAGCTAGACCACTGGCGGTGAAGAGTCCTGTGCGCTGGCCAAGCTCCTTCTTGGTATACCATGATCCCAGAATGTACTGGGTTCCGGCGAATATGCATGATTCAAAGTATCCTTGGAAGAATCGGATAGCCATGAGGTGCTGCGGAGTCTTCGCCACCGCGTTTAGCATAGTAATTCCTGCCCAGGTTGTGATCATAAAGGGGAAGAAGTTTCGAGGCTTAAAATAAGTCAAGAGCAAATTGTTCGGGACAATGCCTCTATGAAGTGGCAAAGAGAGGTCAGTATTTGGGTTCCCAGGGGCATGGTGCCTCATGCAGGGCTCCGAGAACTCACATGAGATACGCCGTCGCATAAAGAGTCGTTACGACAGTCAGTTGAGCACCTTTGAAGCCCAAGTCCTCTCGCATTCCAGAAACATATGCTTGGGTTATGCTGGCTCTGTCGAGATAATTCCTGATGCGAGTCATATTCGTCGGCACCTCTGTTATCAACATTGAATGTTGTCGAGTCATTCACTCACATGAAATATGCTGTTCAACATTAGAAACGGCAATTATACCACGGAGTTTGACGGGCATGAACATACCTAAACAGCAGAAAGTAAGAATGAAGAAGTCCAACTTGAGAACAAGTTTCCTCTCCAATGGAGTTGAAGCACCCTTGAAGTGCTCTCTCAATGATGAGAAGCACCCCATTGTAGTTATCGAAGTAATACCTTGCTTCCGCTGGCAATGCGAGAAGTGAAACAAAGAACTACTAGGCGCTGGGCAAGAGCTGGAATCTATGCGCTTTGGACAGCTGATGGGCGCCTATGAAGGAAAGGTTGGAGAGCTCTTCTTATGTCTAACTGCCTTTGGTGCACTGTCTTCTAGACGAAGTCGCCGTTATTGGCTTATCTGCTACTCCAAGACGCCTCCTCCCTGAACATGGGAAAGCATGCTTGGCTCGGGGATAAGGGGATGGGGCCCCGCCCTCCTAAGAAGCTTCCGTTATCAAGGCTCAGCAGCAAAACTTGGGGGTCTTGAGAGATACTACTTGCCAAATACCAATTACCCAGAGTGAGTAAGGCAAGGAGGCTTGGAAGTCTTGAAGTATCTCGTCCATAGATAAAGAAGTAGGCCGGCCACACTTTTATCTTGAACATGCGCTAATGCCAAGCTGTCCGACTGTTGTTGCTGACTTTACGATAAACGGGCCATTTCAGTCTTTTCAGTGCCATCGTTACCTGTATGTACGAGGCTGGAAGCTAAGACCGTGTGTTGAGATGGGTGAGTGGATCACCCTCTCGGAGGAGCTCCTCCCGTCGATCTCGACACAATATCGACGCAAGGTGATATCAACATATCTTACAACGCGCTGTGTGTTCCAGGTAGGTAGCCCACAAACACTCCGGGTTATCATTGACTCCAGTCGGTTATCAGGCCGACAATGAATGAGAGTGTGGTCGATCTCAGTTGGACGTGCCTAGTCATCCTTGACTTCTTTTCTGCCAGTACGATTCATACTTGCATTCCCCTATGAATGATCTGGAACAGAGCAGGAATTCAAAAAGACTAGAGATGGATGTACTGATGCCATAGGATGTATGAGACTTCCGTGGCATTTTGTCTCGAGTCTAACGGCGTGCTGAGGGCACTACGTAACCCGGTTTCTTTAGGGATTTAGGAATCGTTACCTGCGCCTGAATTACATTGACATGTACCCAACTGAAGGGCCTTGTTTAACGCTACACAATCAGTCGTATTCTGTTGACCCAGCATGATGAATTCATCATTCCCAGCTTCCGTCTGCAATGTCCTGATACTAGAGCCTAGCTAGCCTTCAAAGAGGGTACATAAACCTCCCGAGGAACGTTGTCGAATTTACCCAGGCTCTGATGGCCTTCGGGATCAGGATATTCGCCAGCAAAGAAGTCGGCGTGTTTTTGAGTGTCTCGCGGACGATCAAGATCATACTCATAACGCTTAAACCCATGTTTCCGAGCGTCTAGAAAATCCGCCATACAGAATACCTGCTCATCAATAGGCTTATCGCGACCAATTCGCTGAAGGAGAGGGGAGCCTTCGATGGGCACGAGTTCTCGCTCGTCAGCCGGACGTGAAAAGTAGATGACTCCGATTCGACGAAGATGGCGTTGATCCTCGGGAGGCTCTGCATATCAAGATTTAGTAATTGCTTGGGTAAGTCATCGATCTTTTCAGAAAACAATCACGTACGAACAACTCTATGGATAGTAGCCTTGAACAGGCCTCCGGTCAGTCGAGCAAGGGCATCGCCGAAGTTAACGACCAGGCCATGAGGCTGGTGCTCGACCCAGCGATACTTCCCATCATTATGGTCAAGAACCTGAAGTGCCGCTATGGGTTGCGAGAATAGAAAGGTCCATGTCCCCAGATCAGTGTGCCCCGAGAGGAAGATATCGCGGTACTTCTCGCTTTCTTCCTTCGACCGCGGCTCGCACATCATGTATCTGATGTACTCGGTCTTGGAACCCCCGGGTGCATGTGTTGACTGAATTATCTCTTCAGGGACCTCCAAGATCATAGCAACCTGGGTGCCACGATGATCAGTCTGAGCCATGTCCGGGAGTTAAGGGGCGAGCTTACCAAAGTCAGAAGTTTCCTGAGGATGTTGATTCGAATGAATTGCATCACTTCCTGCGTCTCCTGCAAATACGGTCGCATAATCTCAGGATGGGGACGGTCAAGCGGGTCGTGAACCAGAATGTTGTAATGGTCCAGCTGTTTAGGGAAGCCTCCCTTACGTCCCAAGGGACCAGCAGGTTTGTATCCAACATACAGTCCCCGTGCGTCTTCCTCGGGAGTTACTATCGCGCAGTGTCAATGCATACATTCTTGTATCTTGAACCGATAAAGTAGCTGTAGATACCTTCATAAGGCGCCTTCTCTTCCGCCGGGAGGGTCATCATGGCGTTTGCTATCTGCATTTGGCGAGCGTAAACCTGATCGGAAATGCCATGATTGCTCAGAGTGAGAAAGCCATAACCAGTCGCGGCTTCATAGAGGTCCTTTGCAAGTTCTTGTCGGCCAGTTTGGGTCTCAAACTTGGATAAGTCGAGGTTCACGAGTTTGACATAATCCACTTGTCATGTTGAAGTCAGCTAACTAAGGTCGATGGATTGATTCGCCCTTGAAGGTAAGACCTACACTTCTCCTTGGTAGGTGGAGCGGGTGTAAATGGAGGAAGAGACATAGTCTCTACACTGGTTGAAGCGGGAAGCCTCTGGTGATTGGGCTTGATACAGCTGGATATGTAAAAGAGGACCTTTTCTGTATGTGCTTTTTGAATAGTTGATGACCTTTACTCGAGCAACCGGGCTGGATCTTCACTGCCTATTATTATATTGTGAGTCGCATTTCTGTGAAAGGAGCGACCACATGAGCGCACTCTGACTGCATGACCTCTCACGGCGACTCTTACCCCCCATCAATGGCCCAAATGCCAGAGCTGACTTGTAGATCATTCATCTACGTGCGTGACTACAGGTGCTCCTTGAGCGCGTTCCTCCGAGCCCTCTCAACATGTCTTCTAGCGAGCCCAACCGGCTCAACCTTCCAGTCGTCCTCCAATCAGTCCTCTCGACTCATTCAAGAGGAGCGCATTGCCCGGGCTTGTCGTGCTTCCCGAGGTTGCATCGTATCTTCGTGGGGTAAAGGAGATGGTGGGTGAGAGGAGCTCCTCTCAAGTGGGGCACCTCTTGCTCAGACATTAAGTCCGGCATTGACGCTTATCAGGCCGTCACCTGCGAACTTGGTGGGGGCTCCTCCTCGGTGAGCTCCAGCTAGCCCCTTTCTCCGTATCTCACCTGCCTTGAGCAAATCTAGAGCCTTTCGGACTTCCTCATGCTGCATAGAAAGGAATCGGCCTTGACAAGGTTACTTCGGTAGATCCTTTAAGTTCAAGACTTGGGACACTTTATCCGATGCGGCCGCACTGGGCAATGAACAAGCGTGTACGGAGTAACTGGGAGCGATAAGAATTGTGAACCCACATTTTGCGGAGAAGAAGATTGTCCTATTACGCTGGCTCTATTATCACGGGATGCCCATCGAGCTTCAGTGCTTGCACGACTGCTGTAAGACATCGTCGACAATGAATATTGAAGCCTCGTGGAATACATCTCTACTTTGCAATCAAGAGTGAATCCAGAATCATATTTACAGTGCTCACATTGAAACATCATTATTGTCATGACGCCTAGTGTAAAAATGTCTCCCAGATCAACCGACAAACCATTCCAATGTCCTGCGTGCTCAAGTCGATTCACCCGACAGGTGATTCTCCCGTCCAGCGATAGCCCCCAATGCAAAAGATTGACAGTCAGCAGGAGAACTTGAATCGTCATACGGCATCAGGTACTGATTAGATGAAGAAATCGTAATGTCCAGTGACGAGCCAGACTGACAGACTCAGTACATCAGCGTTCAAATCTGAGGCCATTCCCATGTCTACAGTGTGAAGTCAGCTTCTCCAGAAGGTTGGCACTATTTCCAGGACATCAAACTACTTCAAAATGTTGATAGAGTTTGAATTGACTTGTATTAGTGATTTAAGGAAACGCCACGTGAGAAGATACCACGCAAACCCCGATCGCACTGTTGAGACAATCTATGTCGCCGGTGATGCTGCGCCAGCCGACGAACCAACAAAAGAGACAAACAAAGGAGTGGATGCGAACCGCTCAACCGATCGTTCAAATGGCGAAGGTGTAGGTGCTCCGTTCATCAAGCCCAACAGATTCTCAATCTAAGTTTTGTCAATGACTCAGTCAACACCGATTTCACAAGCGTTCGCGTCACGAGGCATTTCATGGTTATTCAAACTTCCTCAATTTGTATCAGCTTACTTCGATCGTTTTCAGCCCACGTTCCCGCTTCTACATAAGCCAACATTTGACCTCGATACGGCTCAGGAGCCATTGATACAAGCAATTGTTTGCCTTGGGGCCATTTACCAAGCTCAAGGTTCAGACCAGGAGATAAGCGCTACATTATTCTTTTCGGGCTTGAAGTCTCTGGACGTATACGTAAGTGAGCATACAGGAATGACTTTGTGCGAATGTTGAGCATTTGAATCACTTGTAGGTGCGCGAGAGTCGGCGGATAAGGTTCAGAGAGTTGTGGGTCATGCAAGCCTACCTGCTCTTCGAATACTACGCATTCTACAGCTGCGACGATGGCCGGTTCTCAACGGCTCTCAAGATCCACAGGAAGCTTGTTGATGCTGTCCGACAGTACCAGATGCTTCAAGATAGAGTAGCTCTTGGCGTGGACGAAGTGTCCAGCCCGAACGAACCTGCGATAGCTTCTTCAATGAACGTGACCGAGCACGCCTGGCGAGTTGCCATGTACAACGAGTCAAGAAAGCGGTATGGCCGCCTGCCAGCGCGCTACCAGCGGGGAAACCTGGCTTCAATTAAAGTCACGCTGACATTTGAGGTCTCAGGATTGTGTACTGTCTATACTACCTTGACGCTCAACTCTCAGTCTGTTGTAACATACGTCCGCTGCTCGCAGCTCTCGAATTGAAATACGAACTTCCGTGTCAAGACGACACATGGCAAGCTGCCACAGCCGAAACCTGGCAAGCCCTCATATTTTCTCAAGAAGGGTCATTCAACGAAGAAGATGACTATGAAGCCAATGGCGACCCACGCCCGGCGCACGGCGATCTGTACGCAAGTCTCATGTACTTGATGAATCCTAACCCGCCGGACCGGCCTCTGCGATTACTCTGGCACTCGTCTTTCGCGTGTCTGATGCTCATAACGCAAATATTGATGATGACCCGTGACCTCACCTTGGCAAGCTCGTTTTTGTACAACAACGTGCGTTGTGGCGAGTCAAAGAACAACTTGTCAATCATCTCAGAAGCTAGTCGGACCTCAATCATGCAAGCTCTGAATGCCTTGTCGGACATCATGCGCAAGCCATCTTTTCCTGGAACATATCCCCTTGGCAGCCCTTTAGATGATTCTGAGACTGTGGAGTCTAGCCTATGGAGCAATGTCTGGATCGTGTGGCATTATGCTGCTATGAACCTAACCCATCAAGAGGCATTACTCACAAGCGGCATCGTCGAGTACAGTCTTCCATCTGCTGTTTCAACTTGCTGGGAACTTGGTAAACCTCGGGTGAAGCAGCATCGAGATGTGTACGAAGACAGAGATGGTACGTATATGAGTCTTTCTTCATATTGACATCCAGGCGAAGGCTTCAGATGCAGTAGGACACCAGCTCACACTGTCTCAGTCATTCGTGTAGCTAGTAGCCTGGAGAGCATTCTTGTGCTTCTTTCTCACGACACTAGACCCATTAGTGTCGACTTTCAGTTGCAATCTGAAATCAACCCCAAAATAATCGAAGATCCATTCATCACAATGATCGGATACAAGGCCTGTCTGCTGGGCTGGCGCATAGTACGTCTGATGGCTGTTAGCCTGCAGACCAGCTCGGTCTCGTTCAACATCCAAACACAAAGCATCTACTCCATGTCTGCTCGTGTTGTTCTTACTGGTATACTAGCTGCCATAAGTCTAGAGCCCGCAAATCAGAGAGGCCAGTGGGACTCAACAGCGGCGGTAGATGATGCTGAGTCTCGATACCTAGCATGGATGGAGGCAACTTTTTTGGCCAGGGATGTGTGGCCACCGAGCAAATGGATCGTCGCTGTATTTAACGAAAGCAGACATGAGCCTGAGTAAGAGTGCGCAGTGTGTAGTCTATCTCAAAGTACGCGGACTCCCTTGAATCTTGCAGAATTTCTCGGAATCTCCTCTCAGTCTCAATTTTCAATATTGCTATGATCTCTGGAAGTACCAAGCTTTCCCAGGCTCAAAGGCCATCATAGTCAGGGTAAGTACCACCAGGCTCGTCACGAAGGACGTTAGATCCGAGGATGCTATCGAATATTCCATCTTTGTCGTTACGGACGCGCATATAATACTCATGTACCACAGGGTGCTTTTCAGCCCAGCTCTTCGTAAAGACCTTGGAGACAGTCAGTAACTTTTCGTATACTCGATTTAGGAAACTTGATTTCCTAGTCAGACAGGCCCTTACATATTGGTAGCCTCTTGCGAGACCAGAAACGACAAATAGGTCGGCCAGCGTCAACGTGTCTCCAACGAGATAATTCTTCCCTGCGATCTCCTTCTCGATGGCGCGAATGGTCAGCTCACAGCCCTCCTCACAAGTCTTGAGAATCTCAGGACTGCTAGGCGCCCGTCCAATGATGGGTCCTATCCATGCCATAATGGGTGGCAGGAGCTCATAGTTCGTGAATGACGCCCACCGAAGGACAGTTGTCTCCTCCTTCAATCCAGATCCACATAACTTTGTGTTTGGATCCTGCTTTGCCACTGTTGTATTGTGAGTTTTACCGAGCCTATCGCTTCCAATAAGCTTGGCACTTACGGAACCATGCAACTGCGTTGCTTTCGTAGGCAGTAAAGCCATCGGCGGTCTCCAGCGCGGGAACTTTTCCAGTGTGGAACTTGGAGAGATATTCTTCACCGACGCCGCCCTTTTCCGGGTACACTTTGATCGGGAATGCGTTGCAAATTTCGACGTCGAGTCTATTATACTTTGCAACAAAGAGCACCATCGTAGATCGAGGCGCTTTGGGATACGTGTAGAGCTTGCCGAAAGACATCTTGCTGCTTGTGGTAGCTTGTCTGAATGGAGAGTAAACGAACGTAGGGAGAAATTTTGCTCCTCGAATCTGAATTGAACTTATAGCTGTACTTGACCGGGCAGAAGGTTCTGCTCCCTACATAATGCATCCTGCATATTGTCGCTGATGATTATCGTCATAGGGAGGAGCTCCACCACAAAGGTGGAGGTGCCTCCCGCAAAAAGTGCTCCTCCTACATTCAAAGATTACCTTGACAACTATTGTTCGAGCCTTCAGCTGGACCTACGCGACTCTCTTCTTGCGCTGGTTCTGTCTCTGAAATTGCACGGTTCAGTCACGTTGCGAGTATCCTATCGACTGTAAGAAGCACAGATGCAGCACATCCGCCTCCAGTCTTTCTCTAACTTCTTAGGTATTTTGTCTCAACCTACTCATAGCGAACGAAAGCAAAACAAAGTCGGACAAATGTATCAATCATTACAGTTACTTGTAAAAGCGTATAGTGTTGTGTTGACGATATTCGGCCGCGGATAAGAGAATACCTAGGTGATTAGAAACGCAATGTCAACCCTACAAAAAAGGAAAAGAAAAAAAGCACAGTGCTCACTCGAATAAGGCCAAGGTGTTCTAGAGTTGGGATTCGAAATGAAGCGTTTGGAACGGAAAATGCCTTTCGAATTCGCGGCTTCTTCATTCATCCAAACTTCGTCAAATGGCTAAATTAGTCGACCAAAAGCATCAATCAAACAGGTTACACGAACGTCGAAATTCGTTGATCTCCCGAGCACACAAAGCGTTCCCGAGATGCGGGGAAGAATTCCATGTCATGCTGTGGCCGCTAATAGGCGCGGATGCGGCAGTCATCCGTGGGACCTTTACTGTAGCATTAGTTGTCGCTGCAAAATGAATGCTGTCGGTTCGGAGCTGAAAATGCAACCTTGCCTTGCGAACCGAGAGGAAACGGTTGGAGCGTGTCTGCCATCCCACCGGCCGAGTCTGTGGGGTTTAGCTAGCCATGCAGTCGGCCGAATGCAAGATGAAAATCTGGGGTCATCGGCTGAAGTGATGCCACCCTTTCGCATCATCCGCAGTCATGCAACTGCCGGAAGAAATATAATGAAGCACCGTAGCTGGAGCGCAATCTCCTTGGACTGTAGATCGACAGTCAAGATCTTACGACCCAATGAGATACTTGAAACTGGATTTCACGATGTCCTCGTACCGAGTGAAAGAGTTCCGAGATGGCCGAGAACCCATTATCGCGTTTGTGATGGAAATGATAAAACCGAACTAGCATCCCTTCAACTAATCGTTCATTTCAACACTCAAGGACACTCCAGCCTACAAATTCTTACATTGAGCCTATCAACACGTCCACACGATGAGATCCTGGCTGCGCTCACTTGTCACGATAGCTGCTTTGGCAGCCCCTATCGTGGCAGAGACCTTCACCAACCCGGTCATATGGGAAGATCTCGCCGACAATGAGGTTCACCGTGTCGGAGACACCTACTACTTGACGGCATCCACCATGCACTACTCCCCCGGTGCGCCCATCCTACGCTCCAAAGACTTGGTCAACTGGGAGTACGTCAGCCACTCGGTTCCGGTTCTCGATTGGAACTCGCAATACGACTTGGCGGATGGCAAAAACGCCTATGTCAAGGGTATCTGGGCATCTTCTCTTCGACACCGGGCAAGCAACGGTCTCTGGTACTTTGTAGCCTGCGTAGAGTTCTCAAAGACGTATGTCTACACATCACCTGACCCTGCTGGGCCCTGGACCAAAGCTGGCACCATCGACACGTGCTACTACGATGTTGGCTTGTTGTTTGACGACGACGATACTCCGTACGTGGCCTATGGAAACACCGCGATCTCTGTTGCGCAACTCTCTACCGACGGACTTACGGAAACTCGACGAGAGACGGTATTCCAGACGCCCAGCGATATTGGTGCTCTGGAGGGTGCGCGGATGTACAAGCGAGACGGAAACTACTACATCTTCCTGACGAGGCCGCCTGATGGACAATTCGTGCTCAAGTCATCCAGCCCGTGGGGTCCATACGAAGTCAAGGTTCTCGCAGACAGAATCGCACTTAGTTCGGTTCCGAATGCCGGGTCGCCGCACCAGGGCAGTCTCGTGGACACCCAGAACGGAGATTGGTACTACATGGGCTTCACGGACATATATCCCGGCGGCCGCTCTCCCGTGCTGGCTCCCATCACTTGGGGAGATGATGGTTTCCCGTCGCTCGTGACCGTCAACGGTGCTTGGGGAGACTACGAGTACCCGCTTCCCCGGGCGGATGTGCCGAGCGCTCTACGCACCGATGAGTTTGCCGGCACATCCCTCCGCCCCGAGTGGGAATGGAATCACAACCCTGATCTCAGTGGTTTCGAGGTGAACAACGGAATCACGCTCCGCACTGTCACTGTGACATCGGACCTGTACTCGGCTCGCAACACCCTGACCCACAGGATTCGAGGACCGATTGGAACCGGCACCGTCCACCTCAACGTTGCGAACATGGCCGACGGGGACCGCGTTGGACTCGCAGCGTTGCGCGATAAGTCCTCTTGGATCGGCATCGAACGTGAAGGGGATGTGTATTCCATCGTCACCGTTGGAGGTCTGACCATGAACACCGACTGGACCACGAACTCGACAGGGGCAGTTGTTGAGCGCAGGCCAATGGGAGACGCGAGAGACGTCTACCTCAGAATGGTGGCTGATATACGTCCTGGCGGGCCTGGTAACGCTGTCTTCAGCTACAGCGTCGACGGCCAGACTTTCGAGACTGTGGGCGCGTCATTCACGCTGTACAACAACTGGGAGTTCTTCATGGGCTATCGATATGGCATCTTCAACTATGCGACAAAAACATTGGGCGGCTCGGTGAGAGTTTCGTCGTTTACCAATGCTTAGCTGTTGGTGTAAAGTCTTGAGGCTCTTGTGTAAACTCCGCCCAAATAGGAAGAAAGAGGGAGTTTTCGGAATTGGAAATAGAGCCAAACTCAAGGAACACGTAATGTGGGAGAAAGAAGGGCGAGTTCACCATTGTATCTACTCTTGTTCTTCGTGTACAAATAATATTATCAATAATTCGCGACAGCTGACGCCCCTCGGTTCGTCCACAATTTAAAGTCACAATGCAAGGAATCGGAGAGAGCCAACAAACCGGGCAAAGCGCATCTCTTCCCCGCACTCAAAAGTCCGCAGGCTCCAACCTCCAACCCCGAGTTTGTGAGCCCCCAACCTCGCCGGGTAACCCGGACCTAAGCGGACCCAATAATGGAGCTTGATACGCGCCAAAGGGGACCAGAGACCCGGAGGGAGACCTGGGGTATTTGAACGCGATGCTTCATTTGGATCCAATGCCGAGGTTTGTTGGGTCTTCATGAGGAACCCCTCCTTGAAAATGTGCCTAGCTCGCCTACCAGATGTGCCATTTACGGTCACCTTCTCGTGCAGCAGGCTACATCCTGTCAATCCTAACCCCGCGCGGCAGCTCTTCGAAGCCAGTGTCCTGGTCTACACGTGTACTATCTCACTACGGGCCGAACATGTGTGAAGTAGAGAGGGTTATCGATGGCTGTCTGTTGACCATGGCACTCAGCTGATTCGTCATCGGAGAGCGGTCTGGGATGACCCCTGACGATCCGAACACCTCGATATGCATTAGGTAGTTTTCTGGAGGCTAGCTTTCCCCCAGCCCACTGATGAGTCTCCGAGCCTGTTGCACCTAAGAAAGCACGGCAATGGGGAACTGTTTTGGCCAAGTGGGTTTCCCATCGACAGCTTTCCGCAGCTGCGGGAGCAGGTCTCAGTGCGGATATCATTCTAGTTTGCTTGGCCGAAGGGGTCTCGGTGAGTATGCGACGTCATGCAAGTCTTGATAAATACCTCTCCGTTTCCCCCGAGCTTTCCTTTGGCGCTGACGTTGGACAACGAGCCTTTGTTCTCCCCGGTCGTTCCGCATCCGCCTCTTGCCCTGCCCTTTTAAGCCTCTTCTTCGAGTCTTTCATCCCCGAATATCTCTCTTGATTCTTCCAGTACGATAGATCCGAGAGTCGACGCCACCCAAAATGAGAGTTAAGACTAGCACCGCCCTCACCGGCATTCTCGCCGCCACCGCCGCCACGGCGCAAAACGCAACGAGCACCTGCGCGACCGGCGTGTACATCATCGTGGCCCGCGGCAGCAACGAAGCTCCCGGATCCGGCAGAATCGGCAGCGTCGCCAATGGCACTTTCGCAGCCATTCCCGGGTCCCAGATCGCGCCGCTCGACTACCCGGCGACGTTTGACAACTACTCGACCTCCGTCGCAGCCGGCGCCGTGGCTCTGAACGCCGCGTTGACCTCGTACAACGCGCGATGCCCGAACTCCAAGGTTGCGCTGTTGGGATACTCTCAGGTAAGCTCACGCCGTACCGAAGATTTCAATATCGCGCAGCCACCTGCATCAACACCAACCCAGCTTCATGGGATGACATGATCTCCCATTTTACCAGAGCGCCGGAAAGGAGGGTGGTAATTGGGCGAGAAAATTGGACGGCTGCTTGCAAATTTACTTTTGTTTTCTTCCGCTGACTTGCATGAAACTTTAGGGTGCGCAAGTGACAGGTGATACTCTGTGCGGCAGCGTTGACGAGGACGAGGGCGAGGCTCTCAACATTGAGTTCAATCAGACGGCGCCCGTTCCCGCATCCGTCGTCGACCAAAGTGGTTAGTAGCTGCCCATCCAGTCACTTTTTGTTGACATGATCGCGAAGCTTACACATCTTCAGTCATCGCCGTGATTCTTTTCGGAGACCCAACCCACAACGTCAGCGCAAGCTGGAACAAGGGCACGAGCAAGCGCAACGGAGTAAGTTCCACCTTGGCGAAACGTGGTGGCGGAATCAAGCCCCTACGCCGAATAGTGCAACGTCGTAGTTGCTGACTCGTTCGTCTCTAGCTCTTCCCCCGTGAAAACGTGACCAAGTGCGAGGCATACGCGTCCAAGATCGAGTCGTACTGCGACACGGGAGATATCTACTGCGATCTCGGCAACAACACCGCCGTTCACGGTTCATACTTTGCCAACTACACCGACGATGCAGTTGAGTTTATCTGGGCACAGTACAACGCCTCCAAGTCATCCAACGGTTCGTCGCCGACTGCCACCCCCACTACGGTCCCGGGATCCGGAGCTGCCGATTCTGCGCCGGGCCTGCTGATGTCCCTGGCTGGTTTGTCTATGCTGGCGGCCTTTATCTTGTAAGAGGAGAAGCTTGTATTTTGCAGAAGCATGCTGGACGGAATTCCATTGGCCATGGTAGCAATCCACCGGCTTTGTAATTATTCAATAATGACTGCTATGATCTGAAGGCCCCTTCTCAAGCTTCCAGGGACTTTCATCCCACCGGTATTCACAACCTTCCAAAACTCCACCTCAGAGGATGTACTCCATTATTCACTCGGTCCGTTGGTGTCGGTCCGACGGCGCTGCAAGGTTCAAAACTCCGTGATTACTGTGGCTTTGTCAAGAGACTCAAGACGAACGAGACACAACCCACCGTGCGTCATCTATCGGCGACAGGTCAGCATGTCATCCTGCGAATCACCCAGGCAAGATGACCATCTCAAGATAATGTAACATGGCCAAAGCAATACGACCATTTGCAGGCTAAAGCTCTCGATGTTCAATCAACTTCTCTGCTATAAACTGAATCATTTCCCAAAGAGTGAGAGGAGCGCGAATCGCGTATTCCAAGAAAAAAAAAACAGCGTGCCTCCTGTATCCCTAGATCACGGTTGCTAAAACAGCAACCAGCCACGGGTAATTCGTTGGCTCCGTGGAAAACTTGAGGACCCTCTCATTTGGCGACCGGTCAGCGAGTGGTAACTTTAGAAAGGTCAAATTGGCCTGTTTGGCGGGCGTTGTGCCGATGCTCTCCGGCAACGTGAGCTCAATGTCGTACCCCCAGCTTAACAACAACTTGGTGGTCTTGCAAAACTTGTGTCTCACCGTCTCTGGGGCATATGGGCTGAGATTGCCCGCCTGGCGAAGCTGCTTCACATCCCACATGCCCCTCTCAACATCGAGAACCTTGGGTTTCCCGTAGAAGATAATCTTGCCTTGGAGCTGATCCACGAGCGCTTGTTGATCATTCTTCAGCTTAGGGGACTCCACCGCATCGAGCCCCTCATGCCCCAGCTCTGCCCAAGTCACGCCAGGCAGGCCGTCAAAATCAATTGAGTACGAGTACGTCTTCGTTTTCTCCACGGCCCAATCATTGCAGATAGTCTCCCAATTTGCCAACGTATGGATAGGACGGTAGAATATGGTCGACGGGTCAACCTTGATCCTCGGGACGTTGTCGAAATACGCCCTTCGGACGAAGTCCTCACTCAACGCGGAACAAGGCATATGAATGCTGTTGCCGGCATAAACTTCAAAAAGTCCCATGTGAGTGTTTGTGAGAAGCAAGGTTAGTACTTACAGGTTTTTGAAGTCTATTCTGTTATCGGCTAACTTGAGAATAGAGATCTGTTGAGATATGGCTTCCATATCCCCTCCCTGCAGGCCTACATATCGCCGTTGTGCATCAAGCTCTTGTTGCCATGTCCTCTTGTAGTCTTCATCATCTTTAATGAAGTCTTGGAAGGTGGGGGTTTTAAATTCGTCGTCGATCCGAGCCTCGTATCTTGCTAACGCATTGTTCCAAGCAGCGTTCTTAGCTTCAGTGGCTTTCAATAAAGATTGTCGCGCCGCATCGATATGAAGGCTATCATCATCCTAGTTTCAATTTATTAGATTGACGAATCATGGCTGGATGGTTGATCGTAAAGTATATTACTTACTGAGACCAAGTTTCGCATAAATCTAGGAAGAGAAGTACATTAGTCGTGGTCATGGAGAAATCGACACACTTGACTCACTTGTTGAGCTCAGCGAAGTAAGATCCTTGGTCAAGGGAAAGCGCAGGGCGATTCAGGATTTGCAGAGCATCTGCTTTTTGGAAGACTTGAAAGTTGACTACCTCCGCAGGTGCAAGATCGCCACCTGGAATGCCTGTCTGCGTTGGGGTAGCGAGAAATATGGCCTGTTCCTCGTCAGAAAGATTTGTGGCGTTGGACAGGAATGGTGCTAAAGTTGCAGCAAGTGCTTTCCAGAAAAGTGTCGGCGTTGAGTGAGGTTTGTAAAGAATAGGAATGGGCACTCTCTTTGGTTGAGATGGTAAGAGCTCCCCAACTCCAATCTTCAAGTCTGGAATGGCAGCTTGAAGACAGCTAAATTGAAAACTCTCGGATGGTTGCTCAACGGTGAGTGTGAGCAGGCCAACATCGGCAAGTTGTTGTAGGAAATCCACGGGTTGCTCTTGAGGGCTTGACATGGTGACTGGATGGATAGTAGTGGGAACGAATTGATGAAGTCTGGTGTCCTCAAAAAAGCTTCAGTTGATTACGAGTCAAGGGCGGCTTATATACTATACAGTCTCAAGCTTGTCTCCTGCGGTATTCACATCGGTCTTATCTTCAGTTGCCCTTCCCTAATCAATTTTCCTACAAGATCATGTTATCGCCATCTTGCGATGAGATCAACATCAATGTGATGAGTTGAGAGGCTTGGATTGATGAGACATTGATCACCATCCCAGCTAGCCAGCCACATGAAGGCCTGGATCGGGCTTGGCCGAAGCTGAACGTACGAGAACGGTGTATGGGAGTAGAACTGTACCAAGACAACATGCTGACATCCTCTCCACCGACATGATTCCGTGTTGACTTGCCGAAGATGCCATTCGATTATGGTGATTACCATCACTCGCCGGGGCCCTCTCCTTACACAGCATCAACCTAGGAGTGTTCGACAGCTGCATCACATTCGTTTTCGGCCCACAGTCTTTGAGCACAGCTAGCTACTCACTTCGTCTTCAAGCAGATCATCAGCTAAGAAGTGTGGTAACATTGCACAGTGTGCCAGAAGTCATCTCAACTAGCTCAATTGTCATCAGCTCAGCCTTTACTAGCGCAGTATTGCAACCCACCTTGTAGTCATAAGTCACTCATCACAGCTGCCTGCTTCTCAATATGCAATAATCAGATTCCCAAGGGCAGCCACATCACACGCTGAAGAACACCAGGGAGACATGACCATGTGCTGAAGAGAAAGCTAATGCATCGGCTCGGCCCCTACCCACGGCCAAACGGGTCCGTTTGCAGGCAAGCAATTGAAATATCTGCTACCTACTCGTGAGGCTGATAGCAGTCGATCGCTTGGCTTTAGTGACGACTGCATATAATCATGAGCAGTGTGGTGCGCTAAACTTCCCGACATTGATTCTCCGATAATTAGTAAGATGAAGAACAGAGAAGGCATTGAATCAAGCAATGAAATGTCTGTTACCGATTGATATGAAAGTAACATTGGATGAAGCAGATCACAACAAAAGCCGGCTTCATGCCACCAATTAGTACTTACCATCAAACTTTGCAATCAGCAAACCATCGAACTAAAACCTCTATCCCAAAGTTATTTCGCTGAATGCAGTTGAGAACTAATCACAAGTCTCGCAGTTGTAGCCTAATTGTACTTGAGAAGCCCGGGTAGGTTCGATCCTCAGCCCGTCGCCAGTACTTGGAGCTGTTGACACGAAACGTATGTAACTCATCACCTTTCAAACGAAGTGTCATGCAATTCCACATGTACTATAGTCTCACAAGAGAGCAGACCCAATGTAATAGCGACATAGTCATCGAGAGCCTTCATGATGTGATTTCAAAATCAGCCCACAGAGTCACATCACAGAACTAGCACCGCCAACAATCCACTGCAATCGTCCAAACTGACTGGCAATGTCCCGGAAGCGACGCAGGAGCTGAACTCAGTATGAACACCAGAAGTGAAAGTGTCGATCTCTAAGGTCGGCAATGAAGTGATTGGGTACGCAGTGACTCGTCTGCTGGACCAGGAGTCCAGTGGATAACCGAACTGTCACAAACCAGCCTTTGCTGGGTGCTGGATGAGAAGAGACAACCGCATCAGGCGAAGCTGAGTCCAGCGACTCCAGCCCTCTCTGGACAATCACTTCAGTCGAGCCTCTACTCACATCACTGATATGACTATAAGTTTCGAGAAAGGTTCGTGCTCATTTCAAGATCATCTTCCATCAACACACTTCATTTCAACATCTTTCTCTGACACTAATTCTACAATATCAATCCAACACTCCTCACTGCTCATCATGTCTGCCGACGCTTCTGATAAATCTTTTTGGTTGGCTTACTGCAAGGCTATTCAGCAAGCTATCGGACCCAACCCCGGGTCTGACAGCGCTATTTTCTTTGCCACGAAGGCGCAGAAAGGCCCAGCCGCGTCTCCTCTCATTCCTCCCGAGTACACAAACTTCGGGATTTACAATCTTGCGGACAACCTCTTGTCTGCCAACAATCTGTTCTATGTACCGTCGACTCAGAACTCGTACATCAGATCGTTGAGAAAGTAAGCCTTCAGCGACCAAATTCGTTCTCTCACAATCATTGACACACATGATCTCTTAGTTATCTCGGCTATGTTGACCTTGTAAGATTTCCCCAACCATGCTTTCGAGACCTCTGCTAAACCAAGGACAGGGAGGCTCCCAGAGCCCTGGCGTGGTCACTCGAGTCGTTCTCACTCAGAAAGCCCTGGACGCTGCCCTGACCAGATGCAACATGGAGGTCGCCAAAGCTTTTGCAGACTTTCAGCAACAGCATGGATTCGGCATCACTGGAGACCAGAGCTTCATTCAATGGTATCCCACCCACGCGCCGGCATATGTGAATGCCCTTCAAGCCGCCGCTGCTGCTGCTGCCGACAATAAGTCTGCCCTCAATGACATGAGTGGCCCACTTGCGGCTCAGTACAATTTGGATAGCGACAAGCTCACTCAAGCCATGACTAGTCTTGCAGCGACTCCGGGGTATGTCACAACTTTTATGAAGAATCAGCAGGCCGTGCTTAACAAATTTCTTCAGGATATCCATGGCTGCCACTAGCTCCACTCCGTCTTCTGCCCAAGATGTTCTTAACGCTGTCAACTCGAATCAGGCTCTCCCAGCTCCCAAAGGAATCAGATACGTGCCTGAGTACAGCTCTGATGAGTATGTCACGGCTGTGAGTGATTGGATCCAAGATCCCAGTCGCGGCCGACCTGGCAAGAACTCTATCGAGATCAAGATGAGCGATGGAAAGAACACCAGCGAGAGTCAATTTGGCCAGGAAACCTTGAGCGGTAGCCTCAGCTTCTCCTATGCTCCCTGGGTGTCTTTCGGTGCCAACGCATCTTCTGATCACGAGGAAAAGCTTGATCAGAGCAGCTCCAACGAAAATGATATTCAGATCACGGTCACATACGATGAGATTAGGACCGTGGCTGTCAATCCTGGAAGTTGGTAAGTTTCACTGAGAGTAGAAAAGATGCTTTCCCAGAGATCCTCCGATAACTAATTAACACCGTGGCTAGGAACATCGGAGACCCAAAGAGCAGCTACCCTAAGCTGAAGCCCGGCGCCCCAGACACCGTTAAGGTTCTTGTCGCACCGACTCAACTTGTCGTAGTTAGAAATCTTGGCTACAGAATCAAGTTCAGCAACACCCTTAAGTCCACTTTCGACAAGAAAGTGTCCGACACTAAGCAGGCTGGGGGCTACGTCCGCGTCTTTGGAATTCCGATCCAAGTTGGCGGCGACTTCAAGAAGACTACTAACAACACTTCGCACACTGCTACGTGGGATAGCACCTCCGGCGAGTTCATCGTCGCGCCTACTGATGAGGGTGCTTTTGCTTCTATCATTGCCATCCGTGGCGACAAGATCAAGACGACCTAATGCTGCAGCCTGGTCTTGATTGGAGTTGTCGATTGTGACCATTATTGAACACCAGGAAACGACGTCAACTTCTTGTGCGATTTCATTGAGTTCTAGTTGGGGCATGATATTGGTCGAATTCAGGATCTTGTTGTATGCTGGGAATCAACAATCCCGTCCTCTCACTATTATCTACTAGGTACCTAAGTAATCAAACTCAACGCTAGTCACTCTTTCAAAATATTTGGTTCCAATATTAGCTTTGAGACCACCGTTGCCATTGCCAGGCCGACAGAACACCTCTTTGCCGCGAGATATCGATACGCGATGTCATGGGCTCAGACTTCCGGCAATCTGAGTAACCGGCCATCACTTCCTACGCAGCACGAGTGCCTCAGAGGACGAGGGATCACGCTCACCATATCGACGGCGGTTCGAGGCCATGCTGTCCCCCAGGCCCATGCCCCGCGTGGCCCCGACCACACCATCAAGCTACCGCATTGCACGGCTTACTCCTTAGGTAATAAAGCCTCTAGAGAAATCAAGCGTCGATGGTTTAGTGGTAAAATTCTCCGTTGCCATCCAGCAGCGTCGGGGAGCCGGGGGTTCGATTCCCCCTCGACGCATCTCCTTTTGCTCATCACTCAATTACTTTAGTTTTTGTCACAAGGGGCATGCCGTTTGCATTCCACTGCTCTGAATCGTCTTTATTACCAATGTGCAAGGCCTGGTGCTGACTTATTGCCATCCATGAATCATGCTGCGTAAAGAACCTTGAACACCCAGCCGAATTGATCGGCCTCAACAAGAGCCTCCTCCACCTTGATCTTCAACTCAGTGCTGACTCCTGATCCGCTAATCTTCCACTCGAGGTCTTCAGCACCTTCGACACTGAGGAGGCTGATGATATCTCCTTCAACGGCGGGGATAGGTGCGTTGATAGAGACCCAGCCGTCAACCACGGTCGGCTCTTCCAAGAAGACTGTGTAGAAAGCCTCATCGGTCTGGGTGAACCTCACATCCGGGCCACCAACGATCTCGCTCTGCACAAACCAGTACGTAGTGTTGAAGATGGCCTCCTCATGAGCCTTGATCCACTTGCCCGCCTCGCGTAGGTTATCCATCTCAGCCTGGACTATAGTACCATCAGCCTTGGGACCAATGTCCAACAGGAAGTTGCCGTTCTTGGACACCATATCGACGAGAGAGTACACGATCGTAGTGGCATTCATGTACTCCTCGGGCTTCGTCGCGCGGTTATATCCGTAGCTGTACGGGTCCATGCCGCGGTTGCTCTCCCACTTGCGTCGTTGCGCGGACGCAAAGGTCTGGTACTCGGGGGTGTCAAAGTCAGCCGCCTCCGGGATGCCGCAGCGGGAGTTGATGGCGACCTGTCGACCCTCGGCGCGGGCCTTGTTCCACCATGTCGCCGCGAAGTCTTGTGTGCCGTTGGCAGCGCCGCAGTCGCACCACATGATGTCCGTGCCGTAGTCGTAGGCCAGGGTCTCCATTTGAGGAACCATAAGGTCGGTGATGAAGTCGTTGACGGGAACGCGGCCGGTGTAGGGCTCAAGCTCCCCAGTGTAGGGGTTGGAGGCTAGCACACCGGGCCAGGAGACGGCTGATGGCGTGGGGAACTGGACGAAGCCATAGGGGCCAAAGTCTGGGTTGAACCATTCGGGGAGCGAGAAGTAGGTACCCCGCTTCAATTCGGGCTGGTAAGTCTTCGCAGCATCGAAGAGCTCCTTCAGAAGATCGCGCTTGGGACCGTAGTGGATTGATGAGCGGTTCGAAGTCTCTCCGGCATCGAAGAGCGCGAAGCCATCGTGGTGCTTTGTTGTGAGGACGAAGTACTTAGCGCCGGCATCGGCGAAGAGGTCAACCCACTCCTTGGCATCGAATTTGGAGGCGTTGAACTCCGGAAAGGTGTCGTCGTAAGCCCAATCGGGGCCGTAGGTGTCAAGCCGGTATTGGTAGAAGTTGGAACGATCGCCTTCGGGGTGGTGGGTAGAGTACCACCAGAACCACTCAGCGTAGCTCTCGTACGGTGTCGAATTGCCCCAGCCTGTGACGGAATACGGGCCCCAATGGATAAAGATGCCATACTTGGCATCATCAAACCACTCTGGACTCTCATGCTTCGAGAGACTCTCGCCATCGGCGGTCCATTCGGTCAAGCCGATTTCGACGTCGGCAAAAGGGGTCTTCTTTCGGACACTGCCGTCGTCGGCGTGGACAGCAATGTTGACAGGACCGGCTGATGCGCCATTGGTTCCAACGACAACAACTTTCTGGTCTCCTGGGCACAATCGCTTCAAGTGCCCAGGGCTCTTAGTGATGAACCCATCTCCAGTAAGCGTAATCTTGAGGCCGTCGCCAGAGACGCACTTTGACCCTGCATTGTTGACAGTAACCTCGACAACCTGCGTCCCGTTACCGATCCACTTCTGCGTCGGTCTCACCGACTGAACCGCCACATCCGGGGCTTGCTGCCACAGGGTAATAGCGAAGACGTGAAGCCGACCTTCAGTCGCGTTATTCTTGTCCGGCAGAGTGATTGAGGTAAGCTTCTTCCCAGGCGGCAGCGCAGTGGTCCGCTCAAAGATGTGCGAGGTGTTGAAATCAGAACCGTTGGCCGTGTACCGACTAGGGAAGATGATCTCTCCGCGGTTGATGGTCAGGAAGCTGAACCAGTTGAGCGTACGAAGCTCGTACTCGGACGTTGTGTTATCGGCGTAGTTGAAAGACACGTTCCCACTGACTGTGGCGCCTTCAACGTCTCCCGCTACGAGGAATGAGGCGGAGAAGTAGGAGCCGTTCTGCGGGACCGAGATCTTTTGACCGGTGCAGATGAGGTTGTCGGGGTCCGTGGGGCCGGTGTAGCCCGGGAAGCTGTACTGGATGCCCGTGTCTGTCGAGACAAAGTCCGGGCCCACGGTCGGCTCGGGGAAGGATTGGTTGAGGGCATCGAATGAGGCCTCTCCAGGTTGAGTACCGAATCCTTTGTTGTTGAAGAGGGGGGTCAGGTTGAGAGCGACGGATTTCTGCGAAAGATTTCAGCGATCGCGCTCAATTGCGCAGCCATGCCAAGCTACTGAGCTATCCAGAGCTACTTACACCAGAGGAAGTCGAATTGGTCACCGCTCCGAGCGCAAGACTGCTCAAAGACAGCGCCGAGAGAGCATTGAAGCTGCCGAATCCCTTCATATTGACAAGCGCAACTTTGTGAAGCTCAATTGCTCTGCCTAGACTGGATCGCAACAGCACATCACAACCCGCAGCCGAGGAAGCTCACCCATTCTTAACGGTTGCCATCAGCTCGGTAGCGGGGGACTCTGGCGATCCATCCCCTGGTGGGACGATTTCCCCCTCAATTCAGTTCATCCAGCATGTCGCTGCAGTTCGACTCCGAATGGAACGGTTACATTGTCCAAAATGAATGCCCACTATTCATGTTACCATCAACATTCGGGGAGAGGTTGGCACAGTTGGGGTTGCCGGGTAGTGAGGGGCGTCGCTGATAAGACTAACAAACATTGGAGAATGGAGATAGCACCACATCCCCGGACGTCATCGAGGCAGGGATTTCCACGTTGAGCTTCGTATCAATGGGGCTATTCTGCAAGGAACGCTATCGCGGTTGATTAGCCACGATGCCGATGCCGGCATGCATTTAGGAATACTGTCTCTTGTCAATCATACAGGCAGCAGAATGGCAGGGCACAAGCATCGCTTTAACGTCTCTCGTCGATGGCGAATCCATGCGCTGAACTCATTTTCTTCGATAACAAGGTACTTGGAATGGACCCTTTCAGGGCCTTTCACATTTGATATGTGGTTGTGTTCACTCCAACCATTGTTTTCCACAAATAACACTCAGACCTACTCATAAGTGATCACTCATCGATAGGCAAACGTGCAATTGGTCAAGATGGATCTCACTTCAATTGAATCCGTACGCGACTTACTTAACCTTTGCTTCTTGACATTTTCACAAACTTGCCAAAGCTTATCGCACCAACGCCAGTGCACTGGAAGCGAAGACATCTATTGAGTGAGAGACGTCAGATAGGCAAGAGCCAAAGTCAATGAAAGCAGTGGCCCCTCGCCTGGACGCACCCACTACTTCATGGATATGTCATCTCCTTAGAGTTAAATCTTCGTGTTCACAGACAATCATGGCTTTGAGTGCATGGTATCTGAGTTGCGTGACGTGACGCAGGGGCAAAACTGACATTTCGTGGGGTAGGAAAGTTCACGTCATCACCATCTAACCTAAGGCTTTCATTCACTCCTACTAACCGTAAATTTATGCTGCGTCTATTATTTGAGATTTTTGACTGAGATATTCACCTTACATGTACCCAAGCTGAATGATTTGATGAATGTTTCGTGGCCAATCCGCACATAGCCCTCGGCTTTGCATGTACATGAGAGCAGTTGACACTTGACAGCCGTCGCCCACAGGTGCTGCGAGTCTCGGTCTCGCGCTTGTTTAGCATTGTCCGTGTTGGCTGATGTTCGGCTTGGCACTCTCAGCCGGAAACGGTAAGTCGGGATGAGAGATGGCTGTGAATGAGTATTTGGAAAATAAATTCCCAACATTTGACAGGCGGGCCGAGGTTTAGTGTTTCTTCTTCTGCAAGAAGCGCAACGGGGTGATTGGGAGATCTCAGTGCCAGACAACGTGAGCCCTTCGTTTGGGTCGAAAACTGGAGACGGCGATCATGTTTGATGGAAGCCACTTTTTGTTTCTCGTGAGCAGCCGGGAACCGACAACTTTAATTCGAGTTCTAATTTGCAATGCTGGCAACAATACTCGAAAGGTAAATATCAATCGTTGATTGAATATCGAGGATTAACCGTACACATCTGTCGCCTTCAGTTACGTCTCTGAACATCACAGTAGCGTAGATAATAGATAGTTCACCAATAATGTTTCTTCTATTGAGTATTTTGAACCCCTCAAAGCCGTCTGAGCTTGCCCTGCAGTCGCCCGACCGAGGGTACTATGATGAAAAGAATACACATCGAATATTATTCGCCATGCTACCTAGAAGACCACCCTAGAACAAAAAGAGAGCCTAGAAATGCTGTCCCAGACGTCGTCTCACCGGGAACGACCTCCGTCTCATGATCTCAGACCTCTTCTGCTCCACCGGCTTCTGCTGCGCAGCAAAGTTGGTCATCATCTCCCACGTGGCCATGACGCCACCGTTCTTCTTCGACTCAGCCATGGCCATGAGGTCAGCCATCTTCATCTCGAAACCTTGTCCCATGGGGAACGGGGCAGCGGCCGGAGGTGCCGCGGGCTCTTGTCTGCGTGCAGGGCGGCCAGGCGCGCCGGCGGGCTTCGGGGCATTAGCGGGTCTGGGAACGCCTGCGGGTGCGATTCCGGGCTGGGCCTGTCCAGGCTGGGCACCGGTGATGCCGCCGCCTCCCTGTTGAGGGGCAGGCTGGACAAGACCTCCTCCACCCTGCTGAGGCCGAGGCTGGCCCTGCTGGGGCTGCTGACCGGGCTGAGCGCCTTGTTGAGGTGCGGGCTGAGGCTGGGTGCCAACGGGAGTGCCGGCAACCATCATGGTAAGGATAAACTCGCCGTCAATCTGGTTGACAGGAACGGCAATACGAGCGTTCTCTCTATCAAGGAGGACCTGGGCGTTGATCGGGCTGAAGGTTTGAGCCAAAAGGAGCTGGGTCGCGGCCGGGATCGCAGGACCGACGGGCTGCGGCTGCTGTCCGTTTTGAGGCTGGTTCTGCGAGTTTCCTCCGTTGTTGTTTCCATTGTTGCCGTTGTTACCGTTGTTACCGTTGTTGCCATTGTTTCCGTTATTGGGTCCAACGGCGGGAGCGGCACCGGCGGCAGCTCCAGCACCATTGCCAGAAGTGTTGCCATTGCCGTTGCCGTTGCCATTACCCGTCGCGGGAGGCTGCTCAGTCGCAGTGCCGTTGTTGGGTTCCTGACGCTTGAAACGAGGAGCCTGCAGACCACCAGTCGCACCGCCGGGGTTCTGGAGAACCGGGCGTTGGGCAATTCCGAGCGTGATGGAGGACTGGGGCTGGGCACCTGCGCGCATGGCCATCGCCATGAGTCGATCAACGTTGACTAATGTTTCATATTCCGGTCAGTGCCGAGTTCAACAATGAGACAAAGCTTATTTGCAGCAGAAAAGACTTACGCGGCATCTGGACAACGGCCGTCATGCTGTTGAGGCTGGGAACAACACCAGCCAAGTTGCTGGTGACGAGATAGCGGTAGTTGTCTGTCAAGATGTATTAGCGGGTTGCCATCCAAGTAAGCGTGGGCTTTGGGGTAATAGTTAGGCCACTCACTAATGGACATGATGCCGTTGGTGACCATGTCAGTGCTGATGCCATTGACGACATCCGTGCGGATGCTCATGGGCTGGCTAGCTCTGATGGACATGCGGAAACCGTCGTTGAATTCAGCTTCTTGGATGCCAGATCCAGCGATGTTGACGGGCGTGCCGAAGGGAGTCAATGAGACACCAAGTTCGCTCGTTTGGCGGCCGACCGCGACGTACTCTCCATCAATCTGGTTCAGCTTGACCATGCGGACGGTGGCGTCGGTGATGTTGACGCTCTTGGCTCCCTCCATGATGATCCACGCCTGACGGTCCCTCGAAAGCATCGCAACGAAGGTGTTGTCGGCTGTAACGCCCGCCTGCGACAGCATGTTCTGGTCAATGGGCAACTCGATCTGGGCGCCCACTAGGTCGGTGGCTCCATTGGTTTGAATAGTGAAGGAGTTGCGCGAGAGTTGAACGAAAGGCTGTCCCGTTGAACCGACGACATGGCTTGCCGGGAGAGGGTTGGGGTTCTGATTGACGATGACTTGGCGTTGCGTCTGCGAGAATGTCTCAATCTTGGAGTTGTCGGGGAACACTAAGCTGTTCAGTTGCATCTAAGATGTCGTGTCAGTATATGTGTATGACAGCGGATCGAAGATGCCTTGACCATCTTCCTCTTGTGAGGCGAACAAGACATGATGAAGACCAAGGGCCGGTGTGTGCCAAGAGGCTAGTGACTTACATCCCCATTCAGGTTGATGACCTGATTGAATTGAGCAGATTGAATCTGAGCCGCGACCAAGCCAGCAAACAGAAAAGAAAGATGTGAAAACTTCATGAGCGTCATTATGATTAACGAGGGTCAACCACCGGGGTTGTTTAAGCGCACGAAAAGGAAAAAAAGGAGGATGACTAGGGAAGGAGAGACACCGTTACTAAACCCACGGGTCCTAGGGGGAAGATGTTTGTATAGCAGCACGACCAACTCGAGGGATCATCAGCATTCAGACGAGGGTCAAGTAAGCTTAATCTCCTCGGGAGGAGAAGCGCGGCTGGGTCTTGGATATATGGCAAGGTACAGAGTCGAGAGACCCATGGCAATGATGACCTGCCATGCCACATGGCGGACGGCCGGCATGGAATTTGATCGGGTGGTCGGACGTCTAGAGGCAGCGCCCAGCCGAAGAGGAGCTCCATCCTCCAATCGCATGAGTTGTCTGGCGTCGGCTGTGCAAGAGAGATCGCTGCAGACGCCGCTCCCATTCTCTTCCGGCCGCACAATCTGTTGATGCTGATGCGCCCCTGGGAGGAAAGTAGGTGTAAGGGGGCATCGGGCTTAATCATCGGACCAGCACGCTTCCGACCAACATGGCCTGTCTGGGTGCCTGGCCTGACTGTGCCAGGCTGGTGCCAGTCTTTGCCAGTTCTCTCTTTGCAGCAGGCCAGGAGGAAACACAAGCAGGGAGAGTCAAGGAGGGACACAGATCCGCGCCGAGGGATGGGGGATGGGAGCATTCTTCGTCCGGTCACGAGTGGGAGGATGGAGAGGGGCAAAGAGGCTCAAGGCAGGGCTTCGTCGGTTTCGGTTGGTGTGAGACGAGTTTCGTCGTTTCGAGCCCGGCCGTGTTGGGTTTCATCAGATGAGGCCGGGCGGACAGAGAGGCAAACGTGTGACTATGCAGGAATTCACTGCTTATTACCTCACCCATTTCGCTATGTAAAGTCGAGCGCCTCCCAGTCTTGCTGAAGAAACAAGGTGGCATCATCAGAGGGGGCGAAGATCATAATAATGACGGATCCCTGGGTCCCGACTCTCCCGTTTGGATCTTTTTTGCCAAGTCCAAGTGGGGATGATTTTCGTTTCGTAGCGGCTGATGTGCAACTTGGGAAAATGCTTGGCGAATGCTTGACCTCGCGCGGCTCTGCAGCTGAACTTCTGCATGTTCTGACCTTTTGCTGTGTCTATGTGTTCATGTTCCCATCCCGCTTAGTACAACTCAGCTATAGGCTAAGGTAGCCCTCCTCTTAGACTCTACGGTTCTTTCTCTCCCACATTCCTGTCCCCCTCATCATTCCGCTTGAGTCCTTGACACTACACCTTCAGTTTGCCCACACACCTTCTCTGACTTGATGACATGACCCATGCGCTCTGCCTTGTTGCTTCTGGAAGATTGTCTGTCGTCATCACCAATTCGCTATCGCATCCATAGCATGAGATTATTGGCGGCTCGCCTTCTCGTGCAAGTTTGACTGGGCGGATGATTGAGCAGTTCCACGCTAGCGGGCTGTCTGTGCTGATTTACACGGTCGCATCAGAGGCGATCATGATTATGGGGGACCATTCCCTCGGAGTGGCCTTGGGGCTAGACAGCCTCCATTCTCTGAATCCCGTCAAGAAACTAGTCATCGCCTCAGAATGATACAGCCGGCGGGCAGACACTACAATGCTGAAATACAATGACGGGCTCAAGAATCGCCCGACTCGCCATCAAATGTGCTTCATTGGCCATTGGGGAGGGATCTTGCTGGTTGACGCCACAACCATCTGTACTCTACGAGACAGATGACAGAAGACTTGTTCTTCTCTCCCCATCTCTGCACTGGCGACGGAGATGCCAGATGGTGTTGACTCGGTCAGTCTAACCTGGTTCTCTACCCAATAACCCGAGACGACTTGCCCTTCTCGACTCGACTAGGCAGCACGCACCACCTCCTCCAAGGCGGACTAAATCTCCGACTTGGCGTTTGTATGCAGGCACCAAGCAGCGTTACCACGAGGTCCCCTGCTGAGTCGAGCAGAGTCTCATGAAGACGAATCCTTGCCCACCTGCCCAACACCAGACTTCACTCAAACCCCAGGTCGCCCCAGCTCACCCCAACTTCCTCAAACCACTTTGACCCCTTTCGTCTGCTCGATATCGTCTGTTCCCATTTCTCCCACACTGGCCCCCCCTTCTATCTTTTCTTAGAACTACATATCCTTAGCTAATGGTTGTTCGTTGCTTAAACACTCTTCCCTGCCATTCTCGTCTTGGCGTTGCAACACATTGTTCTTGGCCGCGACATCTGGAGTGCTTCGAACGCAACCATCACGACTCCCCAAGCGTTGATGCGCCTGATCTCTCTTCTACCCCTCACCCTTGACATCTTTCAGACCAATATCTTTTTCATCCAAGAAGCAGTCACTTTGTTCCGTCTTCAACCACCAACCTACCTCTTGTGGACATTTGATATAAGCCCTTCCACCGTCCTGTTCATCTGCACACGTTTCCGGGCCGGTGAACTCTTTCCGATCTCAGTCGTGTTTTCTTTACTCCATCTCACCTAATCAACTTTCTCTTTTTGTCATCGAAGTGGTCGGACGCCTTTGGAAGGCCCACCATTCAATCACTCTCCTTTAGGACCATCTCGCCTAATCATACACGCTCGCCACCTCTTCTTTTCGCGACGCCTATCTCTTATTTTCCTTTACACTATACGTGTGTGTTGTTTCTTGTTCGGTCCACTCGAGCTAGTCTTTAGTTTCTACAACATCCAAACAACACCGCCATAATGCAGTACTCCTTCGTTCACGTCTTTGTCTTTTCGTACCTGACTGCTCTCGGTCTCGCCCTCCCAGCTGCCAGCCCGGCGCAAGGCAACTCGTTGGGCAGCCACCGTTTCCTCGCGCGAGGTGTCAGACGTCTGGACACTCGGGCTCCTCAGCAGGACCAACAAGCTGGCGCAAGCCAAGGCGCAAACAACACCGCCAACACTGGCGGCGCCGGACGCAATGGCGTCAGCGATGCTCAGGTCATGAACGCCGTCATGTCCTGGATGCAGGATACCGCAAAGGTGACCAAGTTCCTCAACACCGCCACCTCCTTTACCGGCGCCGAGTTCACCAAGCAAGCCACCATTGCGCTAAACGCCGAGATCGACGAGCTCAACCACAAGATGGTTCTTGACGCCGCCTTCCAGGGAACAGACATGGTCACGCAAGCCAACAACGTGCTCGACACGCAGGGCAACTTCCAGCAGGTTGTCGATACTCTTCAGAGCATGGTCACCAATGGTCCCGACACCGCGCAAAGGGATGTCAACTCCATCAACCAGAACCGTTGTGTCAATGTCCTTCCCAACATCGACATGTACTTTGCTGCCGCTGGCGCCCCCAACATTCAGTCCGTTCGTCCCACGGGATGTTTGGAAGTTGAGGGAGCCAACGTTACTCCCTCGGTTCCGCCACCAGCGGGCGGTGCTCCCGCTGCACCTGCGGCGACCACCCCGCCAAAGGCCGGCAATGGTAATGCCAACGGAAATGGAAACGCCAACAACAACCAGAACCAGGGCAACAACAACCAGAACCAAGGGAATAACAACCAAAATCAGGGCAAGGGCAACCGAAACCAGAATCAGGGAAATGGCAATCAGAACCAGGGAACCGGAAATCAGAACCAGGGTAACGACAATCAAAACCAGGGCAATGATAACCAGAACCAAGGCAACCAGAACCAGAATCAGGGCAACAATGGTGGCCGGAACGGTGGTCAGGATATTGGCAAGGGAGTTGGCAACAACGGCAACACCAACGGCAACACCAACACCAACACCAACCAGAACCAGGGCAACAACAACAACAACCGTCCCCAGAACCAGAATCAGGGCAACCGCAATGGTAATGGAAATGCGAACACCAACACCAATACCAACACGAACACCAACAACCAGGGCAACAATGGAGCTCCGAATAGCAACCAGAACAACGCCAGCACTGGCCTTCAGCCCGCTACTCTTGGCTCCGGCAACGCCAACGCGAACAACGGCAACAAGAACCAAGGCCAGAAGCAGCCTCAGCAGCAATCACAGCAGGCGCAAAGCCAAGGCGGTTCGTCCCTCAAGCCCGCGACGCTGGGCTCGCCAAGCCCCGCTGGCAACTAAACGCCACACGATCTTGCCACGAGGGGTCACCTACCTCCCCTCATTTTCCCCCAAGGTGGCCGCGCGCAAAAATTCGAGACCCCGATACGATAAGCGCCCACTTCTCGCTGGGCGGACTTGACCGAAGAGGGGGTGACACTAGTATGAATCCCGCCATCTGCGACCAAAGTCTGATGTTGGTGACGGAAAGCCTGAGGCGACACGTGTGGTGGGCCCTACGGAGCTGGGTGTAAGTGGTGTGTGGTCTGCTTCTTCTTCTTCATCTCTGTGTTAGTCATGTGTTTATCAGGGGGGGTCAGTATTTTGCGACGGTGTGGGTGGGAAAGCAGGGAAAGGGTCCCTCGGTGCTTGGTGCTTTTTGGTATTAGTTTGAAGGCCTGCTTAAAACGTTGGTCAAAAAATCTGTTCTCTGTAACATATCATCCCGTTCTTCTTACAAAGCACTAGAGCATGGAATCTTCTTGTTAATCACGTTGTTGTACAAACCCTGTCAATTGTAGCTTGGAACGAATCACACCCTTGTAAATAATTGGAAAATCCTACAGACTCTGTGCTCGAAACTGGTCCAAAAGCTGGCGCCATCCTTGGAATGTTTAGAATATCGTGAAACGAAACGTCAAATTGTGCCCCTTGGGATCCAGGGGTCCTGCATGTAGGATGTCGCGCAGTTGAGCCGCTTGGATCGCTCGGCCGAATCCGCCAGTCCCCATTTGCAGATCATCCCCCACGTCGCGCTCCGGAAGTTGCGATTGGCTCCCTCGTCTAGGCCGGGGTCGCCTTCCTCAGTTTCGGGACGAGGGTATGGGAACCATGTTCAAATACAGCATCAATAATACGCGAGGTTCGAGTGAGCCTCAAAGGGCTGAAGTCTATTGTCTGTGCTTCAATCCTTCTAGCGCGCGAAATCGCGAGGAGAGGGCAGACGATGTGGTGCTGCGGCGCTCAGCCTCGATGTCTTTCCTCTTAGATGCACTCCTGTGGCTTCTATGCTTTTGTGTTCAGAAGAGGCCCAGTGCGCTTGAGAATCTGTCATGATAAACCTTTTCGTATTCGACCACGGGAGTGAGTTAGTCCTAACATGAATGATAACCAAAGGTTGAGACCAGATAGAATCCTGTCGAGAAAGCAAATGCCCAGACCGTCCCGGTCTCGCTTTCAATCTCGTACCTGATCCGACCTTTTTGCTCAACTTTCATCTCCTGACTGTCGTTCGAGCCCCTCTATCCGCGATGTAACAACCAGGTGCTACGATACCATGATCACGGCGGGCAGCAAACACCAGACTCTATCAAACATCAATTCCCGAGAGGCTAGGTCGGTTGAGTCGGATCTCTCCCTTTGAACCCCGATCTTAGTCATTCATCCGCTGCCGATCGGTAGCATTTCAATGCCCCCCTGTTAGGTCGAAACGGGCAACCCTGACCCTGTTTCGTTGTGTACGGCGTAAGGGTGTAAGGCGATTGGCCACATCGGCGCCTGAGACAGGGAGCAAGCGAACGCATGATGCTGTTCTGACAGTTAACGATGAAATTCGTCAGTTCGCTACCCGGACCGACAAGATTCTTCTTGGGGGCTCCATTGGGCGAATGCCCAGTTTATCTTGGCATGTCTCTGTATGCGTGGAGCTATCGTCTTTGCGGGATGTTCTCCGTCAGACGAGACGTTGGACTCGCGAAGCCGCCATGTCATCTCGTCGGCTATTATGTTGCATCCCACGCGTCCGTAATATGGTGGATCCTTCGGCCCCCGGAGAAAGTAGAAACCTCTAACGGCGATCATGTCGCTTTCCGTTTCGATGATCACCCACGGTCCATGAAGCCTATCTCGGAGATCTCAGGGTTACTATGAGCTTAAGCGATGGGGCCCGATTAGGGTTGTGTGTTTATGGTGGGCGGACTTAATGAATATCGAGTATGGCATGGATAGTCAAATCCCCCGGATCAGCATTGATCTGAGCTTGCTGGAACATCACAGTACAACTTCTGTGAGACCTGCTGCAACTCATGCTTTCTAAAAAGATCTGCGACTGTAGACAATGACTTCGAGTCTCGGGATACCGGTGATCCGCATTCACAGCTGCGTTTTGCCGGCCAGAAATATAATCACGAGGCCACGTAGCGGACATGAAGCGTCGCTTTTCAAAACCTGGTTGTCACAATGCCTCTCGGGGCCACTTACGATACGGTGTGAAACACGATATCCAGAAAGGCATTCTTATTTTCTGTATTCACACACTCTTCGATGTCTGACGAAGCCTCTTTAACGAGTTTGCTACAACTAAGTTGGCGATGTCATAATTTGCGGCTATAGCCTTGTTTTTCGTAGAAAAGAATGTTGGAAGCGAACATACATATATCGTTTCAATGATGGCAGCACAGCCCATGTACCACTTTCTTTTCTTCAAAGGGATGACCAGTTCCCACCGTATTTGAACAGTCGAGCACTTGAATCTTGCCCTTTGACCATCTCCCTTGTTTTGCTGGTTTTTGCGATATCTTTCGAAAAGGACAACATGAATCACACCTTTTGATATAAACAACAATAATACTCGACATTCTACTACAAAAAGTCGTAGGCAATTATCCCGGGTCCTCAATGCTAAGATATGTTTCTCACAAGTTTTGTCTTTGATTCCAGCTTCTCCATGGCAGATTAAGTTACGCACAAGCTCTAGCATTATGTAACTGTAATGGTTAAGTTCATTCATCGTTGCTGTCGATTGAACAGCAGTCTTGGCAACAGAAAGTCTCTTCAATATGCAGTCTAGCTTTCGGATCGCTCAAGAAAGCACCATAAACTCAGTAGAATCACACAATATAGAAGAAGATTGATCCGGGTTAGTAGACCAATGACTTGATGAGAATTGATACGCCCATGTCCAAGACTTTTCCAACTCTCCAAGACTGGAATGTCATATCCCGAGCTTGAAGTACCTTATTCAGAGAGACCAATAAACTAAACAGCGATAGACAGCAGTTTTTTGGCGGTCGAAACTTTCCTGGAAACCTTGCTCTACCACAAGCAGCTAGAACACCTAGCGTGACTAAGTGGTTTTCGCAGCTGATATCACCAACGTCATGATGGTCTCACAATTCCTTACAAAATGTTAATCTATTTCTCACTGTCAACACTTACAAGCTCGAAACCTTTAAATCCGATTCTTCCATTCTATTTCCATATACAGAAGCGTCTTTGTTAATTGTCGGCTCTTTTGCAATTGCTAGTGAAAGCGCCGTGTCATGGAAACCTCTTTCGGTACAGGTACTGTCATGAAAGTCCAAGGTTAGACAAAAAGCCTCAAGACACTCTTCCTACACAACTCTAACTCGAACTGGCCGTCAGATATGCTTTGAAAATCATCTGCCCTCTGAAGAAGCTGATGTTCTTAATATCATGTGAGCATTTCAACTGTCCTTCACTTCCACTTGAGGCTTAGCCATGTGGGGCTGCAAGTGGCTGTGCAGGGGTGCCGAGAATGACTAAAGAGGAAATGTGATGACTTCCCTGAAACACGCGTCCAACTCTCAGCTGGGTGCCTGATCTCTTCCTGAAAAGGCCGGCCTTGAGTCCTTGACACCTGTCAGTCGACCAAGACTAAGTTTTCCAAGAGGCTCACTAGGGCGTATGAAGGCAAAAGCTTTTCGTCCCAGTTTACGAGAATTCGAAAATGGCAGACACTAGCAGGTTCCACTGTTTCATCAGTCATTCGAACAGTCTTGCACCGGCAGCGTCAGCGGCACTTGAGCCGCTGACCGGACACAGCACGGGGTACGTGGTGCCACACTTGCGAGCAACGGAGTCTTCTTTGAACATTCTAGGCTAACTTTCTATAGCAATTCGAAGTAAGCGTTGCTGGCCCTGATGAGATCTTTGCACTGAGTTTCGCTCACAGTCACAGACAGGCTGTCCACCTGGCAGCGCGTCGGTTCCGCCGAACACGCAAAATACATCGGATGAGTGAAAGTCACGATGCGGCCCACCAGAGACACCTAGACCAGGCAATGCAACGACCCGGAAAACTGCCACCATCGCTTGACTGGGACATTGACGGAACTCTCATTGAGAAATGCATGTTCCATCACGTTCGTCGGGTTACCATTCCTGGATTTCAAAACCTAGCGCTCATGACCAAGCTTTGGAACAACTACATCATACCGCTGGGCTACTATTCAGACTCTGTCAAACATGCTTTGATAGGGCTCGGTCTATCGCACAGAGCTTTCCTTGATGGCTATTCGCATGCGAGCAAAGTTACGGAAGATCGAGACTTTGTAAGCCTGGCCATGTCGTACTATGGCAAAGCTCTAAAGTCAACACTAGCGGACAGTGAGAATCTTTCTACGACGTCCATCAGGATTTCTCTCGTCTCTTGCCTCGTCTTTGTCTGTTTCGAAATAATCGAGGGACGGTATGACAAAGCAATACAGCACTTACGGGGTGGCTCTAGGATCCTCGGCTCTATTCGAGAGGCAGTAGAGAGTCTCGAGATGAACGGGGCTGGAGCGTTATCCCCTTCACAACTTTGTCTCGCCAAGACAGCCAACAAGTACTTTGATCAGCTTTCTGATATCGCCCTCATGTTCTCTTGCATTGGGGTTGACACGGCCTATCTGCTCGAGGCTGAGGTCACTCCTGATCTAGACTTCTTCTTACGGTCTTCAGCCGTACTAGAGGCGTCTGAAAATGATCCTTTCAAAACCTTGGACGAAGCCCGACTTGAGCTTCACCGTGTTGAAAAGGCATTAGGCTCTATCATTGGCTTCAACTTTCGCCAGGCTCCACCACTTTATTGGGCCTCAATTCTGGATCTACCTGGCGACATGTCCCCTTTCGAAGATGAGGTCTTCGAGGCTTGGATGAAAGCGCGGTATCGTCTGGACAAGTGGAGCGCCAGAGTGGATTTGAGTATCAAGATTTGGGAGTCTGATTCGTCATTATCTCCAGAGGCTTTGAAAGAGGCCCAAGTTATGACATTCATCCAGAATGATTGGAAGTTGATCATCAAGCAGTGCGAAACCTCCACCATTGACACAATTCCTCCTGCCATCTGGAGAACTATGCTCGACAGGGCTGAAGCCTTTTGCCCGTCCGAGGAAGAGAACTCACAACAGCTACCACATTTTAATATTGCTGCAGATACGGTCCCGCCGCTGGTAGTGGTTGCTACCTTTTCGCGAGACCCCGAAGTACAATCGAGGGCTATCTCGCTACTCTACTCTATGAAGCGAAGAGAAGGTATGTGGGATAGCCGCGAGATTGCCAGTATTTTGGAGTCAATCAACGCAGTTCGGGCGAGCGATCTGTGGGACAAGGAATATGAGACAGCTTCGCTTCCGACCTTGGCAGAGAAGGTGCTATCTCGGCACCTATGTTGTAGAGACGAGCAGATGCCGCTGGCTACGTTGATGAATCAGGGATTCGCGTGAGCATGGGCATGTTACCGAAGAGCGTATTCGATGTTTGCATATACAATACCATTGAGACAGCTTATCCAGGTTTGAAGGAACAGGGCTTTTGTCGGAAGGGTGTCCCGGTTCCACGGCCACGGGTTCTGCTCTACGCCCTGGAAGATGGTGGAACTCTAGATCTCTACGTGCATTCTTTGATTCGCCCGCGTAGGCGCAAGACCACACAATAGATCGCACTCGTTATGTCACCATGTCTATGGTTGCAAATAACAGATGACCGATAGAATATCTGAACGTTGCGAACAGAAAAGCTACTAGAGACTTAGCGCAAAGCATGTTAAGGAGCCCCGATGATCGGAGTGAGTTAAAGTGACGGACGATCATGATTAGAGCTTCTATCACGACCCTTGCTTATCTCTACATCCCCACAATGGCCATCGCCGTCGGAATACCACCTTAACTATCACCCCTGAATGAGAAACGTTGGAGCAGCTTTCACCTGCATTCCAGCAATCCAATTGACTGAAGCAAGGCTGATGAAGAGACAGAGGAGCCATGTGGAAGAAAGCGGCCGCAAGATTGCCAAAGTACGCAAACACAACGTCCCAATTGAAGTCACTGAGGGAGCCGAGCTTTCCCTACCCGCGCGAGATGCCATCTAGTCAACACTGCACGGAAGCCCGGCCGATTCGCCGGTGATGCCGTCCCGCTTCTTCCGTCCTTTCGGCACTCTTCGTTCCCTAGTGCCGAAGTCTTTCCCCGCCCACAAACCGGCTAAACTTCCAAAGTTGGAGATTTGGAGAGATGTAACGTCGCTATTCAGAAACACCCAAGTCAGAGTGCCCCCCTCACTATGCGCGTTCCCCTCATTGCCATCCATGATAGCTTCCTGATCAGGGTCATGACGACGCTAATCACCCAGCGGCGATGGCACATCAGGCCATTGATAGCCCATCCGATGGTGGTCCACCTGATTTCATCTCCAAAGCAACAATCCAGCTGCGTAGCTTGACTGGGGGTCAATAGCTGACTTCCCCGCTCATATAAGTCCAATGGCTGCGAATCGTGAGCCAGACCAGTATGATGCTATTCGCAACACCTGTTTGAGAACGTTCACGACAGGATGATGTTCGGCAAGCTCATTCCGGCTATCACGGCCTTGATCGCGGCACTCCCGCCGGTCAATGGCCAGGCCGTCCGCTTTAACAACCCGGAAGGAGTTGATATTTGGTGTGGAAAGGCATATCGCGCAACGTTAGTCCCCTCCACCCGGTCGCATCAACTTCAGCCGGTCAAGTGCTCACAACTTTCAATCGCAGGAACTCGTCTTTTGACCCAGGTGGATGGTTCCCCGAGCCAGCCATCTCCAGCGTTCCCCTTCTGCGACTCAAGGTGCGACCGCGACTGAGCATCTACCTTGAGACCGATGCGACAGCAAGCCTGCTCATCGACGCCGCCGTCTCGAATCAGGTCGGCTCTCCGCTGCCCGTCGGCTATGGATCTAACTACACCAACTCGACATCTAAGCCGCTGACGGTTGAGATTTTGTTGGGCGAAGATGTCCTCGCGACCGAAGAAGTTGCGCTCGGATCTCGCGATAACGAGGTTGATCTCCCACTAGACTCGCTCACTCCGCGCATGGAGGCGTACAACATCACGATCCGAACCAAGTTGGACTCTTCGCATGTGTACGAAGGCTGGACCGAGTTTCCGTATCTTCCGTACCCTGAGGACTACGGCAGCGTGTCGCGTATCGATAACCTGTATGGCGGACTCCTCGCGCAACGAGGCAAGGATGCCGATTGGGACCTCATCTTCGCATACACCTACTACAGTAAGCGCTTTCCCTCGCAACCAAATCCTTCTGACTAACATCGAACAGCGCAATGGACCTTGTACTGGAACGACAGCGTTGACACCCTCAACGAGTTCGCGGCCATGGGCTACAACGTAATCCACATCGTGCCCACAGGCAGCCTCGGCGAGATCCCCTTCCCCTGGGACGAATTCGAGCCCTACCTACAGCGCGCCGACGAGCTGGGCCTCTACCTGCGCTACGACGTCCTCTGGACCTGGCCGAACCTCACAAACATGGTCGACCAGGTCACCCGGCTGCGCACCCACCCGTCCATCCTGCTGTGGTACCAGAGCGACGAGGCCGACGGCAAGGCGAACCCGGCCAACTCCACGGGAATGGCGTACGAGCAGATCAAGGCGATTGATCCGTACCACCCGGTCTCCCTCGCGCTTAACTGCTGGGACTTCCACTACGCCGAGTATGGTGCTGGTGCGGATATCATCATGAGCGATGTTTACCCCGTCGCTATCAACGCTACGTTTTCGACGGTGTATGGGACCGAGTGCAATGCCACGTACGGGTGCTGCGGGTGCGACGACTGCGAGGGCAACTTTGAGGATATCTCTGTGCGACTGGACGAGTTCTATCGCAGAGACGAGATCCTGGGATGGCAGAAGACGCAGTGGTTTGCCCCGCAGGCCTTTGGCAACGAGACCTTTTGGTCGAGGTATCCGACCGCCGAGGAGGAGGTCGTCATGACGGTGTTGTCGGTCAACCACGGCGCAAAGGGCATCGTGATGTGGAATTACCCGGCCACGCCGGAGCTTGAGGGTCTGACGAGCAAGTTGGCTGGTGTGTTTACCAACGAGGCTGCGGTAGGGTTCTTGCTTGGCACGCAGAGGACGCAGGATCTTGCTGTTGAGGGTGCGAAGAGGGTTGATGCGGCGGTGTGGGTTGATGAGGCGAAGAAGCAGGTGCTCGTTAGTGTGGTCAACCTGAGTTACGATGAGATTTCGGGCGAGATCAGAGTTGTTTTGCCGGATGATGTGGAGGTTGGCGAGGTTGTTGAGGTGCTTTGGGGAGATATCGCTTGGGAGATGGGTGACGGTGGCTTGGTTGCCACGGAAGGGTTGCTTGGTCTGCAAACTTCGGTGTTTATTGCCGAATTACTCTGATGAAAGCAATCAATACTTCGCGTACATCAGTACTTAGGTCATAGTGTTAAAGAACATGTCTCATGGACATGCACCTTCCATGGTTTCCGCTGCATTGTGACGATGTTCGCAACGCAATCGGGCTCTTCAGAGCCAGGTTTAGGGATTATTCAATGAGAAACCATTCGTTTCAGTTGAAGTTGTCATGTCAACTGGGTATGAGTGGCGAGCTGCCCTCGACTTGGTTTGCTCATGACGATGGTCTTGACTGGTTCCTATAGGTATACTATGCCTTGACGCTACTAGTGAAGCCTTTCAGTGCACACAGTCAAGATGGCCAGATCGTACAGTCAAAGTAGTCATACTCTCCATAAATATGTATATAATCACTTCAGAACCCCATAGCTTCGAGCTTCTTACCCGCCGCACTAACGTTCCTCACTACATTCTTCTGCCAGTTCCGTCTATCCCACAGATCTAGTGCGAACTGATCTGTCTGGTCCCTGCTATCATCCACGTCGACATCCCCCTCGGCATCATCGACAGCGTCCTTGGGCAGCTGAATACCCTGGGGCCAGCGGAAGAGGTTATCCTTGTCCCAGAGCTCCTTGACTCGGCGCAGCTCCTGCCTGTTCTCGCCAAAGTAGGCCCTCTCGTAGCCGCCCTTCGTGAGGTCCCGGTCGGGGAAGCTGAAAAAGGCGGCGGCTTTACCGAGGCTGTAGGGGCGGAATTTCTTCTTGAGCTTGCTCATGAAGCCGCGCATATTGAGCTCCATCCACTTGTCCTTCCAAAGGACCTCGATGTAGGTGTGGTAGAGGGCTTCGCGCCAGTAGAACGCAGAGTCGGTGGGCTTGGGCTTGGAGGCGGCGGAGCTCCTCGACGTCGTGAAACCGCTGACCTGGCAAGGCGACACGCCCATCGGCACCAATCTCAAGAGCAAGGTCCTGGAGCCGCTCGTGTACAGCAAGCTGCCGAATGACCTGAAGAGGCCGCTACTGGTGTCTATCATTACGGATGGCATGCCTGATAAGGAGCCGAGGAACACGCTTGTGGATGTGATTGCTGAGTGTGGCAATAAGCTCGAAGCGGGTAACCTTCCTCGGGAGAGTACGTTTGCCAAAGCTTGCTTTTTGTCATATCATAATCTCTTACTGATGTTTGTTGTCCAGGTGTCAAGTTCATGATCGGTCAGGTCGGTTCCGCCACTGCAGCGACAAAGTTTCTCCAAGAAGTCAAGACGGAGTCTAGGATCCAAGAGGTTTTGTTTGTGGCCTCTGGTAAGCGATGAATCACCCAATGCGTCTCTTCGGGAATGACCCTACTAATGTTGTCTCTTTAGAACGGCTAGACAGTTCTTCAAACCTCGAGAATGATTGGAAAATGGATGAATGGGTAAGTGTCAATGTGTTCCATTGTTGGCCAATCTCTATGATTCCGGCGCTAACTGTAACTTACACAGCTCATCGAGACGCTGTATGCGCCTATCATGAAGAGCGAGGGTAAGAAGAAGCAGTAGAGAACCCTCCTGCTTTGACAACGCAATACTTGGATGGCTTGGATGGAAGTTAAGACATGGATGATGACTAGGATGGTGGAAAACGGTACCCTCGACAATAAATACGCACCAAACAGAATCTTTTATAAGATACTGATTGAGAGCCAGTCCTGGTCATTGTCGTAGTTTCGGGCGAATGGTTGAACGTCTTGTGATATTCCTGGCTGGTGGAAGGTTCGGCTGATCAGAGCCTTCAGCGTGTTTTTCCCTGGGTGTCCAGATGATACAGAGTTGTGCATACTTTGTATCAATCTTGTCCGGAACGGCTCCTAGTGCGGAGTCCAAATCTGATCCCGCCATCGCAATCGTTGATCTTTGTTGATAGGACTTCTGATAACATGATAGGTAATACCCCCAAGCTGAAGGCAGTTGGTATGGCTTGCAAGTCTAATATGCAAGGTATTAGTTGATGGATTGATAATAAACGTCGGCGTCTATCATCTAGGACTGCCCAAGGATCACGTCGTCTTCCTAGGTGATTGGGTATGATATAGAAGAATAATCGTCGGCTCTTATATTCGTCGATATCAACAATAGCATACGTAATAGTGTCGATAGCCCTAGGTATTGTTATGTTAACCTTTCCGAGGGCTCTTGGTTACCTATATAGCAATACGTGGCAAGCGTAGTTCCTTAGCATAGGCGTCGCTAATCGTAGCGTACGTGAGACACCCGTTGTGGACTAAGGCATAGGTATAATGAGTGTTGTTGATTCCCAAGTTGACGAAGAAAGGCTCACATCCATGCTCTTTCTGCTACTCGAAGTTTTCCGTCATACTGATCTGGCCGTTCGTCGCGATTATTCATGCATATGCGCAGCCAAGGGTGCCCATGCGTATGACCCGCCTCCCCCGCCGTATTCGCCGTATTCGAGACTTCCGTTCCGCGTATAGCAGAGACCCGCCCGGCCCGAATTTTCGGAATACATACGAATATTCAAGCTTTGAGATCGGCGCTTAACACCTCGGGAGGCGGCGCAGTTTGCCTTGGTCTTGCGTTCTTGTCAGGCTTGGACCACCGGCCTTTGCGCATCTGGGGCCCTGCTAGGCGAGATCTTCCTGTGGTTCCCGCGGGGTGGATCTTCCGCCGGGACATCAGGTTACAGGGTAATCTCTCGGCAAGATGAGAAATTCAAGGTTCCGTAGATGCTCATAAGAAGCTGTTTCCGTCTTACATTCCTCCTTGGTCTAGTTCAGCATCTGGTTCAGCTTCTGGCGTCATCTTTCACAAGCAGCGCTGAATAGTTCCTCAAGATGCGTCTCACTTCTGCCTTGACTGGCATTCTTTGCGCCGCGAGCATTGCGTACGCCGCGCCGGCGGACGAACATGAAGACCAAGCCCGTTTCGGCAGACATACCGATAGCAATGACTTCAGTACCCAAAACTCCAAGATCGCGGACCGGGAAGCTGACGTTCCGCCTCCTCCCGCGCCGGAGCCAATCACCATCACCGAGCTCCCTCTACCCCCTGTCACCGCGGACGAGGGTGTTGGAGGTTGTACTCTGGAGATTAACCCCCGCGGCACCGGGTGTATCGGGAAATCTCCCGCTCTCCAGAACGGAGATTTCTTGCCGGGCGATCTCCACGTTGTAGCGACGGTGAACTTCACCGGCGCCCCTGCCTCGCCCGACCCGGCGAGCGTATACAGCGGACCTCAACTGATCATTGTCAAGATCGACAATAGCACGTTCCCGAACGGTGATGCGTGGAAGTGTATTACTTGCGGCGTATCCGTGGAGGACCAAGCTGTACTTGTTGCGCCGCTCGACTATCCCCAAATCTTCAAGGACGGCAAACGTCTGCTTGCTGGACCGCAAATCATCGAGTGTTCGGCTGAACTTGTCAGCGAAGCCTGCACTCCGGACCAAGTCCACGTCTACCCAATTCGATGGAACACGGCCGTGAACGGGTCAGGAATCGGCGGTACCATCCGCGAGTTGCGCATCCATCCTGGCAACGAGCATCTCGGCTTCAACTCTTTCACCGTCACGTCCGGTAAGGTCAGCCAGTTCGCGTACATAGGAAGACTGGCTTTCAACAAGGCACCGACAACTGGCGAGCCACTTGTGCCCCGTTATGATTTGGCCAATGTCAATCTGTTATTCAGCACAAACGATAAGCAGCCGGTCGAGATTGACCCAGAGGACAGCTCTCTGCTCCGGATCAACTATGATGCCATCACTGTTGGAGAGCTTCGCGGGTTCAGCGGTACCGGCAAAGAAGTCACATACATTGGGTACCCCGCTGAGTCGTCCAACATTGATGTCTTTGCTGCAGACCTTATCACTGGAAAGGTCCGTCGCTTGACTGCCCACCCAGAGTATACGGATCCCGTCGACGTGTCTCCAGATGACCAATGGACCGTGGCTATGGACACCCGTGGTAGTGGACGCCAGATGTTCATGGCGGGTCTACGCGGCATTCCTCCATTGACAGACTTGGTCTCCGCGAGCGCGGCCTCATCGACGAGAAACAATCAGGGGCGTCGATTCTTCCAGCCATGGCTCATCGATGGTCATGGTGATCGGGGTTCGTACTTTGGGCAACAACTCAATACCGAGGGGAGTGGTATCCCCGGAAGCGGCGCCATCAATGACCCCGAGTGGAACGGCCGCGCCGATCCGAAATGGTCCAATGATGGCACCCGTATCGTGTACTATCAGGCCCTGACCGTGTTTCCTGAGTGTGGAGGGGAGAATCCTCTGCCCTGCTATCCTTCCACGGCACCCGGAGGTCGTACCGAGCGCATGATGCTAGCTCATCTAACAAGCAGGCAGCCTCTAGCACCGCCGTCTGTCGAACCTCTGGGTGATACCATTCCCTGGGCAACTCCGTATGTGCCTGGAACCCACGCACCGGAGAGGCCATTCCCGACAAATGGAAACTTCACCCTCAAAGGCAAGGTCAGCGGCTGGGCAAACGTAACCATCACCCCGAACAGTGGAGGTGGTCTACCGGGAACAGTAGCCGTCGAGTACCACAACTACTCTGATGACGGCGTAAACGTGCTAGTAGGATCCGAGAAGGTCACTTCAGTGAACCCGAGTCCGACGGTGGAGGAGGTTGACTGGTACTCGGACCTTATCCAGACGGGACCGAACAATGGAACCAAGAAGACCAGCCCTGACGGTTTCCGGTTGACCATTGATATCCTGACGAACGTATTCCAAGCCAACGGTACGCTGACGACCACGATCGACGGCAAGGAGTGGTTCCAGCCTGCAAACAGGACTTGAGACCAGCAGCTGGGTCCGTGAATCCGAGAATCTTGGGAGGGGGCTTGGCGCAGCAGACGAGAACAAAAGTTCCTACTTAGTTTCAAAGTTCAATGAGAAACCACTTACCTCATCTGCAAGTGTGACAGTGACAGCAAGATCCTCCAAACTTTGGCGATGCAGATGCGAGGCGTATGTGTGGTGAGCCCGGTCCCCTAAGACAAGCACGGCCGACGCATTCGGTCTCCTGCGTCAAGCGTACAGTAATGATAGTAGATTTTCATCGTAAGATGCCATCGGAGCTCACTTGTGCTTTGAGTCCGAATACCAAAGCTTTGCCCCTCATCAGCTTCGACAGCTGCCATACCAGAATCCCGTGTTGAGATGAAACATCTTCAGACTGACGATGCCTTGAGCTGGACGGGCGCATGCCACGGGTAGCGTTTGGAAATGAGTAGCCAGCCACTCGGCAGCAGGGGCGATTCGATTTCACTAAATCATGTGTTGATCTGATCGTTTGACAGATGTCGCTGATGAATTCCAGATGTTGTAGCATGTTTCGGATCGGAGTTTTGGTGTAAGTTGGGCGCAGGGAAGTTTACATCAAGGTGAGCGCGGTGTGACAGGTACACGTACCTAGGTACCTTAAGGTACTAGGTAAGTAGACAAGGTTTAATCTAATCGATATCGTACTTATCTTATCTGTCACGTTACCGCGAGACCCATCACGTGAAGCGAGCTTTCCGGGTGCCCCTCGATGTGTCGAGGGAAGGAAGGATCGAACTTGTTCAGGGACAAATAATGGAAGGAAAGCGGCGGCCAAGCAGTCGCGCACCTCGCGCAGGAACGGTAGCAATTCAAAACTCTGTCGACGACAACCACACACGAGACACACGAGATTATATGCATCGGAATAAACAGAATTGCTACCATGAGCTCAATATCAATTGGACGATAATTCCCCACCTTCATCATCGCTCGAGTCCAGTCTACCTTGTAATCCAAGGGAAGCTGGTCGACCATCCTTTGTGCTTTCCGACTTGACAGCGCCGCCATTCTTTCTTTTTGCAACAAAGCCGTCTTGTTTTGCGCGAGGGATAATGGCAAAGAAGAAGGGCAAGCAGACTACGGTAGAAGATGTCGGCGACG